TCCTTCCCCTGGATGAGGGCTGTCCTTGTCCCCGGGTGAGGGCTGTCCTTGTCCCCGGGTGAGGGCTGTCCTTGTCCCTGGGTGAGGGCTGTCCTTGTCCCTGGGTGAGGGCTGTCCTTGTCCCCGGGTGAGGGTTGTCCTTCCCCTGGATGAGGGCTGTCCTTGTGCCCGGGTGAGGGCTGTCCTTCCCCTGGGTGAGTGCTGTCCTTGTCCCTGGGTGAGGGCTGTCCTTCCCCTGGATGAGGGCTGGCTGTCCTTGTCCCCGGGTGAGAGCTGTCCTTGTCCCCGGGTGAGGGCTGTCCTTGTCCCTGGATGAGGGCTGTCCTTGTCCCCGGGTGAGGGCTGTCCTTGTCCCGGGTGAGGTCTGTCCTTGTCCCCGGGTGAGAGCTGTCCTTGTCCCCGGGTGAGGGCTGTCCTTCCCCTGGATGAGGGCTGTCCTTGTCCCCGGGTGAGGGCTGTCCTTGTCCCCGGGTGAGGGCTGTCCTTGTCCCCGGGTGAGGGCTGTCCTTCCCCTGGTGAGGTCTGTCCTTGTCCCTGGGTGAGGGCTGTCCTTCCCCTGGGTGAGGGCTGGCTGTTCCTTTGGTAGGTGAGGAAGGTGAGGTAGGTGAGAGTGAAGTTGAATGAGAAGTCCTCAGAAATTTTATGGAAATCTGTGCACTATGGAAAAAGTATGGATGAGTTTGATGGTTTTTTACTGCCAGAATAAGCATCTCTTAGTCGCACTGCCCTACAGACTTGTCAGGTCCTCTACCTGCCCGCCAGCTCCTGCCCTGAGAGAGAGCGATGCTCCCTAAACAGACACGTGTCTCTGGGAACAGGGGCGTAAGACGATCGTTACTTCTTCATCTTGGTCTCGGGGATTTCGGCTCCTGGCGTGTCCATCACCTGAAAGGAAGCCCGTTGTCGGGCCCTTGACCTTGGCTTGCAGCTTACTCAGTCTGGCCGTGCACAAGCGGGGCAGTGTTGCACGTGGAGGATGGATCGGTGGTTAAGTCTGTTTCTCACATTTGTGTGTGTGTGTGTGGCAGAATCTTAGGCGTGAGAGCAGTTCCGTGCAGGTAGAGGACAAGCTGGTGAAGATTGAAAACGTGATGGCCAGTGTGCCCCAAGCACGAACAAACCCAAGTTGCAACCACGTTGGGGATTTGGGTTTCCATTTAATTGTTCAATAGGATCTTAGTGTTCTTCTGCCCTAGAACTTGAGATGTCATCTCGTGTCGTCTCATACAGCCATGGTTTCCTGTACTCTGGCTGCATCCCCTAGCCATTTACTGTTAACAAACCTTTGTGATTTTTTGGCTATAACATTATGCTGTGGCTGTCCTTATGTATACATTTGTTTTGCACTTGCATCAGAATTTTGGGGGTGTGTTTCCTAAGAGAGCCTTAGGCCAGTTCTGAAGCGCGTTGTCACGTTGCCTGAGTCGGGCACCCCTCAGAAGGGAGGAGTCGGCCCCTGCAGTGGGCTGTTGCCGTCTGGTATGGTCAGTGAGCGTGGACACTGGACAGTCTCAGGGAGGGCTCCAGGCTGTTGTGTTACTCTCTCACCAGCAGCCACTTCTCAAGGACTGTCTTGATTCACAGCCATTAATTTTCTTGGATTTTTTTTTTAGAAAGACTGATTATTTTGGAGTTTAGGGTATGTGCATATTTGTGGTTCTAAGGAGCGCTATGTCTACTCTGCAACTGGGAAAGGATGGGATATCACAATAACCAGGAAGCCTTACAGTTGACCCATTGCTTGGAAGGGTAGAGTCATGTCACGACGTGGGACTTGGAAGGGGCTTCCGTTCCAGAGGTGTGACTCTAAGTGTCACTGGCCACTGGTGTTTACGTCTCTAACTTCTCCCTCCTCATCTGCATTCCCAAGGGGGGGAGGGCTGACATGATGGTGCCGTGTCCAGTGACCTTACTGCTGCTTGGAGTCCTGGATCCTGTGAGCTTCCAGTCCAGCCTGGAAAGCAGGGGTGATGGTTCAGGCTCCTGTGCGCCTGCTGTGCGGGACCCTGGAGAAGTTCCTGGCTTTGGGCTGTGGCTGTGCAGTGTGTGGTGAACCAGAGGATGGAGAATCTCCCTGTCTCCCTCTTCTTACGTCATTCTGACTTTTGTAGGCCTTAATATTTTTTCTTTTCCCAATTCTGTAACCACATGACTGGTTCCAGGGACCCAATAAGAATCACCTGATTAGTGTGAACTGTGTCACAGTTGGAAGGGAATTACAAGTAAGAAAAGCTTCTTTCCTGTTGGGAAATCCCAAGGGTTTTGGAGGCCCTGGGACGCAGAGCAAGCCTGGGAGAGTGTAGGTTGAGTGTCCTCTGAAATGCACGTTCACAGTGGGCCACCTTGGAGGTGAGGATCCAGTTCCTCTCTGTTTCATGTATATCCTGGAGGTGGTCTTAGACTGGTTTATACTGTGCCCGAGGAGGGCAGGTGCACACCGGGTGCCTGAGGGGGGCAGCTGCACACCGGGTGCCTGAGGGGTGCAGGTGCACACTGGGTGCCCGAGGAGGGCAGGTGCTCACCGGGTGCCCGAGGAGGGCAGGTGCACACTGGGTGCTGTGTGTTTTGTGAGAAAATGTCGCAGGTATGCTGATTCGTTTTGAGGCCTCAGCTAGCTGGTCTAGCTGAACAAGGCTGGCCGGTGCTGGTTGGGGATCTTCTCCAGAGCTTCTTTCTGTTGTGTTTGACATGCCCCACATTGCCCATGTAGCCGAGTAATTGCAGATCATCCTTGGGGACCTCGTGCCATTTAGCCTAATAAGCAGAGTCATTTAGGAGAGCAGTTACAGGAGTGATGTCTGGAGAAATTGGTGGCTTTTCCTTTGATGCTTACACAATGGTGGTCTGCTGATCTAGCCCAGAGTGTGGCAGTGAGGGCAGGCTGTCTGAGCAGGGCCACCCACGGCGCAGTGGTCAGTAAGTAGCCTGAGCTCTGGGGTTTCGGCCTCAGTGAGGGGCAGGGCTTTCCCAGAGTCCCGTGCACTGCCTGGAGGGGACGGTCTGTGTGACCAGTTTAATGTCAGGTTTGCCACAGCTTCCTCACTCGTCTCACTTTCTGTATTTGTATTTGAAAAGCAGAGTTAGAAAGATGTAATATTTGCTGGTTCACTTCTCAAATGGCTGCAGTAATGAGGGCTGGGACAGGCTGACGCCAGGAGCTTCATCTGGGCCTCCCGCGTGGGTGCAGGGGCCTACCCAGGACCATCTTCCACTGCATTCCCAGGTGCCTTGGCAGGAAACGGAGCAGCCCCTGGGATACTGGTGCTGCCGAGCTGGGATACGGGTCACACTGCCTTCGCAGTAGCCCCAGCAGGTCCCTGTTCTGCCTAGAGCCTGTTTGCACTGCGGAGCAGCCTGACAGAGACTTACCTCAGCTCCACCACGGCCTCCCCGACCCCCTCAGTGTCTGTGCTGTCACCGCGGCCTCCCCGAACCCCTCAGTATCCATGCTCACTGCGGCCTCCCCGACCCCCTCAGTGTCTGTGCTGTCACCGCGGCCTCCCCGAGCCCCTCAGTATCCATGCTCACCGCGGCCTCCCCGACCCCCTCAGTGTCCGTGCTGTCACCACGGCCTCCCCGACCCCCTCAGTGTCCGTGCTGTCACCGCGGCCTCCCCAACCCCCTCAGTATCCATGCTCACCACGGCCTCCCCGACCCCCTCAGTGTCCGTGCTGTCACCGCGGCCTCCCCGACCCCCTCAGTGTCCATGCTGCCCAGTTGTAGTTTGTCAGTTCACAAGCGAGGTTTCCGGGGTCGTTCGCTCTGGCTGGTAATGTGTAGGTGCCTGTGAAATCTGTGGAGCCTAACCTGTTGTACAGAATGGTTTATTGTCTGTGGTCATCTTCCCCGCTCGTGTGAGGGCGCTTCATGGAGTCGGTAGGAAGATGGCGTTATTTCTGTGCAGGGGCAGAGCTGGACTGCAGGGCTGCGCTGGAGGGTGGTGGGACTTACTGATTTAGTTAGAAATTCTATGATCCTGAGTTTCAGGAACGTGTTTATTGTTGAGGGTAGAGAGACTTGCACATATTTAATAGTAACAAAATACTTGCGATATTGTTATGTACTTCTGTGCGCCAGCTGTATTTTTTTTTTCAGATAGTTTATATTTTAAATGCAAAGATTCTTGAGCTTTTCTTCTTTAATTTTTGAGGACCCATTATATAACTGGTTTCTACTATTGTCAGGATTAACAATTTATAAATATCAGCTTTGAGATTTATTTCCTATCTAAGTCTGTTGCCTGCTATGACAAAATAAACCAGATTTTATATTCAAACTGACGCAGGTCCACGGCTCGCAGAGGCTGGCTTGTCCCAGAGGAAGGCGCAGCAGCCTTGTGTCTGGAGAGGGCTGCGAGTCTTTGGCGTGTCCTTCCATGGGAAGCGAACAGGGGTCTCTAGTCTCTCATGCAAGGACAGCAGGCCCGCTGGGGGTGGGGGCGGCACCTGTGGCCGGCACCTGTCACCACACGGGCTGTAGAGTTTGTGGGGAACTCCTGCTTGCCCTGAGGCTGCAGTCGTGGAACTTCCTGAAACGCAGTGGCCATGGGCGGTGACGGGAGGGAAGGTGCCCAGCCTGGACATGGAACGCCCGGACACGGGAGTCCCGCAAGATGATGCGGCCCACAGAGGGGCCAGCGGCTCGAGGCTGGACCACCTTCTTGCAGGCGAAGGGCGGGGGAGGCTTTTGGAAGTGTCAGAGTAGTGCGAAGATGTTTTGGGAGAGCGTGAGACGGGAGAACAGCCTGCGGTGTGCAGCACCTCCTCGGGTCTCTGTGGGTGCTTCCCTTTCCGCCTCGGCCTCTTGGTTAGTGGCATTGCTTTAAGGGGAAGACGGCTCTGCTGCTCTTGGTGGTCGGGGAGCCCCAGGGAAAGCCCCTCCTGGCTGCCCAGTCCTGAGCCCCAGTGATGTCAGCTGCTGACTGGGCTGGGGGTGGATGCACACACAAGTCCTAGTACTTCCTCTGCAAATACTGAATCATTTGTCCTCTTTGTTCCTAGCAATGTCTCAGGCCGTGCAGACAAATGGAACCCAGCCATTAAGCAAAACGTGGGAGCTCAGTTTATATGAACTGCAACGGACACCTCAGGTAATACAAGGAGACTTAGGGGCGTAGAAGACATGTAAGCCAAGGTATTGTTTAGAAGATGAAGTTTGTCATTTTATTTTTAAAGATTTATTTTTACCATTTTTTAATTGGAAAGGCGGATATACAGAGAGGAGAGACAGAGAGGAAGATCTTCCGTCCGATGATTCACTCCCCAAGTGAGCGCAACGGGCCGATACTATGCCAATCCGAAGCCAGGAGCCTCTTCCGGGTCTCCCACGTGGGTGCAGGGTCCCAAAGCCTTGGGCCATCCTCGACTGCCCTCCCGGGCCACGGGCAGGGAGCTGGAAGGGAAGCGGGGTTGCTGGGACCAGAACCGGCGCCCACATGGGATCCCGGGGGTGCAAGGCGAGGACCTTTAACCACTTGCGCCACCGCGCCGGGCCCGAAGTTTGTCATTTTATAACAGCTGTGGCAAATTAGCGTTTAAGTAGGCCTGACTCTGGCTGACACTCGGTTCAGCAGATGGTGAGCTCTCTGCCAGCACCAGGGTTTATGGCACTTGGACAAGAAAGTATCCCTGGAGGCAAGCATGTGGGAGGGTGTCCCTATGAGTGACAGCCAGGGACAGCTGTCTCGGGAGGGTGAAGCGGCTCAAGCGGGGGGGTAGGTTTGGAGACTGCGTCTGTTGGGCGCTGGCCTTGTGGACTGAGATGCTGGCAGAGAGGCAGGCCCAGCGTCAGTGTAAACCTGGCTAAACATGAAATCTAGGGGCTGCCGCACATTCTAAGCTGCGGGAATGGACCACCACAGAGCACAGGAGAAGGCTGGCCTTCCAGAGAAAGTAGGTCGGGGCTGGTGGCCTGGTGGGCAAAGCTGCTACCTGTGACACTGGCATTTCATACGGGTGCCAGTGTGTGTCCTGCCCACTTCTGGTCCAGCTTCCTGATAACAGCTTGAGAAAAGTAATGGAAGATGGCCCAAGTGCTGGGGCGCTGCCATCTGCGTAGGAGACCTGAGGGACACTGCTGGCCACTGGCCATTGGAGCCATCGGGGACTGAGGCAGTGGCTGGAAGATTTCTGTGTATTCTAAGTTTCAAATACTAGTAGAGTTGTGAAGGCAGGCCAGTCTCACTGGAGTTAGAACTTCCATGTGTCTGCTTGATGACTAGGGAGCCTGAGCATCTTTCCGTGTGCCTTTTAGCCATTTGAACTTGTTGTTTTGGAAGACGCCTGCTCATTTCCTTACCTGTTGCCTCCCAGGGTGGTTTTGCTGTCGCTGAGTTTCCGAAGTTGTTTGTAAACCCTGGATATTAGTCCCGTTTTTGATGTGCAGTGTGAAAACATTTTCTCCCACTCTGTCAGTCACTCCTTTGCTGGACAGAAGCTGCTTGGTTTGATGTAGTCCATTTGTTCATTTTGACTTTGACTGCCTGTGCTTTGGGTGACTTATTTATTTTTTAAAGATGTATTTATTTTTATTGGAAAGTCAGGTATAGAGAAGGAGAGACAGAGAGGAAAATCTTCTGTCTGCTGGTTCACCCCCCAAGTGGCCACAACGGCTGGAGCTGAGCTGATCTGAAGCCAGGAGCCTCTTCCAGGTCTCCCACGTGGGTGCAGGGTCCCAAGGCTTTGGGCTGTCCTCAACTGCTTTCCCAGGCCACAGGCAGGGAGCTGGATGGGAAGTGGAGCTGTTGGGATTAGAACCAGCGCCCATTTGGGATCCTGTGCGTTCACAGCGAGGACTTTAGCTGCTAGGCTATTGTGCTGGGCTCTCCACTGAATTTCAAATTGCTGCATTGTGTTCTTCATTTCTGGTAATTGGGCTTCATTTTGTTTCAGTGCTGCTATTTCCTGTGTGACATATTCTTTTTTTTTTTAATTTTATTTTGACATAATTTACATAGTTAATTAGGGTAAGAAGGTTCAAGGGCTACAGGAAAGTGGATAATACTAGTATGTTTTCCATATTGTTACCTTCATATTTAAGGGAGAAGGCCCACCCAATTTCCCACCCTCCCCAGGTCCCGGATGTAGGGCATGCTCTGAGGTTCTTGCTCAAGTGGTTTTGATATTGCAGCAGTTATGAATCGCTGTCAATCTTGCCACTCCAAGCACTATGAGGGCTTTGAAAAATCCACTGATTGACATAGTCCATCATAGATGATATGGTTGGTTGACCTGTTCTGTCTTCTCTCTTTTCTTCATTAGGGTTCTGAGTCCAGCATTTAGATTAGAAAGATCTCCAAAGAAACTTCTTGTATGTGCTAACAAGTACAGGGCCTGGCACCGTCCATCGCTCCAATCAGCTGGTGGTTGCAATTGCTGGGTTGGTCTGTTTTCACTCCCGACTTCCACTGGAACCAATGGGTGTTGCAGTCCAGCCTGGTTCTGCCCAGCACATACTTGGCCCTCACATAAACCAGTGGGAGCTGCAGCCTAGTTGGAGCGACCCACAATAACCCCCACCAGGCCCACCCCCTACCCTGGTTTGCCAGTAAGTGTAGCAGTAATCCAGTCTGTCCCACACCCCATTCCACCCCAGCCGCTATCTTAGTTGTATGTCCTCCTGTGGAAGTGGTAACCCAAGAGGGATGAGCCCACTATTTCCCTCCCAGGCCTCTCCCACTCCCAGATTCCAGCTGATGCTGTGGCTAAGCCCAAACAACCCTCGCCCACTTTAATTTTGTTTGCACCAGTAGGAATAATCTGCCCAGCCCGGCTTTTCCCTGATCTGGTCCACATGAGGCGCACAGGTGTGGTAGCTCTGCCTAGTCTGGTCTGCCCCCATCCCACCCCATGCTCTCCTGCGGAAGTAGCTGTCCTGCAAAGGAACCCTCCCTTATTCCCCTGCCGGCTCTGTCCACTTCCTTTCTTGTTCTCAGGCTGGTTGGGCGCTGCGGTCCCTTCCGGTACAGGCAACCTCACCTCGGCATTCCATAATGTGCACTAGTCTTTGTTGCGACCGACCCTGGGTCGACCCACACTGGTGCCTGGATTTGCCAGTGGATGACGTGGACAGATTCAGCCTGGTCTTGCCCCTACATCTGCCAATTGTATGCCAGTGGGTAGCTTTCCATGGCCTTTTCCGGGCTGTTTCCTATCATGTTTCTTGCGTTTACCTGCCGGGTCTGTGTCCTGCCAGAGGAGTTGCCCGGGCTCCTCCATCAGAACCTCTCCCAATGCCAGGTTTCACGCTTACCAGTGGGTCCATGAGCCAACCCTACTCAGTCCACCTCCTGTCATAGCAGGAACTGTGGCTTTTCCTGACTGGCCTTCCACCCAATCTGGTTCTTGCTGTTGGATGTTCCAGCCCAGCCATGGTTTGTCCATACCCACGTATGGCTCACACATGGCTCAGTAGGGGTTTGAGACCCTGCCTAGTCCATCCCACATCTGCCCTGGTCCTCCAGAACACCAGGGGGAGTCGGGGTCCGGCCCGGTTCGGTGCATCCAATCCCAGTCCACACTTGTGCCAAGGGAGACTACAACTGTTTCCAGATCAGAACACAGCCCCCCTTCCAGGCCACACGCCTCTTGGTGGGAACCTCAGCCCAGCTAGGGTTGTCCCCTTAGCTCCCCAGCCGGTTCTGTTCCCAGCCATAGATCACTTGCCTGCCAATGGATGCTCTGACTCAGCTTGGCACGGCCCCTCCCCTATCCTGAACTCTGCATTAAACACTGTGGCTTAGCGTCCCTGGCTTCCGCAGACCAGTAGGTACAAGAGCCTAGCTCGGCATGACCTCTGCTCCCTACTGGTTTCTAGTTTTACTTGTGGGCTAAGGTTTGCTCAGTCGTGCCTGATCTACTCTGTTCCATTACGAGTTGACACATTAGCCAGCTGTTGGAGCTACTTTTGCAGGACAAGCCCCAAGCCATAGCTTCTGCATGACTGGTGTTTGGTGCTCAGCATTATTAGTGATTAAAAGTTTTGCTAAGGAAGAGTTACTGCCTGTTTCAGGTCCAAGAAGCACAATGGGTTCAACCTGGAGCTCATTAAGCAGCAACTCAAAGAACCAAATCCCCAGAGCTCCCCGGCCGGGCAGCCAGCAGGCGGAGCCTGGCACCAAATGACGCACTGGCCGCCCGGGAACAGCTCAGCACATGGTGGCTGTGCCCATGGCGACTGTCCGGGATCTAGGCATGAGACGCCCCGTCCTGAGACCCACCAGCTGCCAGGAGGCTACTGGAGGTTTAAATAACCCAGGCCCAAGGTTGCGCCCCTCCCAAATCCCATTCACCGCCCCATGCGGCGGGTGGGTCCCGGACCTGCCCAGTCCCGGAGGCCTCCCCCCTTGGTCTACTCGCCCCGAAGGAAGCAGCCCCCGGAACCCAGTGACATATTCTTAAACTCCTTGTCCTATAAATGCTTCTCGTTGATAAGAAGCGTCATAACAATTGTAAAAATTCCTTACCCCGGTTCCTCTGTGTGTTCCTCAGTTAATTGTGAAGTTTACAAAGGCTTTTGTTCCTTTGTGGGAGGCTTTGGTAGTATTCGTTACGCCTCTGTCTCTTTTGCCGAGCTTTTTTCTCCTTGGGGCTGGTTTTTTCAGCTGTGTTGTTGGTAGATCTACAGGTGGACTTTACTGATCACGATCAGTACCTGGTTCTTTGTTTGCAAGGCTCAGTCCCGTGTTCCCGTGGCATGCTCCTGGCTCAGCTCTCCAGCCCCTGTCATTCCGTGCTGTGACCACCCTGCTGCCTGCTCAGCCTTTCTCCAGCTTACAGTTTTGTACCCAGGATTAGGGAGACGCCAGGTGCCCTAAATCACATGGTTCCTCTTGCCAGAACCGGCTGGCAGGTGGGTCTGGATGCAGCCCGTGCCTGCTTTGGGTGGAGCCTGTGAGATGCAGTGTTGTCCTGGCGGGACCAGTGCAGTGCGTTGACCCGGAAGTGAGTTCTCTCCCCACTTAATGCATGCTCAGCTCACTGCTGTCCCTCCTCCAGTGCCTTTCCCCAAGTTCACAGAATGGCACCTGGTGTGGTACTGGTGGGAGTCTGGGCCATGAAATCCACCCTGTCCCCATACCTGCCTGCCTGGGCACTGCCACCCTGCTTCTCGTGCTGGGATTAAACGTCGGCAGGACTTACAGTCCTGTGGCTAGGCTCACCTCCCGAGTTTCTGGTGAACTCCGCTCCCTACCGCCTGGTGGAGTTCCCGTTGCTGCGGGGGGTAGTACTACATGTTACACTCAGTGCGCCATGCTTCACTCAGGGTTTGGGGGATTTGCCAGAAAACCTGACCCCGTGTGAAGAAAGACCCAGGGTTTGTGGCCTTCGGAGGTAATTGTCAAGTCCTGTTACATTATTTGTAAGAGAATACTTTTTATTGGAATCTTATTATTTTAATTGGAGTAGGAAACGTGATTTATAAAAATGGTGTAACTTTTTTTCAAAGATTTATTTATTTTTCTTGGAAAGTAAGGTATAGAGAGAGGAAGAGAGAGAGGGGAAGATCTTCCAGCTGCTGGTTCACTCCCTAAGTGGCTTCAGTGGCCAGAGCTAAGCTGATCTGAAGCCAGGAGCTTCTTTGGGGTCTCCCATGTGGGTGCAGGACCCCAAGGCGTTGAGCCGTCCTCTGCTGCTCTCCCAGGCCACAGGCAGGGAACTGGGTGGGAAGTGGGGCAGCTGGGATTAGAACCAGTGTCCATATGGGATCCTGGTGCATGCCATGCCGGGCCCTCCAAAATAGTGTAACTTTAAAAAAAGATTATTTATGTGAAAGGCAGAATATGAGAGGGAGAGGGGTCTTTATCTAGATGTTCACTCCCCAAATGGCTAGCGGCCAGTGCTGGGTAGGCCACAACTGGGGCTTCGTCTGAGTCTCCCACATGGTGCAAGGGCCCGAGCCTTGAACCGTCTTCCACTGCCTTCCCACGCGATACTGGCATTGTGGGTGGCGGTTTGATATACTGTGCCACATGCCAACACTGTAGTGGTATAATCTTTGTGGAAGAATTCTTGGGGTTCATTAGCCCTAATGTCCTCATAACCCGTTAATGTCATGTAACTCACTAATCAAGACTAGAACTCGGGTTTATTATACTAGGCTGTTTTTACGAACACATTATCTTTGGTGTAAGGAATGCGTATGGCGTGCAGTGTGACAGGGCTGACATAAGTTAGACAAGATTGTCACAGAAACAGGACAGGTAAGTTGGAAGAATGGTGACCCTGGGATAGCTGTAGACGTTGCATTTTACCATTTTCAGTAATCTGTTTGAACTTCTCTGGTTACAAAGAAAGAGTAGTGCTTAATTTTCAGGTGACTTTTCCAGGAGGCAATAACAGATGGCTTGGAAATTGTGGTTTCGCCCCGAAGTCTGCACAGTGAGCTCATGTGCCCGATCTGCTTGGACATGCTCAAGAACACCATGACCACCAAGGAGTGCCTGCATCGCTTCTGCGCCGACTGTATCATCACAGCCCTCAGGAGCGGGTGAGTCCTGTGCCCGTGCCCTCAGGAGCAGGTGGGTCGGGCCACGCCCAGGGTGCCCTGTGCCCGTGCCCTCAGGAGCAGGTGGGTCCTGTGCCCGTGCCCTCAGGAGCGGGTGGGTCGGGCCACGCCCGGGGTGCCCTGTGCCCGTGCCCTCAGGAGCAGGTGGGTTGGGCCACGCCCAGGGTGCCCTGTGCCCGTGCCCTCAGGAGCGGGTGGGTTTGGGCAGGCCCGTGCCCTCAGGTGGAGCAGCATTCCTGGACATGCTTCTCGCAGCTGCGTGGTAGCTACTCTGTAGTTAGTACAGTTTGCTTTACGTGCTGTCAGGAACTTTATTAGGATGAGTGTTTTGAGCACATAGCATGAAAACATGGTTTTCCTACTTAACTATGTAAAGTCATGTTCTTAGGAAAATGCCTGTTCAATGAAACGAGTGATAGCATACAGTAATACTAGTGGCTGGTCTTTTCTTGAATGGCATTGGTATCAGGGTGTTAGCAAAAGATCTGTTTTTGGTTTTTTTTTTTAGTTTCCTAGATAGTCATATACATTATTGAGAAGTTTTCAGACTGTTTTTGTAAATATCTGAGAGTATTTAAGATTTCTAAAATATTGCTTACCTGCTAATCAGATTTTTAAGAAGTTGGGGTTAATTAGTTTATATTCCTTGAATTATTAGAAGTTTTGGAATAAAGTGAGTCGTTCACAAGTTGGATATTTTTGTTTATAGCCAAAGCTGCGGTTGTTTCATGTTTTCTTTTTCCTCTTGTTTAGCAACAAAGAATGCCCTACCTGTCGGAAAAAGCTAGTTTCCAAAAGGTCCCTGAGGCCGGACCCCAACTTCGATGCGCTCATCAGCAAGATCTACCCGAGTCGGGACGAGTACGAAGCTCACCAGGAGCGCGTGCTGGCCAGGATCAACAAGCACAACAACCAGCAGGCACTGAGCCACAGCATCGAGGAGGGACTCAAGATCCAGGCCATGAACAGGTGCCCGCCGGGAGGCCGGGAGGCCAGGACGGCCAAGGAGGCCAAGGAGGCCAGGGAGTCTGGGAGGCCAGGACGGCCAAGGAGGCCAAGGAGGCCAGGACGGCCAAGGAGGCCAGGGAGGCCAGGACGGCCAAGGAGGCCAGGGAGGCCGGGAGGCCAGGACGGCCAAGGAGGCCAGGGAGGCCGGGAGGCCAGGACGGCCAAGGAGGCCAGGGAGGCCGGGAGGCCAGGACGGCCAAGGAGGCCAGGGAGGCCGGGAGGCCAGGACAGGCTGCCTGGATATCGGGGTCCCTCGTCCCGCGAGCAAGACCCCGATACTGTAAAGAGTCTTAAAAAAGTTTATTGGGTAAGACTTCAAGCGTTGTGGCAAAGTGAAAGCAGTTACAGCACTTGTAAGATTTATTACAGTAAAGCAAAAGCAGCCTAGTGCTAGCTAGCAATAGCCTTGAAGTGATAGCGATAGCTCTAGCTCTAACAGTGCGCCTGGTGGAATCTCCTCATTAACTATTTTTCACCCAGACCTTTTTATATTACTCAAACCAATCCATACACAGTTCTTCACATCATGTGATAAGCACACCAATCATGACTTAGGTCACATAGCTTCCCTACGTGCTTGGCCCAATCCTCAGTAACTTCCCAAAACCTGTTTACCACCTTTGTGCCACAAAGCAATGGTCAACAAGCGCCATCTTTGAGGCGCGGCTCTGCTCTCCACACCTGGACACTTGTGCACGCCTGTGTCTTTAGCTTTGACTTCTGTGTCGTCTACTGCTCCTCGTGTTCCATTGTGTTCTCTTTAGAACAGAACTTCTTGCAGGAATTGATTGTGCCTATTTCTAATTTCCTTAAAAACAAAAGAAAACATGTTTAGGTAAAGAGGTAGAGACAGATGCTCTGAGGTCTTCTGGCCTCTGCTTTCCTGTCCAGATGCCCACTGTGGCTGGGGCTGAGCCAGGCCAGAGCCCTGGAGCCTGGGGCCCATTGGGACTTGATGTGCATTAGCAGGGAGCTGGGATCAGAGAGAGGCATGTGTGGAGTGCTGCAGGCTCGCCAGGCAGCTCTCTCATGCTTGCTGCATCAAATGTCCACTTGTGTCCTTTTCCTGTGGCTGCCCTCTGGTGAGACTCTAGTACTCAGCCTGCTTGTCTGCTGATTTCCACTGTGCAGCTAAGGCAGTGTGACTCCTCCATGCAGCTAAGGCGGTCTGATTCCCACTGTGCAGCTAAGGCAGTGTGACTCCCACTGTGCAGCTAAGGCGGTGTGACTCCTCCATGCAGCTAAGGCGGTCTGATTCCTACTGTGCAGCTAAGGTGGTGTGACACCCACTGTGCAGCTAAGGCGGTGTGACTCCTCCATGCAGCTAAGGCAGTGTGACTGCCACTGTGCAGCTAAGGCGGTCTGATTCCCACTGTGCAGCTAAGGCGGTGTGACTCCTCCATGCAGCTAAGGCAGTGTGACTGCCACTGTGCAGCTAAGGCGGTCTGATTCCCACTGTGCAGCTAAGGCAGTGTGACTCCCACTGTGCAGCTAAGGCGGTGTGACTCCTCCATGCAGCTAAGGCAGTGTGACTCCTCCATGCAGCTAAGGCAGTGTGACACCCACTGTGCAGCTAAGGCGGTGTGACTCCTACTGTGCAGCTAAGGCGGTGTGACTCCCACTGTGCAGCTAAGGCAGTATGACACCCACTGTGCAGCTAAGGCAGTGTGACTCCTACTGTGCAGCTAAGGCAGTGTGACACCCATTGTGCAGCTAAGGCAGTGTGACTCCTCCATGCAGCTAAGGCAGTGTGACTCCCACTGTGCAGCTAAGGCGGTGTGACTCCCACTGTGCAGCTAAGGCAGTGTGACTCCTCCATGCAGCTAAGGCAGTGTGACACCCATTGTGCAGCTAAGGCAGTGTGACTCCTCCATGCAGCTAAGGCATTGTGACTCCCACTGTGCAGCTAAGGCAGTGTGACACCCACTGTGCAGTTAAGGCAGTGTGACTCCTCCACTGTGAAGCTAAGGCGGTGTGACTCCTCCATGCAGCTAAGGCAGTGTGACTCCCACTGTGCAGCTAAGGCGGTGTGACTCCCAGGAGCCACGAGCTTCTTCCACGTCTTTCACATTGGTGCGGTCCTCTGCTGCTTCCCAGGCCACAAGCAAGGAGCTGGATGGGAAGTGGAGCAGCCAGAACTGGCTCCCATATGGGATCCTGGCGCTTGCAGGTGGAGGATTAGCCTGTTGAGCTGCCAGGACAGCCCCCTCCCGGTTCCCTTCATGGTATTAAGTGTTCCTCCTTAGTTTCTTCTGTAGGTTCTGTTTCACTTTGCCAGCTCTCACAGGTGCAGTGCCCCAGATGAGTTTTTCTTTCCTTTTGAACCCTTGGTCTCCTGGCTCTCAGTGGAGCCCTCGAGGCGTGCCTGAGCAGCACTTCGGATGCAGTACCCTCAGGGCCTGGACTTGTGTGCTCTCCCTGCTTCGTTTGGTGGCATCTCCTTCATTCTGCTTGCCTAAGCCAGGAGTGTGGGGTCACTCTTAGGTCTTTTTTCCGAGGTACTTTTTGTTTTTCTGTAGCTGATCCACGCTGTTTCTGGCCACCACCATCCTTTGACCCGCAGGCTTCTGCCTGGTCTTTCTCCTTGTTGTGCCTTTTCTGCAGGAGCTTTGCTCGGCACAGTGACCACGGTGCTGCAGAACCCTCTGCTAGCCTCTGCTCCCATCCAAGGTCAAAACCACGGCAGTCTGATTGTGACATGCTGGGCACACCTTGTGTTGTCTCTGCCCAGAGCAGCCGAGTTGGCCCAGAGCTGGCCCAGTGCAGCGTCTCTACTTGGACGCTTGTGGCCCTGCCCAGGCGAGGTCACCGGGCCAGAGGTACGGTCTGCCAGTTCCGTGGCTGATTCTGAGAGCATCAAGTTGGGAGCCACTGGTTCAGAGGGTGGAACACGCACTCGGATCTCCTGGCAGTGAAGTTATGTGTGGAAAATACTTAGATTTACTGGATGACTCGTCCTTGAGGGTTGGAAATGTTTACATGGCTGGAGTCTTATCAAGAGCTGCGTGGTTCATTGTTTGGTTTTGCTTGAGCATCACAGCGGGAAGGCCCTGTGTCCGTTAGGGTCACTGGATTGGGTTGCAGCCGCCTTTCCTTCTTGCGACTTGGCGGGCACACACTGCTGCCTTGAACCTCTTGGTGGTCCTGCTCATTCTTGTGGCATTGCTCAGGTCCTGGCCTGCTCAGTTTGCCTGCACAGCACTGCTGCTCTCTGCCACACAGACTGAGGTATCACTGCCTCTTTTCAGGTCGTTAACTAAGAAATAATTCTGTCTGCATAAATTTATTGTTTTAAAGATTTATTTTGAAATTCAGAGTTACAGAGAGGGAGATACACCTTCCATGCACTGGTTCCCTCTCCAAGGGGCTGCAACAGCCAGATCTGGCCCATGGTGGTGTGAGTGGCAGGCCAGCTCATTGCAGCACCTCCCTCTGCTTTTCCCAGTTCACTTGCAGGAATCTGGAGCAGCCAGAGCACAGATGGGCATCCATGTGGGATGCTGGTGTCTCAGGCACACAGATGGGCATCCGCATGGTGTGCTGGCACCCAGGCAGAGGTGTTCCTGTGATGCTGGCCCCTGGGTGCATGCATCTTTTAAAGAATGCTTTCTTTACGCTGAGTTAAAATTAGTCTGTTAAAAATTATTTGAGAGACATAAAGACAGAAACTCAGAGGTAGCCTCCACTGCTTTGTTCCCCACATGCTTGGAGATCAGGGGTGGCTGGGGCTGGACTGGGACTGAGGCTGAGGCTGGGCTGGGGCTGACTGGGGCTGGCTGGGACTGAGGCTGGGGCTGGGACTGACTGGGGCCGGCTGGGGCTGGGGGCTGGGGCTGAGGCTGGGGCTGGGGGCTGAGGCTGAGGCTGGGGGCTGGAGCTGAGGCTGAGGCTGGGGTTGAGGCTGGGGCTGGGACTGACTGGGGTTGGGCTGAGGCTGAGGCTGAGGCTGGGGCTGGGACTGACTGGGGCCGGCTGGGGCTGGGGCTGGGGGCTGGGGCTGAGGCTGGGGCTGGGGCTGGGGGCTGGGGGCTGGGGCTGGGGCTGGGGCTGGGGGCTGGGGCTGAGGCTGGGGCTGAGGCTGGGGCTGGGAGCTGGGGCTGAGGTTGGGGCTGGGGGATGGGGGCTGGAGCTGGGGCTGGGACTGGGAGCTGGGACTGGGGCCGGGGCCGGGGCCGGCTGGGGCTGAGGCTGAGGCTGGGGTTGAGGCTGGGGCTGGGACTGACTGGGGTTGGGCTGAGGCTGGGGCTGAGGCTGGGGCTGGGACTGACTGGGGCTGGCTGGGGCCGAGGCTGGAGCTGGGTTGGGCTGCGGCTGGGTCTGAGGCTGGGACTGGGGGCTGAGGCTGGGGGCTGGGACTGGGGCTGGGGCTGGGGAGATTGGGGCTGAGGCTGAGGCGGAGGCTGGGTTGGGTTGGGGCTGGGGCTGGGGAGATTGGGGCTGAGGCTGGGGCTGGGGCTGGGGCCGGCTGGGGGCTGGGGCCGGCTGTGGCTGGGCCTGAAGCTGGGGCTGGGGCTGGGGCCGGCTGGGGGCTGGGGCCGGCTGTGGCTGGGCCTGAAGCTGGGGCTGGAGCTGGGGCTGAGAGGATTGGGGCTGAGTTGGGCTGGGCCAGCTGAGGAGACTGGGGCTGAGGCTGGGGCTGGGGAGGCAGTCGCTGGGGAGACTGGGGCTGAGGCTGAGGCTGGGGCTAGGGAGAGTGGGGCTGAGGCCGAGGCCAGCTGGGGCCTGGGCTGGGGAGACTGGGGCCTGGGCTGAGGCTGAGGCTGGAGCCAGCTGGGGCCTGGGCTGGGAAGACTGGAGCAGGGGCTGAGGCTGGGGCTGAGGCTGAGGCCAGCTGGGGTTTGGGCTGGGGAGACTGGAGCTGGGGCTGGGGCTGAGGCTGGAGCTAGGGCCAGCTAGGGCTGGGGCTGGGGCCAAGGTCAGAGACCAGGAAAACTGTTCAGCTCTCTTGCTTGGGTGTCAGAAAGTTAACTACTGGGGTTATCACTGCTTTGTGCCAGGGTCTGTGTGGGCAGAAAGCTGGAGGAGCCAGACCCGGGCATTGGACCTGAGCTCTACTGTGTAGGATATGGGTGGAGGTAACAGACCAAGTGTCTTCTTTGCCTGTTATACACCCAATCTGCAGAACTCTAGCTTAGAAACTAAAACTGTTCCCATAAGCAAAACCCTGGTCTTGTGGCCATAGCACCTTTTGGCCTTGTTTTGTGCTTCATCTGCCCGAGTCCCCATGAGGAGCCCTCTGCAGCCTCAGCCATGCTTGGCAAGTGGTGAGATTCCCTTCCATGTTAAGGAAGTGTGTTTTAGAGCTCTTCCCAGGCTTAGGCCTGCTGCTGTCCCAGGCACAGTCAGAGCAGAGCCCCGCAGTCTCACAGGGGCTGGGATCCTAAGGGGCACCCCAGAACTGGCCCTGAACTGTCAGGGTTTGTATCTGATTCATGTTGCTTTGGTTTTATTTCCTTTTTACGATTAACTTATTTATTTGAAAGGTAGAAGAGGCAGGGGGTGAGGTAGAGGGGTCACTGGACACGATCGCCGTGAGCTGGGGACGCCATGCCGTGTGCCCGCCCGGCTGCTGCCAGGACGGGGAGACTAAGCGACTCCATGCCGTGTGCCCGCCCGGCTGCTGCCAGGACGGCAGTCTAAGCGACTCCATGCCGTGTGCCCGCCCGGCTGCTGCCAGGACGGGGAGTCTAAGCGACTCCATGCCGCGTGCCCGGCTGCTGCCAGGACGGGGAGTCTAAGCGACCCCATGCCGTGTGCCTGGCTGCTGCCAGGACGGGGAGACTAAGCAACCCCATGCCGTGCCCACCTGGCTGCTGCCAGGACGGGGAGTCTAAGCGACCCCATGCCGTGTGCCTGCCCGGCTGCTGCCAGGACGGGGAGTCTAAGCGACTCCATGCCGCGTGCCCGGCTGCTGCCAGGACGGGGAGTCTAAGCCGCTGTAGTGCAGCGCCGACCCCCAGTCGTGTCTTTGTGTAGACTCAGAATTGCAAAACACAAAATGATCAAAACCTGCTCAAGGATTTGCGAATAGTTGTTACCTTGTTTTTTTTTCAAAAGAAATTATTAAAGAAATAGGAACAGTCTAGTCATTTAAATGTTTGCATGCATCTGAAACGTCCTAGGGCTTTCATGGGGAACAGTGTTACTGTCCGCTGGGAGCAGAAGGAGCTGTGAGAGGTTTTGCAGACTGAGTAGCGAGTGTGCTAGTGTATTCTGTGCTTTCTCTCCTGACTAGACTACAGCGAGGCAAGAAGCAGCAGATCGAAAACGGTAGTGGGGCAGAAGATAACGGAGACAGTTCACACTGTAGCAACGCCTCGACCCACAGCAATCAGGAGGCTGGCCCTAGCAACAAACGGACCAAAACGTCGGATGATTCAGGGCTTGAGCTTGACAATAACAACGCCTCGGTGGCTATCGACCCCGTGATGGACGGGGCCAGTGAAATTGAACTAGTATTCAGGCCTCACCCCACGCTGATGGAAAAAGACGACAGTGCACAGACAAGGTGAGCATTGCCTTTGTTTCAGGTGAGCTGAACTCAGAAGCTTTAATTTGGAATTAAGAATTTTGCATATGAAGGAGAGAACAGTGGCTGGCATCCCATACGGACACCGGTTCAGACAGTCCCTTCCGGCCCCTTGCTCTGGCCTGGGAACGCAGCAGAAGATGGTCCCTAGCCTTGGGCCCCTCACCCCCGTGGGAAAGCAGGCAGAAGCTCCCGGCTGTTACAGCATTTAGGAAGGGAAACAGTGGATGCAATAGCTCTGTCTTTGCTTCTGTAACTCAGCCTTTCAAATAAATAAATAAATCTTAAAACAAATATACGTAAGGGAGCAGTGTCTGTCATCGTGTTTCCTTCCTTCCTGGTGTGTTTCCCAAAGTTCCACATCTGAAAAAATGACCTTCCTCGTTGTAGGCACAGAGTGGGCCATTCTGTTTCCTCACGCAGTACTCGGTGGCCAGAAGGCTCGGAAGCCAGGCCTGAGCACAGGGTCTCCCAGCCACTGCTGGTGTGTAAACCCGGTTCTGGAGTGAGTGAGCCAGACACCAGACTTAACAGCCGGGAGCGCGTCTGTGCTGGCTTAAAACCCGACCTCTGACTTCTCGAGTAAGGACACATTGTGCGTGTTCTTACAGGCAGCGAGTCCTCCCTGGGCTGCCTCTGCTGTTCTTTCCCCTGAGGATTCCGTGCGTTTCTGACTTGTTACTTTACATTGTATTTTACAGAAGGAACTCTTTTTATATGATAATATTTTATTTTTTTTAATTGGAAAGTCAGATTTATAGAGAAACGGAGAGACAGAAAGATGTTTCTTCTACTGGTTCACTTCCCAAGTGGCCACAACAGCCAGAGCCAAGCTGATCTGAAACCAGGAGCCAACAGCCTCTTCGAGGTTTCCTACATGGACCCTTTTTGGGGTCTCCCATATGGGTGCGGGGTTCCAAGGCTTTGGACCATCCCAAATTGCTTTCCCAGAGCACAAGCAGGGAGCTGGAAGGAAGGTGGAGCAGCCGTATGGTATCGTGGCACATGCAAGGCAAGGACTTCAGCCACTAGGGTATTGTGCTGGGCCCCAGAAGGAGCCTTTCAGTAAGAGATGTTCTCAGAGCAATAGGGTTGTAGTATTTTATTAATAATTGAGACATTTTGCATGTTACTTAGCAGTTTAATATTAGCTCCATAATTTAAGATTTTTGTCAGTTTATTCTGAAAATAAATTTGTAATGATTTTCTCCTTCCAGATACATAAAAACTTCAGGCAATGCCACCGTGGATCACCTGTCCAAGTACCTGGCCGTAAGGTTAGCTTTAGAGGAACTGCGGAGCAAGGGAGAGTCCAATCAGATGAACCTGGACACAGCCAGCGAGAAGCAGTACACCATTTACATCGCCACAGCCAGTGGCCAGTTCACCGTGAGTATTGCCGGCAGGCCACGGGCGGAAGGGAGCGCGCCTTTGGGAACAGGTTAGTGAGAAGGCACGGAGCGGCAAACAGGAATCGGGAGACGTTCCCAAGGTATTTTTAAAATGTATTGTGTGGACTTCTTTGGTTTCACTATTACTGTGCTTGGTGTGTGTTTCAGGTTTTAAACGGGTCCTTCTCTTTGGAGTTGGTCAGTGAGAAGTACTGGAAAGTGAACAAGCCCATGGAGCTGTACTACGCACCCACGAAGGAGCACAAGTGAGCTTCTCAGAGCAGCTCTGGGACTGACGTCCCCACAGCCCGACTGGGACCTTCAGGCTGTCGGGCTCCGGGGCAGCAGTGGGTACGCCCTCGGGCTCCGGGGCAGTGGGTACGCCCGGTTTTCTCTCTGAGCCAGACTCGTTTACACTATTCGAATCTCTCCCCTTAATTTAAGACTTTGTTTTTGGAAGGGACTACCATTACTCAGTATTTTTGCTTTTCTTTTAAAAATATACCTAAGTTGTGTGCTTTCACAACGTGTGGTTCCATTTTGGAGCAACTTTTTTACCCAGGAAGTTTCGTAGTTTTCTGGTTTCTGTATTCTTAAGATTCAGCTGACCTCCTTCTTCCGCTGCTCTCAGAAGTTCCTTAGGCCTCTAGAATGTTAATAAGTATTCCTACTTCCCTCTGACGTCTTATATATTTATAGTTTTCTATATAAGCTACAGAATCTTCATGAAGACCAAGGCTCAAATTTACTGTGCTGAAAAACAATTCTCATAGGATTATTATTTTCATGGTATTTTCTTCCGTAACATCTCACCTCACACAGACGTCGTGAACTTAGTGTCCCTTGTAATGCAATGTTACTTTCCTCCCCCTGTATTTTGGGATTCCTGGTCTTGGGGAAGAGAATCAAATAAAATCTTAGGTTCTATGAGAACTCGGTTCAATGATAGACTTCACTGAAGAAAGAAAAATTAAATAATGGTAGAAATATGTAGTCTTCAAGTGTTTATTTAAAAGGTTTCTTTTTCTTTCAAGTATTCTCTCACTTTTTTTATTATGTATGTTTGATGTTTTTCCTATTAAAATACCAGAGATATTTTGCACTTTAGCCTTGATGAAAAAAGTACATGATATGTTCAAAGCTTCCTGAATTATTTTCTGACCAGTAGCCGCATGAAGTTTCAGTAACATGGCACATAAAACTAACCATTGGGAAGCATTTTCTCCTCTCGGAGACGCGTGCTTAGTGTTTGGGCCGCCGTTTCAGCGTCCACCCCGGCGCTGCGGAAGCAGGGTCGGCCACACGAGCCTCTGGCCAGCAAGGGCCTGCCTGTCCCCCGGGCCAGCGCACCCAGCTGCAGCTGGGCTGGCGGTGTGTGCCGTGGGGGCAGCTCTGTGCTGTCCTTGCCCCGGAGGGAGCCGACCTGCGCACCGTGTTACCAGCCCCCCGGCCCCTGCGAAGAATCACCGTCAGGCCTCACAGCCTGGGCCCAGCTTCAGGTTTTCAATCTTCAGCCCAGAATGAAAACTTAAAGATGTACTCAATTTTTTTTACCATTTTATTGAAAATATTTAAAAGCTGTTTCTACAGGTTTTTTTGGTAATGTGTCATGAAATTTGAAAACTACCAGAAATCAAGGGAACTTTTATATTCAATTCTTTTTCTGGTGTAATGTTAAGTTGTATAGATTATTAATGCATGTCCACTGAATATAACCTTGGTTTTGTGGTAAAACTGCTTAGATTTTATTGGTGGTAAACTAGAATAGTGATTGCATAAATAACTAGATTTCCATTGTGATTCAAATTTTGTCTTTAAGCAGAAAGTTACTTGTTAACATGAGCTTTGTGCTTAGAGGATGTGTTTTTCTGTCAGTATGGGCGCGTGCATCGTTAGTGAAGCCATCGGATGTGTAATCCTTGCAAATATAGGAATTTGATAGAGCATTGAGTGTATTACGTGTATGTTTTGGGGGCAGGGGAAGGGTAGAAAGTGTTGGCCGACTAACTGCCAGCTGGGGTTCCCGGGAGCTGCCTGCGTGACTGAGGCGGCCCCGTCCCGCTCGCACGAGCGAAGAGCCTTTGCGTACGCTGCCTCTTGAGATGCGGACGGGAGCATGTGACGGACCTGCTGCCCCTGGGACGTTTGAATGTGCGTTTCTGGGGCGCAGTGACCCTCAGGATTTGCAAAGCTTTGTCTGCATTCCAGCCTGAAACTCAGCTGGGAACAGCCACTCCACATGTGCTTCTTTCCTCAGCCCCCAACTGTATTTTGCTTTTTCTCTGAGTTTGTTTCGGGCGTCTCATCTAAGGGAATCTGGATTTGTTCATAGTTCACCCTTACAGTGATGTGTATCAGAATTTCCTTTTTCTGCCTGTATTACACACACCATTCTGTGTCTCCATCTCTTGACAGACATGTAGCTTCCTGAACCCACCGCTGTTGTGGTCCTGCGGTGGACATCTGGGCCTGACCGTTGTGGACAGGGGCAGCACAGACAGGAAGCAGGTCTCCAGTCCTTGCCCATCCTCCTCGGGCTGCCATTCCTGTGACTTCTCAGTGGGTCCCTAGGGTGTCTCGTGTGCTCTGGCCCTTCATGAATCTGCTGTGAGGCAAATGGTGTATTCAAGTTCTTTGCCCACTCACTGTGTGATCTATTTGTTGTTGACTTGTAGGAGTGATTTTATATTCTGTATATTAATCCATTATCAGATATGATTTTAAAATATTTCATTTTCTTTTTACCCTACTTCTGATATATAAAACTTCAAAAAAATTATTTATTTGAAAGGCAAAGTTATGGAGAAAAGGAGAAATAGAAATCTTCCATCCACTGGTTCACTCCCCAAATGGCTACAGTGGCTGAGCTGAGACAAACTGAAACCAAGAGCCAGGAGCTTCTTCCAGGTCTCCCTTGTGGATGCAGGGACCCAAGCGTTTGAGCCATCTTCCATTGCTTTCCAGGGTATAACCAGGGAACAGCTGGGATATGAACCTGCATCTTTGAGGGATGCCAGCACAACAGGTGCAAGGTTCGCAACTCTGCCATGGAACCATGCCCGTGATACACAGAGCTGTTTGATAATGGTTCGGTGTGTCTGTTCTCCCAGGTGAGGGGAGTCAGCTCTCCCATGTGGTGCTTGATGCACTTAGGGTTTGGTTTGTGGTTAGAGTTGTGGTCCATCCTTGTACCTTCCCACGGGGATGCCCAGTGTGATGCTGTGTTGTCCATGGGATGATCTGGGCACCCTTGGTCAAAATCTACTGACCTTATGAGAGTATTTCAAAACAGTTCATGGAAAGCAGAATTAAAAGATAACTTTCATTTTAAAAAATGCAATGCAATTCTCCCATGAACTTTCCCATGAACTCATTGCAGACTCATTCCTGTGGCTTTTTTCTGGACTGTATTCCATTGGTCTGTTTGTCTTTAAGCCTGTAGCGGTTTTGATCACTGTAGCTTTGTAGAGTTTCCATTATTTTTAATTATCTGGGCCCTGTAAGGGAGGTAGTATTTTTCTCTGGGTATTAGAGAACGCTAAGACTCAGCACTACAACTTAGACAATAAAGCTCTGATGAGTGAAATGTCCTTTAACAAATGCCGTGAATTTTAGTTTCTATTGTATTTCTGCTCAGAACAAATTGCGTTTCTGTTTCTGTATTGTTTTTTATGCTGTATTACGAGCTCAGTTACAGATGCCCGTCAGAACTCCTGGCTTAGTGGATTAAGAACTGTTAAAATCCATTCTACAAAACAAACAAAAAGTTGTTATAGTCAAATTTTTGAAAACCAGAGGTTTGCAGCAATCAGAACATTAAGTGAATGAAAATTGAATTTTTTTAATGTTTTATTCCCCCCCCAACTTAGTTTTAGGGCAACCTTGAAAATTGTGTCTCGGTTATGACACTTGTGAAAGTTGGCCTCCTACCAGCCACCGCAGAGAAGGAGCAGCAAGTCTGAACTGGATCCACAATGATCCTAACACGTGCACCTCCCCACTGTCTGCAAGACCTCACCCCAAAGTGGCACTGCCCGAGCTGCCTGGCACTGCACCTCCCCACTGTATCTGCGAGACCTCACCCCAAAGTGGCACTGCCTGACCCCAAAGTGGCATTGCCCTGCAGAGCTTTGCTGTAGCTTTTCTTTGACCCGATTCAGCTCCCTTGTGCAAAACCTCCATCTTGGAATTATTTGTAAAAATGGCTCAGCAGCAGGTGTCTGGGACAGAAGGGCTACCGTGAGACTGATGACAAAACGGACTGTCTGTGGAGGGCTCTGAGTTGTGGCTGGTTTGACGGCTGAAGAGACTAAGTGGCTGCCTCTATGTGCCGCATTACGTGGGCGCTAGTTTGTGTCCTGGCTGCTGTACTTCTGACCCAGCTCCCTGCTCATGGCCTGGGAAAGCAGCTGAGCAGGGTCCAAGCCCTTGGACTGCTAATGTGGGAGATCTGGAGGAGGCTCCTGCTTCTGCTGCGCTCTGGGCGCTGTGGCTGCCTGGGGAGTGAAGCAGCTGATGGAAGATCTTTCCGTTTTTCCTTCTCCCTGTCTGTCCTCTCCGTAGGTTTGCCTTCCCAATAAAAAGTATTTCAACCAACGGGGGAGGGCAGCAGCTCTGGGCTGTCCCAGCATACTCTGCAGAGTTGAAGTCCACCCCAGTGTGTGGCTGTGACTGAGGCCACTACGTCGCCCGTGAGCGTTCCTGACGCTCTCAGCGGGCAGCGGATGAAGGCTGAGGCGCACCCGCACCCCCCACGCTGGAGGGGAAGGCCTGGCCAGCACGGTACTGCAGGAGCCCCTCTGCTGCCAGGCTTCAGGGCCACCTGGTAGTGTACACGCTTCATGTTAAAAACAGATTAAAATCCAGCAGTGTGATTTTGAGGAGTAAGTTGCATGTGCACATATATCTTAAGATTTACATACTTATCTGAAAGGCAGTTACACAGAAATCTTTAGTTCACTCAAATGGTTACAAACGCTGGGCCAGGCAAGGCCAAGAGCTTCTGTTCTGTCTGATGAACAGTTATGAGACAGGTCTCACCAAAGAGAAGGTGCCAGTAGGGAATGTTCTGTGTGGACGAAGAGGAAGCGGGAAAGGAAGTAGCAAAGCCCCAGATTTGTGGGACACCACCAAACGTACTGGCTTACAGCAGCTTTCAGGAGAGGGGCTGGAACAGGGCCTGAGGAGGTAACTGCCCAACCCAGTGCTTAGTCAGTTCAAAGGCCCACCAAACGAACTTGGCAGCCACAGGAGACCTTCTCTGAGTGCAGTAAGCAGGGGTGGCCAGAGAGGCCTGTAACAGAGCAGAGCGTCCCTGCAAGGACGGCGAGATGAACACAGCAGCGTACAGGGAACTGAGCAGTGTAACCCAGGTAAGGCAGGACAGGTGCATGTCATCATATGGGATTAACGGGTAAGATGCTGTTACTCCATACGGGATGGTGGTTTTGGATGCAGCCTCCTGCTCGTGCACCTGCAACAGCAGATGGAGGCACAGGTCACCCACATGGGATACCTGATGGAGATCCACTACAGGTTTCAGCCTGGCCAGCCCAAGGTGTTGAGGCCATCTGGGAAAGTGAACTATCTTATAAAAAAACCTGAACAAATCTGTACCAAGTCCTTTAATTAGTGATGACGCGCTGGCACAGTAATTAATCCTCTGCCCTGTGACACTGGCATTCCAAGGCTCTGGGTCAAGTCCTGGCTGCCACACTTCCCTTCCAGCTCCCTGCCTGTGGCCCGGGAAAGCAGTCGAGGACAGCCCAAAGCCTGGGGACCCTGTACCCGCCTGGGAGACCCAGAAGAGGCTCCTGGCTCCTGGTCAGCTCAGTTCTTGTGGCCATTTGGGGAGTGAACCCATAGGTGGAAATTCTGTCCAGAAAAATCATGTTTAAAAAAAAAAATCCAAGAAATATGCCAGAACTAAATGGCTGTGTTAGTGAATTTTGCAGATGTTTACAGAATCTTGTGCGTCGTGAGAACATGCTCCTGGAGAATCTAGACATTTTAAACTAACAAAACTCACAGCCCTGGAATCCAGCAGGCCAAGAGGGACTCGGCTGCACGGCGGGACGGCGACCTGTCCTTTAGGGAAGGAAGGCGGCAATGAGTGCTGACGCTGCCAGCTTGGCAGTGCTGAGTTATCTGCCCCAAGAAATAGTTCAGAGTAATTACATGTAAAATCCTTGTTACCAAAATTTTTTTTTCATTTATTTTATGCTGAATTTATTCTAGAGCTGTGTTTTTTCTTGAGTTTCTCTGGAATTCCATTTTGTGTTTTAGAAGCAGTTCTTTTCCAGCATGGGGAGTCTGGTGGTGCAGTTTGGCACCTGTTCACCTGGGCATGTTCCCTGGTCACAGAACTGAGTGACCTCTGTCCACCCATCAACCTGTTGCACTGCTGCAGTGGCATACGCGCGAGGTATCTTGCAGATCCCTGCTGCCGGCTTACTGCACACGTGCACCCTCAGACGGCAACCTGCTGTGTTTTTGAGCCTACTGCTGTTCACGACTTTGTGGGGGTTTCTGGTCAAGTCTGGGAAGTCACCTAGGTTTGCCTATAGCAAGAGTGCATCTGAAATCTTACATTGAAATTAAGCGGGAATGTCAGTGGAAACAAGATTTTTTTCCCATTTTTATCATTATGTTAGCCTGGGTTACGTATACAAAATGTTTACACACATACATACTCACTTCAAAATAGTAAATCATAAACCAATCCTCAAACTACAAACTCATCTCAAAGGGGACAGTTTTCTCCTGAGAGGCGGCACAGCCGAGCGAGTGAGGCCCAGGTGTGTGCGGACCGAGGCACTGGAGATCACCCAGGCCCGTTCAAGGTCAGACGGTGCTCCAGGACTGCCCAGTCATCAAGTGTCCAGGGAGGGAAGCGGTCTCAGGGAGACGGATCTCGCTCTGGATTGAGTCAACTAGACCATAAACTAGTAAGAAAAAATGTATTTCTAGCTCCAGTGAGTACTCAATTTCTTAAAAGCCGGTAATAAAATGATGCAAAGTACCATTTTTTAAAAACACGGGAACATAGTTCACCTTTGGAACTGTGGCATATGCCAGCGACCTGGAAGCCCGCCGAGCCTCACCTGAACAGGAAGAGGGCTTCGGCTTCATGGGCTACCCATGCAAAGACGAGCAGAGGTGACACAGATGGATTCCACAGTGTACATGAATTTTTCTGTAAAATAAAAACCTGGAAGCAAAGCTTCCAAGCAGCTAAGTTAGGAACTGCTCATTTCCGGAAGGAAAACAGCATTTCTTTCTTCTCACACCACGGAAGTGCAGGGACGGGAAAGGCCCTGCAGCTGGCACAGCTGGCACAGCTGGCACAGAGCTCCAGCAGGTGCCTCTTGACGGTCACCGCCTCCTGCAGCCACCTGCTTGGGCCTGGTCGCTCACAGACGTCTCGGCCCTGTTGGCCGCCGTGTCCTCAGGAGCTGACTGGACGTGGCCTTCTGCCTGGCCGCCAGCGTAGGTGGGCGTGCTGTACTTTAAAAGGATTGATTTGAACTGCATGAGAGGCGCGTCGGTTCGAACACCCATCGGGTCAAAGTGAGTCCGACTTACTCGAAAGCCTGCTTGAGAAAGATAGCACAGAAACTTTTTTAACCTGCAACAAGGAGAGGGAGAAATGGTTAGGTTCTTGTATTTTTGTTTAATGATGCTTTTAGTTAAAACACTGTCACCCCCTGGCTTCTTACTTCGGCATATTCATTCCTTTGATGCTGTGTCTGTGGATGTTGTAATAAAAGGGAGGATGTTCTGTGCTGACGTCAGTCTTCTGCTTCTTGGCCAAGTTTGTGATGATTTCATTGCTTTTTCTCTTCCCTGGGACACAGACATAAACACAGTTAGGAGTGTCTTAAAAATCATTCACAATGTCCTTACAACTCGATGTCTCCTGAAGGCTAACCATTTAGGCTATACGATCTCGCATTTCACTGTCCTCGGGCAGTTACAGCATCAGCTGTGCAATCAAACTTCTTTTGAGCTGCACTGCAGACCCAGTGGGCACCGTCCCTGCAGGAGTCCACTCCGGGACTCTGTACTCGTCAACCTCACAGCGCCCTCACTTTGACCATGGTTCTGTCACTCGTGCTTTGCGTTGCAAGTTCTCTCCCCAAACGTCCAGGTTCCTGGTGACAATGCCCTTCATTTCTGTATCTGTAGTCTGTTGGATGCCATCCCTGGTTTTCATGCACTGATAGATCAATTCTAGGGTAATCAGTTTAATTTCTTTGATTTCTCACGTATGAAAAAGGCTCAGATTTTAACATGATGTAAAGATTTATTCATCAACAAAAGGCAGAAGCATGGAGAGAAAAGGGGAGGTCGTTCATGTGCTGGTCCACTCTCCACATGGCTGCGACGCTGCCACTGGGCCAGGAACGCCACCTTGCCTACCACAGCCCTGGACTGCCCTGCTGCCTTGCCAGGAACATCAGCAGGGGGTTGGGTGGGAGGTGGAGCAGCTCAGACTCAAACTGGCATCTCCTGTGGAATGCTGGGATTGCAAGGATCCGCTTAACTCACTGCACAATGCATGCCCCTCAGTTTATTTTTTCAAAACTGAAAAAATAGGCAGATAAATTTCCCATGCATTGTTCAATTTCTGAAATGGCTGGGGCTCGGACAGAACTCCCTCTAGGCCCTTGATGTGAATGCTACAAGGACCAGGCACTGGGGTGGTCACGTGCTGCCACCCGAGCCACGGTAGCAGGAAGTGCGACCATGGGCACAGCACACGGCAGCTGCAGCAGGCATCCCCAACAAGGGCTCCTGCTAGGCCCCGGTGTCTGCCCCTCAAATACTTCTCAAGTTTATTCTTTGTTCTTGAACTTCTAAAACTAGCAACGCACACAAATGGAGTAATACTCGTAAAGCTGAAGTTCTTTGCAGTATATAATGTCAGCTTTCCCGTCCAACAGAGAAAACTAAAATATATTCTTTTAAGTGATTTGAATGTTGCCAAATTAGAAGATGCTAAGTGAATGATTATTGGAAAGATGACACACTTCTTATTAAGCCACACCCCATTAATTAGCAGGACTTTAAAGTTTGCCCGAGTCTCAATCCGGGTCAACAGTGAATGCAGGGCAGTCCAATGTGGAGTCCCGACTGGCTCTCCCACACACCGTCTCCCTTCTGCTGGACTATGTGTTTCCTGTGCACTCTCACTGACACACTGCAGGTGTGTGCGTGCAGAGGGCACACGGGTGCTTGAGGCTGGAGACCTGGCTGTCCTGGTGAACCCAGTGGGATGGAGACCTGGCTCTCCTCGTGAACCCAGTAGGATTGCTAACTACTGTAACTGATGAGCAACTTAAAAAAAATCAGAAACCCTTAACTGCATAATTTCACCTTATTTTCATCCACATTGTTGAGATCTTCTATTGCTTTCAAAGGGGATGTGAACAAAACACGTTAACAGAATTTTGGCGCTTCTGAACGCTAACAGATTTTGCTGTTTTGTTAGCAGAACATGAGTATCTTAAAAGTGGGCCAGAGGCGCCTCCCCCCGCCCGTCCCCCCCACCCCCGCAGCCTGAGGACCTGCCCATCCCTCCCTCCCGCCCGTCCGACCACCCCCTCCCGCCTGCCCCCCCTGCAGCCTGAGGACCTGCCCATCCCTCCCTCCCGCCTGCCCCCCCCGCCCTTCCCCCCGCCCGTCTGTACACCCCCCTCCCCCCTCGTCCCCCCCCCCCCCCCCGCAGCTGGAGGACCTGCATTCCCACACAGACCTTGCACAATGTAATTACCTGCTGTGCTTTCAGCCGTAGCTTTAGTAACTCCATTTTCTTCTAAAATAGAAAACAATTGGGAAGACAGTATTTCAGAGCATGAAATGAATCAAGTTCAAAGTTGAATAAAAGGTTAAAAAATTTCATTCTCAAGTTTCAATCCTTATAGGATTCTCTGGTGACAAAAGGCTACACAATGGTATGTCTTACAAAAAAAGTTTTTTTAACTTGAAAGATGGACAGAAGCAGGTCTCCTGTTTCTGGCTCTCGTCTGGCCAGGTCAACCTGAAGTGGAGGTCCGGAGCTCACTCTGGGTCCCCTGCGTGGCTGTCAGGGCTCCACACTGAAGCATCACTTACAAAAACAAATGTGTGCCCCAAGAACTGTATCCCGGAAGGGTGTTTACTGTGGCATAGTGGGTTGCGTACCATTGCGGGTACTAGGGTGTGCAGCCTGCGTCCGTTCTACTCCACACTGTGACAGCTTCTGGTTCCTGCGCCTGCGCGGCAGCAGGTGGCCAGGGGTCTGCCAGCCCTGCAGGAGCTCCAGAGGTAGGCCTGGCCCAAACCCAGCTGTGGCAGCAGTTTAGGGATTGAATCAATAGATTTCGCTTTCTTTGTCTCTCTTGATTAGTCTGCCTTTATAAGTAAATATTAAAAGCAATCGCGTTGAGGAGCCAGCAGTGTGCTGTGGCGTCCACACTAGGGTCCCAGGTGGGTGCTGGCTTGTTTCCTGGCTGCTGCCTTTCTGATTCAGTTCCCTGCTGATGGACTGGGAAGAGCAGCTGATGCAGGCACAGCTGTTGGAGTCCTGCCAGCTCTGGGGCCCTGGCTGAAGTACCCAGTATGGCTGGCTGCATGCGGCCTTTGCCACCTCCTGGACATGAAGCCAGTGCAGGGAATTCTCTTTCCCTGCCTCTGTAACTCTGACTTTGAAAATAAAGTCTTTTTAAAAAACCGCAATTTTGGTTTTTAAAAAACCGCCAGTTTGTGTCCCAGCAGCCCCGCTCAGAAAGCAGTCGAGAACGGCCCAGAGCCTTGGGACCCTACACCCGCATGGGAGACCCAGAAGAGGCTCCTGGCTCCTGATCAGATCAGCTCAGGCTGTTGTGGCCACTTGGGGAGTGAACCATTGGATGGAATATGTTCCCGTCTGTCACTCCTTCCCTCTGTAACTCTGCCTTTCCAATAAATATAAATCTTTGAAACAATTGCAGTTTCTAGTCATCTGTAGTAACTTGGGAGATTGCGCACCTTTGACCAACGAGGAGACGTTCCCATCGGGAGAAGCCTTCACTGTACTGAGAGAAACAGGAAATCTAGATTCTGTATTTAGTGGACATTAGCAAAATCTTTGGCTGTACCACTCTTAAAACTAGCTAGCGCTTTTCTAAAAAGCATAATAAAATCACAGAGCACTTTTATTTCGCTTAATACAGTAAAATGAAAAAGGGAGACCACCTTAAATCATTACCCACGTCACACCTCTGAGTATAACTGAAAATGAGGCACTTGGAGGTAAAGCAGCGGCCGTGAGGGGGTTACTTAGGTCACACTCCATGAACGGTGCTGCTTGCACGCAGGCGGTGTAATCACCTTGCCTGTTGACACCGGAGGCTGCGGGAACCGCAAACTGGCTCTGCAGACAGCATTCTGACTCAAAGATCAAGGTCTTCAGCAGGGCCTGAATATCATCTAAACCATGGTGGAGAGATTCAAGCAGCATTCTTTTGAGGAATCCAGTATTGAAAAGGGAACCTGACCTGAAAAGAAGCCAAGATATGGGCTTTCGAAATAGTTACTTTCTTAAAAAGAAGAAAAGCCTAGAGTAGTTAGTTACAACTAAAATATACAATTAATTATATAATGGAGTAATACATTCAGAAAGTTTTGAAGATTTAATTACAAACAGGTTCCTATTTGTCCACTCCTTTTGTCATGAAACAAGTAGGATTAATCAAGTAAGCTTCACTCACACTAGGTCCACAAGAATGTCCTGAGCCTTCCACCGAGGGCACAGTACCGTGTGACCCTGTGCTGGGGCAGCTGGAGGACACGCCCAAGTACAAGAGGTGGTACTGGCCGCACAGCAGCCCAAAGCTGGGTGTGGTAAGAAAGCCAGGATCTTGGCGTGTCTCTGCTCAGTGCTGCAGCGCTCAGTACTGCAGTGCTAAGTACTGCATGGCGCTCAGTGCTGCATAGCGCTCAGTGCTGCACAGCGCTCAGTACTGCATGGTGCTCAGTACTGCATGGCGCTCAGTACTGCACAGTGCTCAGTGCTGCATGGTGCTCAGTACTGCACAGTGCTCAGTGCTGCACGGTGCTCAGTACTGCATGGAGCTCAGTACTGCAGTGCTCAGTACTTCACAGTGCTCAGTGCTGCACGGTGCTCAGTACTGCATGGCGCACAGTGCTGCATAGCGCTCAGTACTTCACAGTGCTCAGTACTGCATGGTGCTCAGTGCTGCAGTGCTCAGTACTTCACAGTGCTCAGTGCTGCACGGTGCTCAGTACTGCACAGCGCTCAGTACTTCACAGTGCTCAGTACTTCACAGTGCTCAGTGCTGCACGGTGCTCAGTACTGCACAGTGCTCAGTGCTGCACGGCGCTCAGTACTGCACAGTGCTCAGTGCTGCACGGTGCTCAGTGCTGCAGTGCTCAGTACTTCACAGTGCTCAGTGCTGCACGACGCTCAGTACTGCACAGCGCTCAGTACTTCACAGTGCTCAGTACTGCACAGTGCTCAGTGCTGCACGGTGCTCAGTACTGCACAGTGCTCAGTGCTGCACGGCGCTCAGTACTGCATGGCGCTCAGTGCTGCATAGCACTCAGTGCTATGAGCCCGGCAAGCACACAGTGGTGGCTGCAGCAGGACGAGGAACAGCCCCAGTGCCCCTTTCTGTGTAGTTCCGCATGGCCCGGGGTGAGCCTGTCACAGATGTCCTGGACAAACCCTGAAGTCACAAGCTGGATAAGTGAACCCCAGGCCTGGCCGCGGACGACCTGTGTCATCTCATGGAGTGAACTCCAAGCTTCTCGCAGAGCTGCTAGTGACTTCAACGTGACACAAGATGTGTAATGCCTAGCAGATCAAGACTAGCACGTGGTGTGACTAAAGGCTCCTGTGAGAGCAGACACAGTCCAGGCCTGACGTTGCACTCGGGCACTGGGTGTGTCCTGGCGCTCCATTTCTGACCCAGCTGCTTGCTAAAGGCTGAGAAAGCAGTGGAGGAGACCTGACGAAGCTCTTGGCCTCACACTGGACAGGCTCAGATGAGGGGCCAGCTGGAACTGAGCAGGTTAAAGGTCTTGCTCTGTCTCCTCTTTCTGTTGCAACTCTCTTTCAAATAATAAAATATATATATATATATATAGCATAGCAAAGGCTGATTAGGAATTATTTTGGGCTTAACTTCAAAAGGAAGTACGGAGCCCAGTGTGATAGCCTAGTGGCTAAAGTCCTCGTCTTGAATGTGCAAAGATCCCACATGGGCACTGGTTCTAATCCTGGCAGCTCCACTTCCCATCCAGCTTCCTGCTTGTAACCTGGGAAAGCAGTCAACGACGGCCCAAAGCCTTGGGACCCTGCACCTGCGTGGGAGACCTGGAAGGGCTCCTGACTCCTGGCTTCGGATCTGCGAGCTTTGGCCGTTGCGGTCACTTGGGGAATGAATCACTGGACAGAAGATCTTCCTCTATCTCTCCTCCTCTCTGTATATCTGAGTTTGCAATAAAAATAAATAAATCTTTTTAAAAAAAGGAAAAGGAAGTATGACCAGAAAAGACAAGGCCGGCAGTCCGGACGGCTGTGAAGTGAGGAAATCAGAAGGTGAGAATCAGATCTCTCTTGCTCTGTCAGTTACAGCAAGAACTATAATCACTGTCTCATAATTTACTCATTTTTACAATGAAGGGGTTGAGCTAGATCTTTCTGGACCCAGGAACCCATTATTCCTAAATTCTGGGACCTAAGTCGGATCAGCAGGTAGCAGATACAGGTGGAGAGCGCTGGGGCTACGTGGGCCGCTCACTCTTGGAGCTTGTAGAGCGAGGAAAGGTGCAGAGGTTCGTGCACAGTGGCCTCAGCAATGTCCGATTTCTACAAGGCTCTCCAGCACCAGCAAACCTCATCAAGGATTCTGCTGGAAAGCAGTTCACACTATGGCACTACTCCATGGTGCACAAGTATACACAGAGTCAATATTACACTTATGTTCTTCTAGTTTTATCTAAAACAGCTAGATACTTTTACACCCCATTCTCAACATTTCCTCAAGATTTTGATTTTATTTGACTTTTTTATAAGTTGGGATCATTTGCAAACACATATTAATTCTATCATGATCAGCTGAAAAAGGTCTTTTTCTTCCTATTCAAAAATGAATTTAAAAAAATTTTTTTGAGAGGAGAGACACCTACAAGGACAGAGCTTCCATCTTGAGGCTCACGCCCCAAGTGCATGGAATGGCTGTCACTGGACCAGACCAGAGCTAGGGTCCAGGGGCCCCAGTGCAGGTCCCCCTCTTGAGCCCCGGCCTTGGCAGACACCCCAGGTTTCTCAGTAGCCAGAGGTTTGAACTTAAACCCAGGCATTCTGAAAATGAGCTGTGTCAAATGCCTGTCCTGGAGTTATTTATTTGGCAGGTTGCCCAAGCCTCTTTTCACCTACCTCCTGTTAGTTTTGTCACAAATAGGGAAAAAAAATCTGAAAGTTGAAAACCCCTCAGTACACGGGGAAAAAGAATCCCAATGATCGGCGCAGACTTTTCCCGTTTCCCACACAGCGAAAGCTTGGTCATGCTGTAACCCGTGAACATACCACAGAGGCCCGAGCTCCATCGCTGTCTTCCCTGGCATGCTTGCGTGGCAGTCACAGGGCAGCTGCTTGTAGGGGTTTGCTGTAAAAACACGACGTGAAGAAGGCAGAGGCGCGGTGACTAACGTGACCACTACGGCAGCAGTCCTACTGCGAAGCTACTACTCAGCGGGAGGCCCTACTATGTGCCAGATACTGTTCATGGGCTTACATGTTTCCTAACATTAACCCTCACAACTGTCTTAGGCAGATACTGTTAAAATCCTAACTGTCTAGATGAGGATTAGGGCTCAGGAGGCGTGGACTCCTGCCAGCCCGTGGAGGGGCACACGTGGCCTTCCTGACTACCACATTAGACAGGATCAGGTAACCCTTGGAAAGTTCACAAGATACACCTACTTTAAAATTCATGGATATAATCTGCTTCCAAGTATGAAAAAAATATATATACTTATATAACCGGCATCTCAGAACACAGACATTTCTCATGAATTTGCTTTTGTGTAGTTGGAAAGCAAGTGTTTCCGTTCTCAGGGCTGACTGCCCTAACGCCCGCTGCCACAAGTATCTAATGTGCTTTGGACAAGGAGAGGACGCTGAGGAGTGGCTTTCTGTTTCCAAAGTGAGGCCACTCACCCAATCCCATGGGACTCGTCAAGGCCCAGAGAGGCATTTTAAGTTATATTCTCTCCAAATAAGCTGCTCAACTCCTGGGCTGACCATGACCTTGGAGCGGCCTGGACAGGCTCCAGAAGCCAGGGCGGCAGCGATAGGACAGAGCTACCCAAGAGCCGGGCTGCCATCTGATCTATCACTCAGCTACTCTGCAACTAAGCAGAGTGATGCGCAGCCACGAGAGCTCAGGAGAGCCGTGGAAAGTGGCCCTCTGTTCGTTCCCAGGTCTGGCCCTCTCTGTTCGTTCCCAGGTCTGCCCCGGCTCTTGGACTGCTGAGCACCCATGGAAGGGATGCTCACTGCTGACAGATGGGGCGAAATTGGGCTCAGAGCTGACGGAATGTCCCACAGCTCGTCCCTTGCACCATTCAGTCACTACGCCATGAGCATCTTCAGCAGCCATTACTCAAGGCTGGACAGCGGTCCCCACTTTCCTGAGCTGTGCTGGCCCCCACAGCACAGAGCACACACGCAGCCTGCACTACTGTGTATCTTGATATACACTTTGCCAAATGCTCCCATCACACCAACTGATGACTCCCCAAGCCACTTCGTAGTATTGCTCAGATCTAGGTAAACATTAGCAAATTTCCTTTCTGAAGAGTCAGAGCTTTCATTCCAAGTTACCAGTAGCAAAAATGAAGGAATTATGAAAGAAGGAAACTAGTATTTCTATGTTGTTGGGATACATGCTATAATGTAATTCTGGATGAGGACTTTACCTCCATTGATACGTTATTTATTTATTACTTGAAAGACAGATACACAGACACACACAGAGAAAGGCAGCCTCCAGTTAACGGCTTTCATTAGACTTAGAAAACAAGCTAAATGGATGATGTGAGGCTGTACCTAAAGGAGTCCTGAGGTTGTAGCAAATGGGGCTTGGAGTGTTGGCAACTGGCTAATCCTCCTGCAAGCTCCACCAGCCCATATGGACACAGCTTCCTGTCCCGGCAGCCCCACTTCCCATCCAGCTCCCTGCTTGTGGCCTGGGAAAGCACCGGAGGATGGCCCAAAGCCTTGGGACTCTGCCCCTCCGTGGGAAATTCAAAGGTCTCAGCTATGGCCATTGCGGCCATTTGGGGAGTGAACCAATGGATGGGGGACCCTCTCTGTTTCTCCTACTTTGCTCTGTAAAACCTGCCTTTCAACAAAAATAAATAACTTAAAAAAAAAATTCTGGGCCTGGCACGGTAGCCAAGTGGCTTAGGTCCTCACCTTGCAATTGCTGGAATCCCATATGGGTGCCAGTTCATGTCCTGGCGATCCCAATTCTCATCCAACTTCCTGCCTTTGGCCTGGGAAAGCAGCCGAGGACAGCCCAAAACCTTGGGACCCTGCATCTGCGTGGGAGACCCGGAGGAAGTTCCTGGCTCCTGACTTTTGATCAGCTCAGCTCTGGCTGTTGTGGCCATTTGGGAAGTGAATCAATGCATGGAAGATCTTCCTCTCTCTCCTCCTGTATATATGACTTTACAATAAAACTAATAAGTCTTAAAAAAAAAATAAAGAATTCCAAGGAGCTAAGACAACAGGCAACTGTTTCTGTGTTCCACAAATGCCAAGATAAAGAGCATCACGAGGGTATAAACTACAGCTTTTTCCTTGTGTCCTCAGGCCTGGCATATAGTGGAGGCTCAATCAATGTTAACTGCGTGACTGTCGTAACAGGTGCTGCTTCTATTCAGCCAGAAATATGAAAATCATCTTCATAAAACTAATGATTGGTGGCAGCACAGACAGAGGCCATCTGATTTCTGTTTCTAAAATTAGCTGACACGGAAGCTACGTTATTTCTCGATGTTTTCATTGGAGGCACGGCTAGAGCATGAAGAGATAGCTTAAACAAACTCACGGAGGTCCTGCTGATGACATGACATCCAGGGTAGAAATAACAAACTTAGCACTGTAATCTTAAAAATCAAAAACAACATGCACAGTTAGGGAAGAGATCAGGCTGCCGCCATGCAGAGCCCAGTGCAGGGGAAGCCGAGCTCACCGTCCACCATGTCGCCACCCCTGCGGAAGGTCCTCTCCTCACACCACTGACAGTGGATCAGGTACTGGATCTTCCGGGCTGAGGCATCTGCTGAAGTCGGCCCCCTCAGCACGCGTACCGCCACCAACACGAAGTGCTCCAGGGCCACCGCCAACAGGACTTCGATGCCTTTGTTGCACCGGGCAGCAGCTCTATGAACAGAGTTCTGTGGTTAGATGGCCAACCTGGACACCAACTACGGATGGGTGTGTGGGAACTAGTTCTTAGCCGTACGCAGTGCTTTTAAACCATCATGATTGTCACTGTTACAGAAACTGAAACAAAGGAAACGAAGTACTTGCTGAGTCTTTGGCCCCTGGACATCGGCCTTTCAAGATAATCTCTCAACAGGACCAGTTTCTGGATCTACTGCATGGCCTAGAAGACCTCGCCCCTAGACACCCCTGCACCCCTCCTCTAGTCCACTGAAGTCTGGCTGAGCTGCCAGTCAGCGAGTGTGTCATGCAGACAACGGCAAAGGCCACGCTGGCATGTGTGCTGCAGCATGAAAGAGGTGCCATGGACTCCACTGAACCCACGGGCCCGTACACCTCAAGACTGCCAAACGCTGGGATGGGCACCTGCCTACTTTCTCAGGAATCAATCGTTCCTGTGTTCAAAACACGTTGTTGCACGAAACTCCCTGTTGTCCTTTGTTTCACTATGTTTAAGCTTCCCTATCACAAGACCCTGCTTTTCATAAAACTGCATTTTACAAGTTACATCACTGCAAATGGTCAAACCTCGGAAAACCAGACTTTGGGGGCCTCCTGTCTTGGGATGCACAGAGCCCTGGTTTCTGCTCTCTGAGAACTTTAACCTTAATTTGCTTCTTTATGTCGTGTCACTGTCTGCTTTCAGGCCGACCCGACCACAACCCGCAGCAGTGTCATCACGCCGGCTTCTTCCTCCTCCGTTGATTGATTGGCTATACACAACATAGCATGCTAATGAAACAGTCAGAATCCTTTCCACCAGAATTGCATGGACTGTGGAGTGCCTGACACGTGCATCACTGTGCACACGCGTCACACACACACGTCAATCTGAGTGTGCTGCCATGTGCAAATAGCATCAGACGTTCAGAAATTAGGAATAATCCTGAAGGTCCGGCTTGTTGAGGCAGGAACTTTCAGCTAAATGCTGGGAGACCAGAGTTAGCGCTGGCTGCCAACTAGCTGTGCCCATGTGGCAGCCACACTGTCAATGTCTGCTTTCATAACATTCTTACCGTAACTTTCTGCACGCAATATATGCTAAAAAAAAAAAAAAAAATCTCCGTTTTCTCAATTGTTTAAAAAAAAATCTAGACGAGAAATACAGAACTTCTTGTTTTGTAAGAGTCAAGTTTTTAAGTCACCAATTTATACAAGTTATATAGAGACAAAATGCATGTAAAGCAAAAGACTTGGAGTAAATCTAGAAGTTTTGTTCTTTTTTTCATATTGCTATCCTTTAAACTGACTTAAATTAACTTTCATTTTTCTTTTTTGAATACTTTAATGATTACATTGCTTTAAGTTGGAGAGCACACTATTTTAGACATAAGCTTTTAAATAACATTCTAAGTGAATACATATTAAAAGCAACATAAAAGGATAGAGATAGAAAATAAAACTCATAATTCATGTGTGTTCCTCTCTAGCATGTGTGTGCTGAGAGCAGAAGCACGGGTGGCAGCGTGTACCTGGCCACGGCGGCCACGACCACTCTGGCAGCCAGCTCCTTGTAGTACTCGGTCCGCACGACGGTGCAGCCGTAGTGCCGCCGGGCAACGTGCTGCGCCTTGGCGTACAAAGAGCTGGTGTCGGTAGAAGTCACTGACACGACGCCGAGGTTCCTCACGTTTCTGAACGCAGAATCTAGATAGTTCACAGACGTTCCGAAAGGGTCCAGGTGTCTAAAACCACAAAGCACAGTCCTAATGAAACTCTTTTTTTTTTTTTTTAAAGATTTATTTTTATTATTTTTTCATTGGAAAGGCGGATATACAGAGAGGAGAGACAGAGAGGAAGATCTTCCATCCGATGATTCACTCCCCAAGTGAGCGCAACGGGTCGATACTATGTCAATCCGAAGCCAGGAGCCTCTTCCGGGTCTCCCACGCGGGTGCAGGTTCCCAAAGCTTTGGGCCGTCCTCGACTGCTTTCCCAGGCCACAAGCAGGGAGCTGGAAGGGAAGCGGGGCTGCCGGGATTAGAACCGGTGCCCATATGGGATCCCGGGCGTGCAAGGCGAGGACTTAACCACTTGCGCCACCGCGCCGGGCCCATGAAACTCTTATAGTAAGTAAAACAATATCAGTGTGAATAATTCCAGTGATAAAATTCCATGAATTCAAAAGTACTCTGCAAATTCATTCTAAGTGCATAATTGTTTTTAACATTGAACTGTCAACTTTGTTACTGTCTGAATCACAGGGAGATATCTCCAAATCAACTGGTTCCCTTTGCAAATGCCTGCATCGGTTGGGGCTGACGCAGGAGCCTGGCAGGAAGCCGCTACATGAGCCATCCCTTGCTGTCTGCCAAAGCTGCACAAGCCAAGAGCTGGAACTGGGCGAGCAGCTGGGAGCTGAACCAGGCAGGCTGCTAGGAGGCCAGGGCATCCCATGCGGGGTCCGCTGTGCTAACCCTCCTGTTTGTAAAGGAAGTAACAAAATGAACGCATGACACGTCAGACTTGTCACCATAAATCAGGCTTAGAGGAAAAGCGTCCTGCCTAGGCATTTTGCTCCCATTATTGGAAATTTTTCTCAGACCTGGCATGAGGGTTCGGCAGCTAAAACGTTACCTTACAAGTGCCAGCATCCCATGTGGGCAACTGTTCATTTGCTGCTGCTCTGCTTCCCACCCAGCTCCCTGCTTGTGGCCTGGGGAAGCAGTCGAGGACGGCCCAAAGCCTGGGGACCCTGCACCTGCGTGGGAGACCTGGAAGAAGCTCCTGGCTCCTGGCTTCAGACTGGTTCAGCTCCAGCTCATTGCAACCACTTGGGGAGTGAAGCAGAGAATGGAAGATTTTTTTTTTCTGTCTTGCCTTCTCTCTGTAAATCTAATTTACCTTATCAAAAAGATACATAAATCTTCAAAAAACATTTTTTTCCCTCACTGTACATCTTATGTCAATGTTAAAACCCATATTAATTTAATAGCAAAGGCTGTGCTAGTTTTTGGTTATCCCAACCCAAAATTCTAGCTCACTCAGAAAGTCACTTACCAAGTATTTTTCACTTACATGAAATCAAAAGACCTCAGGTGCATCAGCACATTGGCGTCCATCTTGGTCACCTGGATGTCTCCAAGGGTTTCCTCTCCTTCTCCCAGAGCCCCGTCACTCGCCCCTTCCTCCTTACTGTCCACCTTCACTTTCAGTTTGTTTAAGTGGCAGTTCTCCTGGATCAGCGTCACAGAGCTCTCACTTAAGTCATTAATTGTAACTTGGACAGCACTTCCGAGATGTTTTGCCCACTGCAATCCCATTATCCCTTGGGAGAGAGGGCAAGAAATGAGCTTTTAAATGTTAATAATTAAAGATAAAAACAGTACAATAACAAAATTTTGTAAGTTGTAAAAACTGTTCCAAAATCCTTAAAAATTAAAGTCTTTGCCTTGAATACCCAGGAACCCATATGGGTGCCGGTTCTAATCCTAGCAGCTCCACTTCCCATCCAGCTCCAAGTGGCCTGAGAAAGCAGTCGAGGACGGCCCAAAGCCTTGGGACCCTGCACCTGCGTGGGAGACCCAGGAATAACTCCTGGCTCCTGGCTTTGGATTGGTGCAGCTCAGGCTGTTGTGGCCACTTGGGGAATGAATCATCGGATGGAAGATCTTCCTCTCTGTCTCTCCTTCTCTCTGTATATCTGATTTTGTAGTAAAAATAAATAAATCTTTGAAAAATGTATTTGAAAGACAGAGAAGCACAGTGAGAATCAGACACAGTGGAATCTCACCTGATGGTTCATTCCTCAGATGTGCACCCGCACCCGAGGCTGGCCAGCCCGCAGCCCACAGCGGGAGCAGCACAGTGATACAGCACTTATGGGGACCGTCCTCCGTCCTTTACGCATATCAATGTACATAAAACTGCACTATCAGATAAGAACTCAGTCCCTGTTCCCCAATCCCCTGTAATCGCTTAGGCACACTCCGCCCTTTGGAACCAGCTTCTCAGCAGAGTATTTTTTTGGGCGATTTGCGATTTTTCCAGTAATGTTTTGTCTACTGGTAAATTCACTGAGAAAAGTGTCGTCAATCTTTAAAATTTCCTTTACTCTACTGCTTGAAGACTGTAACAAACGGCCACACGATGGCCGGCCACCAAGTGCTTCCTGACTGTAGTAAACAAGAATGCTTCAAAGGGAAGTTCCCGCTGAACAGAGTGCAAACCACGGGTGCCAGAGGCACAGGGCAAGCCACGGCGACAGAATCGGCAAAAACCCAGGAGCTGGGACACCTGTAAGATGTTACGTCAACATGATTATCGCCCCCCCCCCAACATCACTGATTAAAAACAGCCACACCACCACAACTGCAATACTGGTTTTGTCTGATTTCTGATTTGAAAATTTAAAAAATTATGAAACATTTGGGCAAAGCAAAAAATTCGATATTAAAAGTTATTTTAATATTTTAGGTGTGGCTGGTATCACGGTTTTATTTCTGATAAGTCTTATTGTTTAGACACCTTTGTCTGAAATTAACGAGGATGGAGGAACAGAGAACGCACTGAGCACGAGCTGCTCCCTGTTAAGTTGAGTCCTGTGTCGATTTATTACATTTTTTACTTTTGCATGTTTAAAATATTTCCTAATAAAAATTTAACCTTAAATCTGCATTTTTTTACGTCAAAATATTTTGCCAAATACAAAGCCCATACCAACCACCTAAGTACAGAGACTGGGTAAATCTTGCAAGTAAAGCCAGGTGGTAGCCTCCTTACCTGTGGCTCCGAAGGCATCCAGACAGTCCAGTGGTTTCCGCTCCTCGGCCAGAGCAGCCAACGTGCAGAACACCAGCTGCCTGGGGAAAGGGTCAGCTGAGGTAAGGTCCCTGACAGGGACTGAGAAACCAGTACCTCGTCATACACAGAAGCCACTGTGAAAGGCAACCTAGCACTTCCAAGTAAACAGTACAATAACTGACAATGTGTGAAATTAAACTATGAACCTAATGGGCTCCAGTAATAAGTACTTATTTACGTGTAATAAACGATGCAAGCAGAAGTACCAGCCTGTTGAGTAACTAAACAAAGTTACACCTGTTTCATTCTGAAAACAAATAAAAGACCAAGGACTGTGAAGAAATGTCCCCGGAGATGCTCTCATTGCACATGCAGCTTTCAGCTTCCTGGCCTGAGGAAAGCTGAGCAGGAAGGTCGGGAACGGCACAACACAGCGATGCACAATCGGCTCTCACTTTCTCTTACCGATTCAGTTTCATTTTGGGGTTAAAGTAGGAATCTGCTTTCTGAGGCACAGTGCAGTTGGGACAGACTCGCACATCCGTGTCCGTCTCCTTCAGAGTCTCATTCGGTGCTTTTACTGCAGAAGCTAAGAGAGAGGAAAAAGATTTACCAGGAAATATCTGACACAATATACATTTTAAAAAACATATTACTGTATTAATGCAAAGATATAAAACCAAACCAAAAATACACAACCCGCTGTTCTCTCTAGAAAACAGTAGCACTCAGCCAAGTGTTGGTTGAAAGAAACTCAGTAACTTTTTAAAAATATTTACTTATTTTTCATTGGAAAAGTAGATCAGACTTATGGAGCAAAGCAAATACAGAAAGGAAACCCTCCACTCGTTGGTCCTCTCTCCAAGCGGCCACAATGGTCAGAGCCGAGGTGATCCAAAGCTAGAAGCCAGGAGTTTCTTCAGGGTCTCCCATGCAGGTGCAGGGTCCCAAGACTTTGGGCTGTCCTTGACTGCTTTCCCGGGCCACAAGCAGGGAGCTGGATGTGAAGTGGAACAGCTGGGATATGAAGCAGTATCCATAAGGTGATCCCAGAGCATGCAACATGAGGATTTAGCCATTGAGCCATCTTGGTGGGCCTGAAAACTTAGTCACTTCAAATCATGACTGCTGACCTTACTGACGCATCTGACCATGATGCCGAACCACCACCACGCCAACACAACATCCCAAGGTGCCCCCAGGTTCACCAATGACCACTGTGATGGAGTGCGGCTGCACGTTAGCCAAGATGGCAATAACAAATGCTGGGCTTCTGAACACTATGCCTTAGCTAGGAGTTTTAAATTGAAAATCACATTTAAATGGCTACAAGCTAATCAAGTTTTATTACTGCATTTTAGTCATTACATTGCAATCGTCTAGCTTTAAACTCAAATGAGATACTGATGTGTATGTGTGCTGCTTCAAGTGACTAACCCTCTCCTACAAGTGCCAGTAAGTCTGCCTTTCCAATAAAAATAAATCTTTAAAAAAATACTGATGTTTATAAACATACATCATTTTAAATAACAAAGAAGTCATATATAATAATGGTGGGGAAAATAATTCAGATCCTTTTTGTTTTAATGTCTGAATATACTGTCAAAACGTTAATTTAAAAAAAAAGAATTTTAACTAAATGATAAACATTTCTTTCTATACTGCCAAAAATTAGAATCTTTCATAAAATTGTGTTAGTATTCTCTAGATCCCAACATCACCTATCTCACAATTCAGATCAAACAAGATTCTGTGAGAATTTATAGAAAATCATTTCAGTGACCAAATTTATTTAAAGGCTTAGCTTGTTATTTATTTGAAAGGCAGAGTTACAGAGAAAGATGGGGGGGTGTGGAGAGAAAGAGAGAGAAGAAATTCTTCAGGAAATGGTCCATGGAGGCAGAGGAGATCACAGAGCTGGGTCACTGTATCCAACTGCTGCTTAACTGAAGTGCTGACACAGCTCTACAGTAATAACGAGCCATAAATGGCACAATATGTTTCAGAATAATAAGTAATCTTTATTTCAAAACCTTTCCCAAGTTTTTTTTTCAATAATACATGGTTATTGATGTAAAAGCTGTAATTAAGACCGTAAGCAGTGGGCCAGGCCGAAGTGACTCCTGAAGGAGCTGACTGCATCAGAGGACCAGAGAGCTTATCACAAGTCAGGAACGCCCAGGAACCTGGAACACCCACCATGACACGTGCAGGCCCCACACCTGAGCTGTATAAACACTGAGAGCAGTACACCCTGGCAGCCACTTCCCTCAGGGCTCACCCTGCGGCCAGGCGGGCTGACTCCCACCAGGCGGAATTCTGTCACTCTCACCTGATTAACAAAGCCCTTTACTCAAAGCAAAGGACTCTCCGTACATCACTTCCACCGTCCACTGGCAGCCTGCGGCTCTCTCCCACCCAGAGACAGCCTCTCGGCCCTGGCTACCAGCAGCGAGTCTTCTGTCGTTTCCTAGCTAGTGTGTGCTGTGGGTTTGTGGTGCAAAAAGCTAACAGTAATTCTAGAATCTTTGTAAAACATCTACATTTACTTGCTGTCATTTGCTTTTTGTATACCATTAATTAAGTGTAACTGTAGAAAAAGCAGTTGTAGACCTTACACAAAGAAAGTGAAATCCAAAGCAATGGAGCAAATTAATTGCTAGAATCACTGAATCTGGTGTCTGGGAGGAATAACTGAGGAAGTGAGAATTTAATGAATACATTAATGAGATTATTCAACTTACCAGCAATATACCTGGATTTCGTCTCTCCTTTATTCTCATGGCGCCTAACATGTCCTAGCATATCAGTTCTCCTGGTGATTGTTGCTGAACAAATAATGCAATGATAATGGGCACCCATCTTACTGGATATCTATAACAGAGCAGCACATTTAGGTAAGTTACTACAATATGCAAGTACAAGTTGGAGGTGGCAGATTTCAGCATGCTAGTTTTATCCAGAGTTTAACGGCACATAAAATAACAAATTTTGCCACATGACAAAAAGAAGCCTAACTCCTTTATTTATATTTATACATGTTTTCAATTTTACTTGCAGCAGGCCACAAGTTTGTTTAATTTCCTGGTTCAATCAGCAAATAATTGCCTCTACGTTCTGCAAGCAGCACTGACAATTGGCAAGGTGTTCCTAGCACTGTGACACTGCATCCTCACCTCCTGGATGTCGGAGTAAACAGTGCTCTGTGACACTGCATCTTCACCTCCTGGATCTCGGAGTAAACAGTGCACTGTGACACTGCATCCTCACCTCCTGGATCTCGGAGTAAACAGTGCTCTGTGACACTGCATCTTCACCTCTTGGATGTCGGAGTAAACAGTGCTCCGTGACCTGAACACTCCACCATGGCCAAATTCGGCGCACTAAGCAACATCACCGAGTTTGCGCAGCACTGTGCAATACCACACCATGATGCAGCCTTGCCACAATGGAGGTACGACAGATGGAAATAATTCCAAGTGCAGAGAGCAGATAGAACACGCACTTCTAATTGAATTCACTTTTATATAATTTAATTTTTAATGATGGCCATAAGTAACAACCAGCACATAACTTCTGATGATTAAAGCAATCTTGAGCACTCCACTGCCTGCAATCTAATGAGAAGTCTATTTTTTTTTAAGATTTACTTTTTAAAATTTTTATTGCAAAGTCAGATATACAGAGAAGAGGAGAGACAGAGAGGAAGATCTTCCGTCCGATGATTCACTCCCCAAGCGGCCACAATGGCTGGAGCTGAGCCCATCCGAAGCCAGGAGCCTCTTCCAGGTCTCCCACACGGGTGCAGGGTCCCAAGGCTTTGGGCCATCCTCCACTGCTTTCCCAGGCCACAGGCAGGGAGCTGAATGGGAAGCGGGGCTGCCGGGATTAGAACTGGTGCCCATATGGGATCCCGGGCATGCAAGGCGAGGACCTTAACCACTGTGCCATCGCGCCGGGCCCGAGAAGTCTATTTTTACAAGTAAAAAGAGTTGTCATTCCACACAAAGATTAACCCACTAGCTCTTCAGTAGTTTTGATTTCCCTGGCACCACACAGCAAGCAGACAACAGGGAAGAACGTGACACAGGGTGTCTTAGGGCATATCCCACTCAGAGTGTCTTAGAAGGGGTGGCTGGTCCAGGCACTGGCTGGACCCCTGCTACAGAAAGCTTTTTCCCAAGCACTTTACTGCTCTTCAGTAATTTAAAAGAAAACTGAAGAGCGGGGTGTTATTAAGCTAATGTGTATTTAGGACATTGTTACTAAAAAGCTTTATAGTTTGTCTGGTTTGTATTCTGTTATGTTAAATCTGTTGTAAAAGTAAAGTTTTTTTAAGAGTTTGTAATATTTCAGAAAGTTTTTTGATTTTGTCAAAATAAAATGAAGGCAAAAGAAACACGAATATGACACTGAAATATATTCAGTAAATCATAAAGTGAGCCTTCTAGTCCGTGATCCAAATGCAGTTCAAAAGACAAAAAAATTACTCCCTGTTTAAAGTCTCCATTCCAGAATTATTAAGTGGGTTGATTTTGATTTTGAGCAACAGAGAATACTGAGTGGAATTAAAAACTATAATGAGAGTGAATGCAGCAATCCTTTCTTCCATGTGTTTCATACTTTTCTGTTAGGATAATCCGAAAGCAGTCACACAATTTTAAATCGCATCGTTCAATATCCACATTTCCCATTAAAGCCAAGTGAGAACTGCACTTCCTTTAACAGTAACGAGTGTAAGATCTGGTCACCTGCTCTCCAGCAGTATTTGGTTTCACAGGCCGGCAAGGTAAGTGACAGATGCACATCCTGTGACCTAGGACAAAAAACACCACTGTTCTTTACGGGTTCAAGTCTCCTTACAAATTAGACAGATTTTGGAAGAACAAGTGTGGCTATCCTTTTCTGTGACGTCAACATCACTCGGACAGACTTGTCTGTCTCCGCATCTGTGGTGAGACCCACGTGACCGCACAAGCAGGAGACCCAGGTCCGAACTCTGCCTGCGGTAACCGGCAGTCTTCTGGCCTGCCCCGCCACCCTGACTCTCCCCTCTCCCTCCCGTGCACACGTCCCTGGGGCGGGCGGTTACCTGACTCTCCCATTTCTTTAATAACCTCAATTCCTTTCCTGCCTCTAATGATCTCTCCTCCTCTCTCTCTCTCATTTCCCCAGATTCTGTCATCTTGGTCATTACTGTAACTGGTGTGTTGTTTCCTCATTACCACTTGCCCTATTATGGTCAAGAACATTCTTCACTAGTTTTTTTAGGTCATCAGCAGAAAAAGAGATGTAATCTTCCAGGATTCACATCAATCATTTTTTTTTCTTGTTTTACTATCTTTACTATACTTTCAAAAACACACGTAAAACAGTAGTTGTTCTATCGCAAAAGTCTAACTTACTAAAAATGTTTCCATGTGCATCCTGAATCCCCAGCATACAGCAAAGCCCCCAGTACAGGTACAGTGCTAGGGAGTTTGCTCACCTAAACTGCCACGCCACACGCACCTTTCCCTATACAATGGCACTTTTTATTTCAATCATTAAAATTGGAGATATTAAATCCCTCACAATTTCACATTGAAAATACTTGTTTTATGTTCACAATACAATTCAAGAATTTCATATATATCACTTTTAGCAAACCCAAAAATACCTACCTTCAAATTCAACTGACACTTTCCAGTGTAAATTCTGAAGGTGGCGACGAAGCTTATGGCTATTACAAGCTCTGAATTTTTCTTTGGGGCACAATGGACAAGCCTGTTTATTTCCTTAAAAAGAAACAGAAGCCAATTACAACTCCTGGATTCAGCCAAATAAGGAACAAAGACGCCTCCGTGCTCACCTCCTAGCAGGCGCCACTGGCAGCGCGGGACTCAGGACAGAGGGCTCAGAGTGCCAGGGCCCCACTGCCGTTCTCCGCCTGCCACACTCAGGACGCGAGTGGCAGGATCTGAGAGTGGGGACATGGCTTGAATTCCTGCCTTCTATTAATGAACACTGAACTTTTTTTATTGATACATTCCTGAGAAAAGTATGGATCACTACAATAGAAGTCTTATTTTAATAGAAATATAGCCCAACTATTTAATGCACAGTGTACAAAACAAACAGAACCTCAAATCCAGGTTTATCGTAGTAAAGCATTTGGAAATGGAAATAACTAACATTTTTAATGCAACCAGTATCTCTCAGCTAGAGAAGGCAAGCATACATACAAATGCATGCACACACCCTGTCTGCTTTCAGAGTCCTGGGGTCCCCGTGCGTGGACTGACCCCCACTCTGGAGCCCACTGACTGCCAGCATGAACCTCACAGAACACACAGCCCACAGACATCTGGAGACCATTACTTCCTTGGAGTTATAAAATAACTTACAGTCACACACCTTTGCAATTTCATTTAAAAATCCAAATATGTGTAAATACCTGCGTCAGGATTATCGGGGTTCAATGAGTTGGCAGATTCAAGATCTCCTTCAGCTCGGAAGGCTAACTTCTCCAGGTCAGAAAGCTGTCTCTGAATGGAGATGTGTCTTTCTGAAATGCAATTGCAAGTTACGACACTGTGTTAACCGATTTGCATTCAACACCCATTACCACCTGATCACATTACCTATAAATCTGTGTTTTTATTTCACTTAAATCTCTTAGGACCTAGATGGGGAATATTGTCACATTTCAGTTCATAAAATGATACATGTACTTCAGAAGCAAACAACACGATGGGGGGAAGGGGCAGGCGTGGTGGCCCAGCAAGCCACACCCCCTTGCCCGTGAGGCAGCTGCAGAGCCCAGCATCCCATACAGGTGCTGCTGGGAGTCTTGAGCGCCGGCTGCTTCACTTACAGTCCAGCTCCCTACCTATAGCCTGTAAAGGCAACTGAGGACGGCCCAATTCCTTGGGCCTCTGCACTCGTAGGAGACCTGAAAGAAGCTCCGTGCTCCCAGCTTTGGAGCAACCCAGCTCCGGCTGTTGTGGCCACTTGGGGAGGGAACCAGGCCTCTCCTCCTTGGAAGATGTACTAACTGAACCGGACCACCAAATGCCCAAGGGACCCCAAATCTCAGATGTTCTCGGCAGACTTTGGGGAGCTGCAGATGTCATTATCATGGTCCTCTTCCTGTAGTGTTGGTGGCCTGAGCGTATCTGAGTACAAAGTTCTGTTAGATTCTTTTCCTAGTTGGACCTGTTTGTTTACTGGTGTTGGTTCCTGTAACTCATGTTTGCTTATCCTGTTGCCTGGTGATCCATCATTGGAGTAGCTTATATGCTATTGTTTAGTTAGCTAGTAACTTTTATCTGCTTGCCCTGCAAGAAAATCAGTATAAGTTGCCCCAGAAAAATTCAATAAAGTGTGCACTGGTTCATTTTGTCTTTGCACTTCCTATGTCCCAAAGTTCTTGGTGTGGATGTCACACCTCAAGTCCTGGTCCCCACTAGAGGGACCTCCAAGATCCTCCCATTTCTATGTAACTCCGGCTTTCAAGCAAAACAAATAAACCTTTATTTAAAAAAAAAAAAAAAGAGGAAACCTCCACTGTGTAAGTTTGCATGTTTTAAAAGCTAATCCAATTATTATCATTCTATAAAACGTTCTCATTTTGTAAAAGATACTGAAGTAAGAAAATAAACAATGTTTCCTGTCTTCAAACAATTTTCAAGAGACATTAATGAGACTGGAGATGTTATTACGGGAAGATTGCGACTCCGATGCAGGCAGACGGAGGAAGCAACAAGGCTTTATTGAAGGAGCGTTTGGAGAGCTGAGGTCTGGAGGGTCCCAGTGAGCCCCAGTGAGCCCGCTCACCCTGATCTGAAGCTGCACAAGTTTCATTTCATCAGTGACAGGATATTCCTCAACGCAAGGTCCCCTAGTGTGTCTCCACAGCCTGCCAATTTGCTTGTTTGAAACTTGTTTGCTGCACTTTTTGAAAGAGTGTAACTGTGAGGAATCCCCTGAATCATATAATAACCCCCCCAAAATTCTGCCTTTGCGTCTCAACCTGGAGCCACCGCATATAATAACCCCCCCAAAATTCTGCCTTTGCGTCTCAACCTGGAGCCACCGCAGCGGTGATGGTCAGGGCCCGGGCTCGAGCTTGAACAAACCGCCCTTGTGTGCTTGCATCCATTTCAGACTCCTGGTGATTTTGGGGGAACTTAGAATTTGGGCATAACAGTATGAGCAGAACTGCACAAAGCACAGATTTAATTACTGGCATTATAAACTGGAGTATTAGGAGGAACAAAGGCATGTGGTATAAAAGACAGAGCCAGCCTCATCTGCTCTGGCTGGAATGGTAAATGTTTACAGGCGCAGTAAGCAGAAAACAGGCAGGTAAAAACAACACAAGTTGAGGACAGCACACGCTGCGGGCAGCCAGCGCAGGTGTTACTGTTCAGGCTTCGGAGGCAGTGACCAGCAGCAGGGACCGCGAAGCTTTCAACACCTCCTGGATGGCACCTCGGGCAGCAGGAAGGTACCAGAGAGGACAGCATTGCAGGAAGCAACACGACTGGGGTGGGCAGGGCAAAAGCAATGACTGTAATGGGAGTTTATCTGGTTGAGAACGATGGTTTGTTACAAAAGAAAGAAGAAAACCTTTTGATGATGAGAAAAAATGAATTTAGTTTTCGGCACAGTATGTCTGACCTGCTTCTGGGTGGAGTGTTCAGGTCATGTCCAGCAGGGAGCAAGGATTTGTTTCCGGAGCCCAGGAGGGACTCTGGAGGCACCTCCACCTGGGCTCCCAACTCCCACCTCCCGCCTGGGCTGGGGCTGGAGTGAGCAAGAGGCCTTGGGGAGACACGCCGCTACAACAGCGCGAGCCGGTGCTCAGCGCCGGTGCTCAGCGAGCTGGGGAGCATGCTGTCACTGGAGGGAGTAGCTACACTCTGCTCTTTCTTCCTTATGATTCCAAAAATGCAACCAGACCATCTCAAAATCTCAAAGTAATTTTAAAATGTAATTTAAATGCTTTCAATTCTAGAGCCTTTCACATGCTCCAGTCATGTATTTTCAGGTTTCTTAAACAGTACACACTCTTTAAATACTTGTAAGTTCGGATTGAGGTGAGGGATGCGTTTTGCAATGCTGCTGAATCCACTGCTGATCACTATACACACACGTAATTAGGAAGTGAGGTGTGGAAGGGCTAGGCACTGGGAAAAGATGCTGTGTAGAAAGCAGGGATGGGAGTGGGGTCGCTGGGAACAGAATCAGCATCCATACCGGCACGTGCAAGGCGAGGACTTTAGCCACTAGGCTACTGTGACGGGCTCTCAGATTCTTTTTTTTAAGAAGCTTGGCATATAAAAAAGGAGATGGATGGGACAGTGGCATGCCTTCTAAAGACAAAGACACAGGAATATATGAGTATTTTTTAAAGGAAAGGCACATGGACAGAGAGTCTGTGAGACTACAAGATGCTGAGAGAGCTTGAGGCACAAAGCGTGCAGCGGCACAGACACGGGGCGTTTGCATTCATTATGCTATTAGCTTAGACAATGCTAAACCTGAACGTTCTGCCATACATCTCAGCACTGTCTCCCTCCCGCCAGCCTCCCTCTGAGCTCACCTCTCATTTGTCTCTCCCAGAAACAAGCAGGAAGATGGCAGCGCTAAGTCTTATTCTGCATCTTTCTGATAGCTAACTGCCCGGTGCAGCAACCTGCACACATTAGGCACTCAAGCTTATTTAGAAAACTAGCTGTCATTTCTTCTTAATGAGGAGCTTTTTACTTTAAATCTCTTAAGAAGTAGAAAGAGAAGCAGAGACAGAGAGCCCCTCTTGCCCACAGAGGCTGGAGGCTGGGAGTGGGCGAGGCAGAAGCTGGAAGCTAGACGTTCAATTCGCGGTCCCCCAAGATGCTGGCAATGTGCGCTGGTACCCCATGTCAGCAATTCTGTAAAGCAACTGACGGCGTCAGACACTCCTGCTCAAATTTATTCAAAATTAATTCTCAGGACTGGCACTGTAGCCCAGCTGAGCTGCTGCCTGCCATGCTGGTGTCGAATACATGGAGCACTGTTTAATTCCACTTCCAGCCCTGCTCCCGTACCCGGGAAAGCAGCACAGGGTGGTCCCCTAGGGCCTGGGTGGAGTTCCGGCTTGTGGTGGTGTGGGTCTGGCTGAGCCACGGACATTCTGACCACGGGGGGAGTAACCAGGGATGGAGGATAGAACTTTATGCAACCCACTCTCCCCTTCAAATAAACACATTAGGTAAAAAAAATCATAGTAATTTTCACTTTATTTTTAAATGAACATGAAGAACATTATTGCTTAATTTCTTCTTAATCGTCTGTCATTTTTAAGATTTATATTAAGGCTGCACTTATAAAAGGGCATTTCCCACACTAACCTTTTTTTTTTTTTTGGTTAAGTCAGTTATTCCCTGGAAATCAATTTATAAACCAACCTATCTAATTTGTACTATAAAAACTTGGGATTCCCACAGTTCAAAGATCTCTATTGTATGAAACAAGATCTACAGCACTACAAAAAAGATACTTCTGGAAATTATTCTAAGTACTAGTACAAAACAAGAGAAAGGAGCCTGTTGTCCTCGAAAAAACGTGGTGCTCCACTATGGCAGACTCAGCAGCTACTGCAAATGCATGGCAGCCCGGTCACCCCCAGAAAGCACTTTCCAGTTTGAGAACAGGTGTCCAAAAATCTGTTCCAACCACTCGACACGCTTCTTGCCACAGCATTAATCCTGCAGAAGTTAACAGGCAGACCTCTTGTTACCTCAGACGAATCCGAAGTCCCGGAAGGTTCTTCCACAACTCCCGTTACTTTAAAAAACCTACTTCTAACGGCCCATTTTCACCTCGCCTAGTTAGAACAGACTTCATAGGACTAACCAGCCCTCTACAAATGATTTAAAGGGCAACTAGTACGTATATTAGCTCCTACGTATTGCAGATCTCCCAGCCATCTCTGCCCCAGTAACGTATTTCCAGGTCTCTCACTCATTCCTCATATTACACATCTGCCCACATTCCCCAAAGCTGCAGAACCGCTTCTGGTTCACCTCAGGCATCGCAAGCTGGAGGTGAAGCTGGCACTCCGACCGCCCGGGGGGCGCAAGCCTCTGCCACCCCCGTGTTCTGATATGACCCACTCCGAAATCGACTGAGTCCAGTTACAGCTTTGCTTAAAAATCGCAAGCGAATCCCAACTCTCCAAGTCGTCTGTCAAGCCTCCAATTCAAAGCTGGCCAAGTACTAAAGTCAGTGAATGACTTCAAATCCTAAGCTAGGAACCGGATAAGTGTCCCTTCCCGGTCCCGTAACGCAGACACCTGCAGATGCTCCGGGAGCGCACAGTGTCCTCGGGGACCCGGACAGCCGCGCCGGGCCCGGGCACGGCCAGCCGCCATCGCCCGCTGCTGCCGCGCACGAGCTGCGCCGCGGCAGTCGGAATCCAGCCCGCCGCTGGCCGGTGCCCGCCGGCCCCGGGTCCGGGGGAGCACGCCGCGGAAGACCAGACCGCGGGGCGCAGGCTCGGCAGGGACCGGCACCGCGAGCCGGGCGCGATCCACGCGGGCTCCCCGGCCATGTCCGCAGCCTCCAGAGAACGGCCGCCCGCCTCCCCTCGGCGCCCCGCGCGGCCTCCCGCACCTACCGCCTCCAGCCGCCTCGGGGCCGCAGGCCGCAGCGGGCAGCGCCGCGTCCGGAGCCGGCCCCTCGGCCGCCTCCTGCAGGGCTCGCCGCTCCTCCTCCGCCATGTTCGCGGTCGCCGCCTCCTCAGGCCCGCCCGGGAGCCGCGGGGCGCTCGGGAACCGACGCGAACGCCCGCCCGGCCCGCGCGCCTCGCGCCGACGGCAGGCCCAGATCCCGTCCGCGCGCGGCGCCGCCTCCCCGCGCGCGCCCGCTCCGCCGCTCCGCCGCTCCGCCTGCGCCCCGAGGCGGCCCGCGGCCCCCGGAGGCCCGCTCGGAGCACGGCGCGGCCGGCTGGCGCGGCGGCGGGCCCGGACTACACTTCCCGGCGGCCCCCGCGGCCCCCGCGCGGGCTTCCGGGGCTCGGGTCGCCGCGGCGTCTCGGGACGGCCGGCGCGGCGCCTCAGGTAGAGCTCCCCGGTGGCGGGCGTCGGAGGCGGGCACGCCGGGTGACGGGTGCGGCGAGGGCGGGCCGCTGAGGGGAGCGGGGTCCGCGGGCGTCCCGGGCGCTGGACGCGGGAGCCCCGAGCCCCGACCGCGGGCGTCCGCCGCCCCGGGGGCGCCGCTCTCCCGGGCAGGGGCGGCGGGGCGGCGGGGCGGCGTGCGTGAGGGCCGAGCCCCTGGAGCCCGGCTCCGCGCGGTCCTCCGGGTGGTGTTTTCGTTTGGTCCCGCGCGGGAGCCGGGCAGCCCGGAGCCCCGCCAGGGTCTCCCCTCCTCGGCTTCCTAGCGTCGGAGTTGTTCCCGTTGCGAGTCCGGTGTGGCGGAGGTGAGAGAAGCCCGGGTCTGTGGCCTGTGCTGCCTGCGACGCGGCCGGAGAGAGGCGAGGCGAGTCCGTTGGAATCCCAGGTTCAAGACTCGCTTTTGCAGTTTTCCCTTTTCCAAGAAAGCTGAAAATGCGCTCCTCTTGGAAGCACTGGAGCGTGGGAAGGTTGGGGTGAGAGGGTCCGACGCTGGGAGGCAGGCAGCGGGGAACCCCAAATTGGAGCTGCGCTGGGGAAGGAGGAGGCTGCGTGAGGTCTCCCGGCGCTGGTGCGGGTTGGGGCGCCTAGGCGGGAGCCTCCCTGCCCGCACCTGCCCTCGGCCGGCCGCTGTGCAGGGGACGGGAGCCCCAAAGCCAGGGTCAAGGCTGGGGGGCCTCCCTGCCCGCACCTGCCCTCGGCCGGCCGCTGTGCATGGGACGGGAGCCCCAAAACCAGGGTCAAGGCTGGGGGCCTCCCTGCCCGCTCCTGCCCTCGGCCGGCCGCTGTGCATGGGACGGGAGCCCCAAAACCAGGGTCAAGGCTGGGGGCCTCCCTGCCCGCTCCTGCCCTCGGCCGGCCGCTGTGCATGGGACGGGAGCCCCAAAACCAGGGTCAAGGCTGGGGGCCTCCCTGCCCGCTCCTGCCCTCGGCCGGCCGCTGTGCATGGGACGGGAGCCCCAAAACCAGGGTCAAGGCTGGGGGCCTCCCTGCCCGCTCCTGCCCTCGGCCGGCCGCTGTGCAGGGGACGGGAGCCCCAAAACCAGGCTCAAGGCTGGGGGCCTCCCTGCCCGCTCCTGCCCTCGGCCGGCCGCTGTGCAGGGGACGGGAGCCCCAAAGCCGGAGTGCAGGCTGGCCACGCAGGAAATCCCTCTCACGGGCTTTATTCTGATTTCTGCGAGATCCATATAGGCTTCAAAACTAAGCTGAGTGTAAAACATTTGTCTTTGTTAGTATAAGGGCTTTTTCTTGGGCAGCTTGAATCTTTTTTTCAGTGTCCTGTGGGTAAGATAATGCTGTTTTACACGCAACAACAGCGTCAGACCAGCGTGGATCAGGGTTACGCTGTGATAGGTGACATGAACTAATTCTTTGCTCTAAATAGTGCCTTTCTTGGAAGTTCTTATTTTGTGTGTGTCTTTCCCACCCATGCAATGGAATGCTTAGGTCAGGAAAGGAACAGGGTCACTCCTGTAATGTGGAAGTGTAACTGTGAGTTTGGCTGTTGCTATGAACTGACAAGCCAGGCTTTCCGGGTAAGTTAGGGTCTGTGCTCAGGTTCTTAGAAGTGCAGGTTGGATGTTCATTTCCTAGTTTTTATTAGTAGTTTTTTGTTAGCTGTTAGCATCTCTCTGCGTCTCCCTGTCCTCTCGCCCTCTACCCAATACTAGCGTATTGTTTTTCTTCATGCTCATGAAAGCATTCTAAAAGTGTGATGTAGTACAATTGGTCATTCTTTTATGGAACTTTACCTACTCTGATTAGGATAGGAATCGCCTGGTTTCTCGTTGCTGTTCAGTCTTCATCTCGGTCCCTACTGGCCACAGAAGCCAGTGGGCTCTCTTAGATCCCCTGACCGTGATTCTGCTGAGCAGACCTGGTGTGGATTTCTGCTGCCCGGGTGCCAGCACAGGGTGCTGCAGGTACATGACCCAGAGTCCTTGTGATTGCACTGTCGCTTTGTGCCTTACTGCTGTTTTTCCCTTGTGTCGGCTAGCAGTATTGACGTGGTCCAGAGCAGGACTGGGAAAGCGACACTGGGGAGTGGGCGGAGCAACTTCAGTGGGTGAGAGATGGAAATGTCTTAGAGGGCAAGAGTGAATATTCTGGAAAATTTCCTCAGCAGGCAGTGAAAAGCTGTCAGGGCATGCTCGCCACGTGCCGGTGGCTTTCCCGGTTGCCTGCAGTGGCCCGGCAGAGGCAGAAGCCGCACATCTGCCACGCCGGGTGAGCCTTCACTGCGGCTTCTGAGCAGGGCAGCTGGGTGTGTAAGTGGGCACTCAGAAATGGGGTGTGCACGTCCTCACAGCCTTGCAGCTGCTAACTGGAGAGCCCAGCCCTCACAGAGAGCCACGTGCCTGCTGCATTTTTGTGGTCGCTGTATTCTTCCAGAAGCTCAAGGTCTGGGAGACAGAGCTGTGCAAGCACGTTATTTGTTGAGGCTCGCTTCTTGTTCAGGTGAGTCCAGCGGTCCTCCGGATGATGGATTCTCTGTGTGATGGATAGTGAGACTAGGGCTCTAAGAATGTGTGCGTCTTACTGGCCACCTTAATAGAGGCTGTATGAGGACAAGCAAGCCCTTCTGACTGACCGGGCTGGAGGTATACAGGTGGAGCCAAAGAACGCAGTGTTCCAGTGTGGATCTGGTGCTTAGAGAAGGCAGGCCTCAAGGCATGGTTGCGAGTCCTTCCTAAAAAGGCGATTTTAAAAAGTGGCAAAGCTGTAATAAAGGAGACTGTGAGTGAAGGGGAATGGACCACTGGCAGGATGTGGCATCTTAGCTCTGGGCCTTGAACCACCAAAATAAAAATAATATCTAGTATTTTACCACAAATGCCCAGTGGGTTCTTTCCTCAGCGTATCATAGAGATAAAAAGCCAGGAATCTGTCGCAGACAGAAAGGATTATTTGGGAAGGGGAAAGCACCTCCTGAGAGAAAGCCAGGAGGCAGGGTGCTTCTGGAAATAGGGCAGACATCAAGCGTCTGAAGAAGGGTTTTGGGGTTTTAAGCCCTGACCCCTCCTTGTTGGGCGGGAACCTACAGGTAACACGTTCCCCTAGGATCTCTTGGGCAGTTAGGAAATGGGTGTGGCCAAGACCTCAGTCTGGATGTCTCAGACCCCCTGTTGAAATCCCACGTCCCACTTCTGTAGGGGTAAAGTGGGAGCACGTCTTCTGGCTGCTTCCTGCGGAAATGGGCTGTTTGAATAAAGGCCTCCGGAGGTGTGGGATTAGATCCCTGAGGAGGATCTGTATTTACTTACAAATTACCTACTTCCCAGTTGTCCGAACTAAGGTTTTTTTCTATTCTGCCGCTCTTAAAGTGACCCAGGAGATGAACATAGGACATTTCCTACCCACCTTTGCCAACATCTACAATAATGGTCCAATTCTGAAATAGTACGGTAATTAAGACTTCCTGTGGAAGGTCAAGTTTCGCCATTAGCAGGGGAGTATTTGGGCCAGGCCTTCATGCAGAAAAAGATTAAGTCCTTTTTGTTCATGATCTGGGAGCCAAATAAATCTCAATTTTTAAGGAAACAACCAAGAGGAGTCCGGGAATCCACTCGTGAATTCTGAGATCCCATCTGAGCAACAAAAAGACAATGAACAGGCTAGAGAGACTTGCCCCCTTCTCCCTGGTCTAGCCGGTGCCTGAGGTGTATGTCAGAGATGGGGCAAGTCCAGTCTGACCCTGTGTGCAGCTATTACAGGAGTGTCTCAGGACTGCCACGATTACTCCTGCTCACCGGCCCTGCCCCGGTCTTATAAACCCCTCGGAGGCTCCAGGACCCTCGGTAACCCTTTCCCTGAAAAGTTAAAGTAGCCCCCGGAGCTAAGGAAGAGGACTGCTACTGCTTGCTGCTTGAACTTCCTTCTCGGCCTGATCAAAATAAAAACCCACAAATGTGTGCGATCTCAATTTAGCTTAAAATTGGCAAGACATCTGGGATCAAATGGTGGGAGCATGCCTTGTAACAGGCTTGCCTCAAAATGAATCAGGAAGGGTTAAGTTTCTCAGCTAACCTAGCTGATTTGGGAGAACCGCAATGGGAACATAAACAGAAGCAAAGTCTTAAATTCCTCAAAGGGCGGACTCCAAGCATGCCCCTCCCTTTTTAAATGGCGAGTCTGGGCTTCAGAGGTGATTAGGGTTTGAAAAGATTTACCTGGCTGCAGGCCCCCTGAAGTCTTGAAAGACTCCCTGTGGCTATAGGAGCTTCCAGGCGACCATAACAGCTCTCCCAAAGGCAGATATACAGAGAGGAGTAGAGACAGAGATGAATATCTTCCATCCAATGGTTTACTCCCCAAGTGACAGCGACAGTGCTGTGGCGATGCAGAGCCAGGAGCCAGGAACTTCCTCCAGGTCTCCCACGTGGGTGCAGGGGTCACAAGGCTTTGGGCCGTCCTCGACTGCTTTCCCAGGCCAGAAGCAGGGAGCTGGATGGGAAGTGGAGCTGCTGGGATTAGAACTGGCGCCCATTTGGGATTCTGGTGCGTTGAAGGCAAGGAGTTTAGCAGCTAGGCCAGGGTGCTAGGCCCCGCTCTCCCATTCTAAGGCTGTTCAGTTTCAGAGGCAGGACACTGTGTGGGTGATAGAATGAAGGGAGACACAGTAAAGAGACTGGTGTTTTCTCAGCTCACCTCGGGACTATAGAGGGGGTCATGCAAAGGCCCACACTTTCAGGGATCAACCCAAGTCACACACTCATGGGGGTGGCCAGGAGTCTCACCCCTCCTCCACCAAGGAGAGACCAGCCTGAAACGTGGCTGGGAGCTGGGCACTAGGGTATCCCTTCAGGCCGTCGGCATTCGGAATCCACCTGGGGAGTTTCTAGTCACACACAAGAGTGGCCTCTGCCAGAGACTGTGGGTCCTCCTCCAGTTTTCCTCCAAACACCGCACCCACGACCTTGCTCGCAAAAGGAAAATGAAGGTGGTAGGAAAGAGCAAATAGGAGGTTAGGGATTAGGACCTCTGCTGGCCTAAACAGCTGCCCTTCCCTACACCATCCCCCTAATAATACGATCCCTCTGGAGGTTCGACTGTAGCTAGGCTGTGGCCTGGGGTCCTCTGTGTTTGTGCAGAGCCATGGAGTGCCAAGGGTCACTTCCACGGGCAGTCCCACTAGAGGGAAGGCACTGACCTTGTGAAGCCTTCTCTCGGTTGAGTCAGGCCACGTGGTTCCCTTTGAAGTCTTTTTTTTTGAGCTCCACATTGGACACCAGGGGAAATAATAAATTTTTTATTATGATAAAACATGTGCTGTATTTCTTATGTTTTAGCTTTTCAAGATGTCCAACAAAGAATCTTGTGGAAAAATAGAGACGTCTCAGAGAAGAAGCACTACCTCGTCACCCAACTCTGATGAAGTAAGAATGTGATGTCTGACCCTACGTTTGTTCACACTATTACAGTGAGGTGTATAAAGGACTTTTAAACGTCTTTATTTTGAGAGACAGAGATGGAGCATCCATCCTGTGGCTCACTGCCCAAATGCCTGCACGGTGCCAGCCAGCTGGGACTGGAACTGGGAGGAGGAACTCTACCCATCCCTCCCCGGGTGCCAGCCAGCTGCCGGGAACAATCCCCGAGCCCGGGGACTCAGATGTGAGGGAGGGCTGTGTTTGCCCTGTCTGTCCCAAAAGTCGGTTGTATTTCTCCTTCTTTACGTGCATTGTTTTATGTGTTCTCACAACTTTTTATTTAGAAGTAACTTTCTGAGCTGTTTCTGATTGTGATTCTGGGCCCGTCCGAGCCTCCCCTTTGTGGCAATAACTTATGTGCTGTTTTCCCCAGTTTTTCTTTTTCGATTTTTTCGGTGTTGTCCAAGATTTCTCCCGTCAGAATGGAGGCTGAGGGTGGGGAAGACGTGCTCCTCATGGGCCTTGCTCCTTTGCGCTCAGTACACTGAGCCGGGGTTGGGTACATGAAATGCAGCATATTTATTAACTGTCTCCAGGGAGCACAAGTGCAGTGTGTTTGATGGTACCAAGAACAAACAAAAGCGTAATCTATGACTTGTCACTGGAGTGTTGGTGAGGTGTTGCTATCCAAGATGAAAGGTGAATTGGCAAATATTTGTGGTATTAGGTTAGTTTGCAAGACTTTATCATGACCTGGATCAATCATTCCGCTTCTTGTTGCCTGTCCCTTGGGTATTTAACTGCTGTTCTGATTACTAATCTGATCTTCAAGGATAGGTGAAGGTTAGGAGGACTGGACCCCTGGCAGGTGGCCATACAGCACCCTGATATTTTTGGTTGATATTCCTGTTCTCTTGGGGAGGGTGTGGTCCCTGACCAGGCCCCAGACCACCAATGGGTGAGGCAGTGGTGGGCTTTGGCGGCAGAGCTACCAAGTACAAACTGGTGAGGGATGTCCATTTATTGTGAACAAATTACAAGTTTTGTATAAGTAGGAAAGGGCAGGCAGAAGGATGTCCCATTGACACTCTAACTGGCCAGTAGGCCTGTCTGTTTGGACCTTCCAATCAAGTTATAGGGCACGTTAGCACAGGGCTGGAAGCTGTGCCTCAGGCCATGGGCAGGTAAGCCATGACTCCTGTGGGCACAAAAGCTGGGCTGAAAGCTATGCCTCCGGCCATATTCATTACGTGTGGCTGGTAAACAGGATGAGGGTCCTGTTTGACTTCTTAGAGTTGTTTATCAGGGAAGTCCTAGCACAGCTCTGCCAAGGACTGAGAAGAAAGGCTGGGGTGCAGCCCACTGCTCACTGCATGCCTAGTTAACAGGCAGGTTGAGTTCTAAGCCTTTGTCAGCAGGTTCCCCTGGGACATGGTGTGTCGCGTGCCTGTGTTGTGCCGTGTGCCAGTGGCCTCCCACATGGGCTAAGCAAGCAGAGATCCAGGGGTGATCTCCCACGCTGTTCCATTTGCCATTCATAGTTGACATGCAATTCCCCCCCAATTGTTTATTAACCTCGTTCCTGCTGGACTGTTTGCTGTCCTCTCTCCCAGGACAACAATGGCCTCAATCTGCTGGGTCCACTTGATGTAGCAACAGTGTTTGACCAAGCCACTTGTGGAGTGAACCAGCAACACGAGATCTTTCTGTCTTTATATGAGATCTGCCTTAATTAATGAATTAATTAATATTGGAAAGACAGATCCAAAGCCAGGAGCTTCTTCAGGGCCTCCCATGTAGATGCAAGGTCCCAAGGCTTTGGGCCACGCTCAGCTGCTTCCCCAGGCCACAGGCAGGGAGCTAGAAGGGAAGTGGAACAGCCAGGACACAATTCAACGCCCATTCAGGATCCTGGGAGTTCAAGGCAAGGATTTAGCCGCTAGGCCATTTTTGTTTGTTTTTTAAAGTCAGCTCTTGCCACTCCTCCATTCCATACTTTCTGGTGTTTTCCTTGTCATCCGGAGGAACATGGAAGTCCTTGCTGGGACTGCCCAAACTTCCTTCCTTCCATGCCTTACTACCCATCCCTCTGCTGGTTGGTCTGACTCTCCAGGTCTTCCTTGCTGCTCTCTGCATTAAGCTGGACATGTACCTTCTTGTTACACTTGCTGGGCTCTCTTTGAATAGAAAATTCTCCCTAGATGTTCACATGGTTTATTTGTTTTTGAGCTGTCCATTCAAATGTCAACTCATAAGTGGAATGTCCTTTGAGAATTCTGTTTAACATTGCAAATCCTGCACCCTGCTCCCAGCCTTTCCTATCCTCTTTGCTGTATTTTTTTTCCCCCATAGCATCAAAGGCCACATTGAGTATTTTACTTGTTTACTTGTAAATTCCTGTGCTTGGTTTCAATTTCCACGTAGGCAGCAACATTTGTTTTCCAGTAATGTCAGCTTGCTGCCTAGAACTACTTTGATATATGGTAGGTACTTAGAAACCAGTTTGTCCTAGGTCTATGGGTTCAGGATCTGCAGGGAGATGACTAGATGTGCTACAGATCACTCTGTAGGAGACTGTCCGACCATGGTGACAGTGCTGCCCTGTGCCCTGGCCGGAGCTGGTGACAGTGCTGCCCTGTGCCCTGGCCGGAGCTGGTGACGGTGCCACCCCGTGCCCTGGCCGGAGCTGGTGACCACCTCCTGCCACGGCCTTGGCATGCATCTCTCCCTTGAGTGTTTAGCGGACTCTTTTCCTCCTACCAAAGTGTATTCCCCTGCAGGGGTCGTTACTAGATTGAATTGTTGATTTATAATGTCAGTGACTAGATAATATTTTGATATATTTTGATTCATGCTGTGCTCTTCTACTCTCAGGACGAGAAGGCGGAACACCCTCGTGAATGCACCGGCTCAGTGTGCTCTGTCCGACCACTGCCGTCAGGAGGGACGCCAGGAGTGAGTGTTCAGATACTGAAACTAGGCACAACTCGGTGTTGTTGCATAGTTAGGATCTTTATGACAAAATTTTTTCCAGCTACTTTTCTACTTTTTGTATTGTTTAAGATTTTTATTTATTTACATGTAAATGTTGTAGTGAGAGAGAGCGAGCGAGCCATCCATTGGTTCAATCCCCAAATGGCCGGACCAAAGCTAGAAGTTGCATTTGTGCATCCCATGCGGAACACAAGGGCGCAAGCGCTTGGACCACCTTCCGTTGCCTTTTGCAGGCCGACAGCACAGCGCTGGCGTCGAAAGGGAAGAACTGGGACATGAATTGGTACCTGTTTGTGATGCAGGAATTGCAGGTGGCAGCTTAACCTACTGTGCCACAGTGCCAGCACCCTATAGTTACTTTTGATGGCCAACAGAAGTAAAACCAATGTTGGCCCTTTTTTCCCTTGTTTTCACCAAGAAGTGCTTTCATTTCTTATGCTGACAGACACTGTCTTATGGGCTTATACAATACAGATATAAATCAAAACCATTTGTAAGTGTTTGTATATGTCCTTGTTTGCAGTCTTCTTTTGAGATAGTCAGGGCAGATCTTTTATTTGCATTTTCATATTCATACATTGAGGTCCAGAAGTGAAATGACTTGCCCAAAGACACCAAAACGTTATATAACAATAGAGCCAGGTCCAGAGTACTTTCCATGCCTACCCAAGGAATTGGAAACAGTGGTAGAATATTAAACCGGTTCAAGTAGTTGTCCAGTGGTTAATGAAGTATTTATCACCTTCAACTTGAACTTCAGTATATACCCAGGGTAGTTACGTAGTTGTGAATGTGAGATCGAGAATTGAAGATTCCAGGGAAATGGAATTGTGTGTGTGTGTTTAAAATTTATTTGTTTTTATTGGAAAGTCAGATTTATGGAGAGAAGGAAGGACAGAAACATCTTCCATCTGCTGGTTCACTCCCCAGTGGCCAGAGCTAAACTGATCCGAGGCCAGGAGCCAGGAACCTGGAACCTCTTCCAGGTCTCATGTGGATTCAGGGTCCCAAGGCTTTGGGCCATCATTGACTGCTTTCCCAGGTCACAAGCAGGGAGCTGGTTGGGAAGTGGAGTAGCTGGCACACGAACTGGTGCCCATATGGGATTCCAGCACCTGCAAAGCCAGGACTTTAGTCACTAGGCTAGTGCACTGAGCCCTGTGTATGTATTTTTAACATTTATATTATGTATTTGAAAGAGTGAGAAGGAGATCTTGCATCTGCTGGTTCACGCTCCAAAGGCCACGATGGCAGGGAATGTGCTCAGCTGAAGCCAGGCAGCATCTCCCACGTGGGTGCAGGGCCAGGCACTGGAGCCGTCTGCTGCTTTCCCAGGTGTCTGAGCACGAGCTGGGTGGGAAGAAGCACAGCCAGGACAGTGGCATTCATGTGGGGTGCCATCACCACAGGGTGCAGTTTAAAGTGCTGGCCCACACACAGCAGAAACACAGCCCTCGAGCACAGCGTTATGTAAGCGATGATACTTTACAGATATTACTGTACAGTGATGCTAACATGCTAGATCAAAGCCATGGCATGTCAACATAACCTCTAGTATTGCTTTGTATGTTTCACGTGTGTTGCTGATCTTTCCGTCTTTGGCCTCTGTCTCGTTGATCCTCTTGCGTAGACGCCCTCCTGCGTGACTGTTCTGCTTTGCCAGTTACAGCCACATTCGATCCGTGAGTGCTTCTCCAGAGCACACAGAGACAGGCTGCAGGAGTAGTGTGGGCTGAGTGCAGGGCTCTGTTACAGGCAGGGGGCACCCAGTGCTCTTCTGGGCTTGGGGCGCTAGTGAGAGGGGAGACATTAGCTCAGTGTTCCCCAAGATCGTGGGAAACATTAAGTAAGCATTCTGTTGGAATATTCACTAACATGCGGCTGTGGGAAACGACACGACTGCTCCGTCCCCTTTCCCATAATTAGAGCATGAGTGCATGATTTTTATTTTCTAATTGATACACTTTTTTTTTGTTATATTTCAGAAATCAGATGATCGAGACATTTTGTGCTGTAATACAAAAAGAAGACAAAGCTTAAAAAGGTATATTCCCCCTTTTTCTTGACATTTGGTATTTTGGGCTTAGAACTGTGAGACCAAATGACAAGATTTTAAAAATCTTGTTTGGTACTGTTTTGTGTGTGCAGTATGATTACTGGATTGTCTTACTGTTTACTATAAATTTAAGTAAAAGTTGATTGCAATAAAAATCTATAAAGATTATTTTGTACATGTTGAAATGTAGATTGCTGTCTGAGGTGATCTGATTTGGACACGTGGTGGTGAGGTGCGTACCTTCGTGACATTTGGGTGTTTATGGAAGTTCTGAATGAGTTGTTTTTCCATGTTTGACAGATGCTGAAGTGTAGGTTTCTCTGAAAATAGGAGAAGAAAAAGCAGCATTAAATGTATAGAAATTGTCCAGACAATCCAAGTGCCTTCTGAAAACAAAAAGTGAACAGAAAAATCCAGCTGTCTTTGACTTGTGCTGTTTTTGTTAAGTTTTTTTATATTTTTTAACTTAAAAATTTTAATACACAAATTTTATTTTTTATGATGTTAAGATAGTTGATTGGGGAAGGGTCAAGGATTAGAGGAAAGTGGGTGAGACCATAGTTCCACATTTTCTTTTTCTTCTTCCTGTGTCTGGCAGAAGGGTGTGATGGAGGAGGAGCCACACCCAGCATCCCAACCATGGGGTTTGGGGACAGTCACCCAGTATGTTCTCAGGGTTTCTGATATGGAGCATGCTCTGAGGATTCTGTTCAAGTGGTTTCAGTAGTTCTGAAGTACTATTGATCTCTGCTCCAAGGATGAGGAAATCCCTTCAAGGTCCATCGGCTGTCATAGTCCACCTTGGAGTCTCCATTTGCCCAGATATTTGCTGTCAATACTTGGCTAGGGCGGTTGACCAGTTTGTTCTGCCCTGCTTCCTCTGCACTAGTGCCAGATGTTCTCTGCAGGCCCCAGTGGACTGCTATATTCTCCATGTACATCTGGGCATGCCATCCACTGCTTCTTCTAAACCACCGAGGAGGCCCAGTTCTGATACATGTGCTCCACGGTCAGACCACAGACCCTGCAGTTCTCCCCATTGGAGTTCTGGGTCCAGCGGTTCAGTTGAGGGTGATTTCCCAAAGAAACTTGATCTGAAGTGATCCCGGGCCTGACTCATCTGTGCTTGCCAGGATGGGGTCTCGCTGCCTCTGTCATCCACAGCAGCCCACACACACTGGTAATTGTATTTGCTAGGTCAGCTCTGTCTTCGGCACACAATTTCTTACATAAACCAGTGGGTGCTGTGGCCCAGCCTGACCCTGCCCTCAAGTATCCCAGCAGGAACTGCCCCAAGCAGGCCCGGTCTCAGCCCTGCTTCTTATGCTTGCCAGCATGTGCAGCAGACTGCTGTATTCTGTCCCACTTCTCATTTGGCTCTCGTACATGTCATTGGGCATCCAAGAATAGCTCAACACAAGAAACCCCACTGTTCAACCCACACTCCTCCCGACAGGTGCCCCCACCTATCTAGCCAGCTCTCCGTGTCCCCAGCCCTGGTTTCCGTGCTCACCTGTGGGAGCTGCAGCTCATCAGAGAAGGGTGCACAGTTTCCCTGCTGGGCCCATTCCGACTCCCAGTCCCAGATCTTGCACTCTGAGGTGGTTCTGCAAGCTAGCTTGATAGGATTTGCCCCAGTCCCTGCATGTGCCAGCTGATGCTGTGGCAAAGCCCAACCAACCTGCACTTATTCTGACTTGGGTTTTTCTGTTGAATTTTTTCTTTCAAGGATACTTTCAGTCATTTCTTAATGGCAGATTGCTTTTGTAGGATTACCTGGTGAAGTTCATTCTGTCACAAATCGCATGTTGTGTTGATTGTTACCATATAAAGTGTCACCTGTCGCCCTGTACCCATGTGATCCCTGCTCTTTCCCCATTTTGGGGGATGCTACAACAAGCTGATGTGAACCCCAACTCCTGTACCTTCTGCAGTACTCATAGCTACAGGGTAGGTGGCCTCAGTAAGAGGTGTAGAGGCCCCGGGCGCCGTGCGGGACGTGGCCTTGGCTTCTGCTCAGTTGCTGCTGAGCTCACTCTTGCCCCGTCTCTGCCTGCAGGCTCACAGGAGAGTCTGGCTTTGTCATGGACATGCTCTTTGCACTTTTTAGGTTCTGAAATACTGTTTGATGTTTCAATAACTTGTCTATTGGCAATGTTTTAGCCGGTACAGACTTAGTGCTCCCCTTAGAGTTGTCCATGTTCCTGGAAAATGTGAATCATGAAAAAACTATGGATTGATTTCTCTGTATTTGAAAGACAGAAATGGAAATTAATCTGCTGGTTCATTCCCAGAATGGCCACACCAGCTGGGGTAAGCCAGGTAAAGCTAGGAGACAGGAAGTCAGTGCAGATCTCCCATGTCGGGGCACTCGCTGGGGGACCCAAGGACTTGAGCCGTTGTCACGTGCTGCCTTCCAGGGTGTCCCTTAGCAGAAGCCATGTCAGGAGTTGAACAAAGGCCCTCATGTGGGACACCTGTGCTCTAGGCAGTGTGAAGCTACTCATGACCCATGGGCAGTTGTTTGCCTTTAATGCAAAAAGTATAACAAAGAAGTTAGGCCACACGAAGACGCAGGTGAAATTGTTAGAATTTGCTAAGTTATGACTTGTTAGATCTTAGTTCTTAGAGAAGTCACTTGTTTGCGGTTCTCCTGGTGCAAGGACTCTGCTGTGTGTTACTGACCGTGCGGTGCTGAGTGCAACAGCAAGCACTGGGGATGCATGGACATTGATCGGTATCAACCAATGGATTCCCCCTTTTGACTACAAAGTAGTGTTTCCTTTTCTTGAGCAGCAAAATATTCCTGCCTCTAGCTGGTGTTGCTTCTGTCATGGTGTTGCATTTCTTCCTGACCTTCTTATTCTTTTCTAAATTATTGAGAATAGACATGTACATGTATGTATTTCACTTGCGTTTTCCTTAATAATATGTCAACATGTTTTGAAGTCATTGGTGATTTCATAAATGTCTTTTGAAGTGAGCGAGATTCCATTTTATGAACATGTGACCTTATTTTTAGTTGTATACAAAATTTTAGCATTTTTTTTTTTTGATTTTTGCCTATTAGAGCTAATTTTGAATTGAATATCTTTATATACTCATTTCTGATGTTTGCACCTTTGAATAGACTTCTGAGAGGACAATGATGAGAAATTAAGAGCATGTGTACCTCAAGAACCCTTGGTTTGTGTTCAACCCTTTCAGGGCTGTCAGGTCAGCTAGCGTTTCCAACACAGCTGGGAGGAGTGTGTTTGACCAGTCCATGCCAATTTGTGTTCGGTAAAATCTCTACTCATTTGGTAGAAGAAACGATACACTGTTGCCTGCTATCACTTGGGAAGTCAAACTTTTAGAAAAAACTGTTTATTAACCACCCTCGTGTTAATTTTTATGTCCAGTGACAGGGTCTTGGTACGTTTTGGTAGACTTTTTATTTACTAAGGCTGTTATCTATCACATATCTAGCAAATACCATTTCTCAATTCTTATGGGTTTTCTTCTCTCTCTCTCTCTCAGTTTGAAAGACAAGGACCAGCACTGTGGCATAGTGCATTAAGTTGCTACCTGTAGGGTTGGCACTTATGGATGCAGGGGCCAAGCTAATGAGCCATATTCCACTGCCTTCCCAGTGCGCATTATCAGGGAGCTAGCTGGAAGGGAAGTAGAGCGGCCAGGATTGGAACTGGCATCCCTATGTGATAACGATGTTGCAGGCAATGACATTACCTGCTGTGCCACAGCATCAACCTCCAGTTCCTTGGGTCCAAAAAAAAATCTGCTAAAGTTTTAAATAGTCACATGCTATTGGTGTTTTCCTTTATTTCCCCCACTGTTGTCACCTTTAGAAGTCAAGTAAAATTTCTTTCCCTTATTTGCTACCCCAGGTTTTAATAAAAAGTATAGCAATTATGGTAATGATTATTTTCATCATAAATGTTTAATCCACTTGGGATTTGTTATCTGCTGTTACATGAAGTTATAAATCTATCCTTCTTTGCAAAATAGCAAATCTGTGTTTGAAGCAGTCTGTCCAGCAGTCCTTTCAACTTCTTCCCTAATGTGACTTGCTTACTTTTTGCTAGTTTCCGCATCGGTCCAGTGCTCCCCTCCCTGCTGCAGTGACACAGTGCAGCGTCGTGTCTAACTTTAACCTGGGTCTCTGTTCTGCTTTGCAGATCGAGTGTAGATATTGACATTCCCAGAAAGAGACTGAAAATCAGTTCCTCACCTCAAGGACCAGACAGAATCCAAGAAGCTCCACACTCAAATCGGATGATTTCACAGAGTCCTTCCGCAGATGGAACTAAAACAGATAGAATTCACTGCACAGATTTTAGAGATACCAAATCAACAAATGTTAGGGGTAACCCTGATCGTAGCAATCCTAAGATTGCCAGAGAAGTGCGCCCCAAGTCTGCAGGCCAGGCAGGTGAGAAAAGCTGGCATGCTGTAGCTGCTGAGCGGGAGAAGGTACGGAAGCGCAAGAGAAAAAGGAACGGGAAATTTAAAGACAGTTCGGGAAAATGTGAGCAATTTCCATTTTCTCAGGATTCTCACTCCAACAAGATAATGAAGGAGACCCTCGAGTCTAGAAGGAAGATCAGTTTCAAAATTCCAGTAAGATCTTGTGTCCTCCAGAAGCGTGTAGAAGAAAACGTCTTCAGTTTAGATTCTGAGAAATCCGAGACTAAGGAAGAAAAAGACTTCCTGGACTGCTCCCGTGTCTCGCTAGGTTATATCGGGCGAAAACCAGAACATTTATTTTCAGATTCCACATATAAACAGACTGTTGAGTGGGAAGGAACATTTCGTCATGAGCCCCAGCAAAGGGATGATTCCAGTTCTGGAGGGAGTGTGAGCGAGGTAAGGAGTGTACACCGACGTGTACAAGCTTGAGCAGAGCCTTTACAGGTCAGCTTCCAGGCTCTCCACATGCCAACAGTGCCATCACCGCAGAGGGCAGGGGCCTTTACAGGTCAGCTTCCAGGCTCTCCACATGCCAACAGTGCCATCACCGCAGAGGGCTTGGGACGTGTTGTTTCTTTATTTTGCTCTCGTTCTTCCTTCTTTGGGAAGATGTGCTGATGAGTCTCAAGGGGCCCTGTGGAGGGAAGTGTGTAAGGTTCAAGGTGTGTAGTGGAAATTGCTTCTCATGTAGAAAGCATCCTTGAAGTAAAAAGCCTCCCCTTTTCTTGTTGTGTTGTCACCACCCGCTGGAGTGGCCTGCGTGCGCCAGGTTCAGTGGCACTTGCTGCCCGTCCCCCAGCATGTGTGTCCAACAGGCAGCTTGACGTCTGGGCCATACTTTGTCCCCTTGGCTCACTGCAGCATTGGCACCCAAAACCTGAAGAGGCCTGGGGCATGTCAGCTTATCAGGGAGGCGTTTCTATGTGTGTGTCATCAGGGAGGTGTGTGTGTGGATGTCAGGGAGGTGTGTGTGTGTAGATGTGTATGTGTTGATGCTTTTGAATCTTACAGGAAGATCTATGGGGAGAAGAGAGACAGATTTGCTCCCGAAATGGCTGCAACAACCAGAGCTGAGCTGGTTCGAAGCCAACAGCCTGGAACTTCTGGGTCTCACACATGGCTGCAAGGGCCAAGGGGCTTTGGCCATCTTCCACTGCTTTCCCAGGCACAGTAGCATAGAGCTGCATCAGAAATGGGCTTGAACCAGCATCAGTATTGGATAGCAGAACCACAGGCAGAGGCTTAATGTACTGTGTCACAACACTGGCTCCAGGAAATGACTTTTTTAAAGGTTTATCTATTTTTATTGGAAAGGCAGATATACAGAGAGGAGGAGGGACAGAGGAAGATCTTCCATCCACTGATTCACTCCCCAGATGGCCACAATGGCTGGAACTGAGCCAGGAGCCAGGAGCCTCTTATGGGTCTCCCATGCAGGTGCAGGTTCCCAAGGCTTTGGGCTGTCCTCTGCTGCTTTCCCAGGCCACAGGCAGGGAGTTGGATGGGAAGCAGGGCTTCTGCCACACAAACCGGCGCTAATATGGGATCCTGGCACGTGCAAGGCGAGGACTAGGTTGCCATGGCAGGCCCTGATAGAATTTGTAATCTAAAGTTGTTTAGATAGAGGGCAGCAGGTAAACGTCCTTACTCTGAGTATATTGTTGACCGTAGATAATTGTCTTAATACCATAGTTTTATTTAATTCCTCAATAGTTCCCTAAAATAGTGTATTTTCTACAAAAATATATTTTGTGTGTTTAACGATCTTGTTGGCTTACCTGTTATACTTTGCTATAGAAAATAGCAGTTTAAAGAATTATTATTTGAAAGGCGTAGTAGTAAAGAAATAGGGAATAAAGAGTTTTGTTCTACTCATTAATTTGCTACCCTAACGGCTGCAGTAACAGGTGTGTCAGTATGAAGCCTGGAGCCAGGAGCTTATACAGCATGGCTGGCAGTGGCCCAAGTACTCAGGTCAGCTGTGCTGTTGTTTTTCTGGGATTGAAGATGGGGTAGCTGACACTCAAAGCAGCACTCTGACATTGGTGCCAGCTTTACAGGCTATGGCTTGGCCCACTGTGCCACCGTGCTGGACCCTGAAAGTATTGCTTGGTTTTTATTTACTGATCCTTTGATGTAGACTCCCCTCTATTGCACATCAATGCTTTGGAGATGAATAGCTTATGAACCATTTAAAAAATTAGCATCCTGTTTAACTCTTACTATTCTGTGAGCTTGACTGGTTTAACAAACACTAATTGCAGGTACTTGTGAGTGTTGGGTACTTTCTAACGCGAGGGATGAATGAGAGGATCTTTGCCTCGGGAGTTTCCCAGACTGGTGAAGACGGGGTTGTGAGTGCCAGGAGCTCTAAGTGTTGGCTATGGCGCGAGCGTGGCACTCTGGGCAGAGTGCAGGTCACCTGGAGGACGTGCAGAGGAACCGCGGGCTCGTCCATCTGGGTGGAGGGCCGTGTGTCTGCTGGTGCAGACGGAACTGCGTGATGGGAGGGCATGCCCAATGGGTGACAGGAACGAGACCCACAGGTGCAGAAATGGCGGAGAGGAAGCCAGTGTCCTCACAGTGGATGATTGGTTACCATGGAAGGAAAGTTGTGTAGTCTGAAGGACAGCCGTTTCACCTTTCCCACAGTTCTCTGTATTTCCTAGGGTGTCCTATGACTTTTATTCTAGAATGGGAGTCCTTTTAGCAATGGTTATGAATCTAAGCCCTACAGAATTTCCAGCACATTGCACCTGTGATAGTGTGGGGCTTTTTGCAGTCTCTCATGCAGGGACGGTTTTGCAGTCGCGGGACATCTGAGGATGGCACTCTGGGCATGCTCTGAGCGGTGCCTGGGGTCAGGCTGGGCTGTGCTGCCGAGGGCTGGGGGCGGGGATCCACTGCCATGTGCAGGGTGGTCCAGTGTCACTGCCCTCTGTCCCTGAAGGTCGCCAGGGCCAAGGCTGAGAACCCGTGCTTTAAGTACGTGCTTTGTTCTTAACTAATGAAACTACTTCTCGTTTCAGAGTTTTGAAGCAGTGTGTCCGTCGGCTTCATCTGGCAGTGTTGAGGATACAGATCAAGAGGTCGCTGCTAGTTACTTACTTTGAATATTTTTAATGAGTTAAGCCAACAGCTTATGCTTTTAATAAAAATTAAGGACTGAAAACTTTGATTATATGAAATAATAGTGATGTCTGCTTAAAATATGTAGTTTGTAGGAGGTTGTCAAAACACTCTGGAGAAGTCTTTGCATTTGCTCGTTGGCCTTTTTCCTTTGTTTCTAATGATGTGTGAGGAGAGCGTGAGATCTTCTGTCCTGCATTGCGTTTAACGTTGCCACATTTTATAACTGGGCTTGGGCAGCTATGCAAATATAGTCTGACATGAAAATGTTTTATCTTGTTGGTCTAATCGAAATAAGATACAAATATTATTCGGTGAAAACATGCATGAAAGTTTTTTTTTTTTTAATTGGAAAGGCGGATATACAGAGAGGAGAGACAGAGAGGAAGATCTTCCGTCCGATGGTTCACTCCCCAAGTGAGCGCAAGGGCCGGTACTATGCCGATCCAAAGCCAGGAGCCTCTTCCGGGTCTCCCACGCGGGTGCAGGTTCCCAAAGCTTTGGGCTGTCCTCGACTGCTTTCCCAGGCCACAGGCAGGGAGCTGGAAGGGAAGCGGGGCTGCCGGGATAGAACCGGCGCCCATATGGGATCCCGGGCGTGCAAGGCGAGGACCTTAACCACTGTGCCACCGCGCCGGTGGCCTTTTTTTTTTTTTTTTTTAAAGCATGAATGTTTTATCTTGCTATTTGCTGGTTTTATTTCCCAACTATGTTCCTGGTTAATCCTCAGAACTGTTGATGGAATTTTATGTCCCCTGGTCCTAAATTGAAATGAGATTCAAGAACACTTTCCTTTTTCTTATTTTATTTATTTTTATTTGAAAGACAGTTACAGAGATAAGGAGAGACAAAGATGTGTATTCCACCTACTGGTTCACTCCCCAAGTAGTCGCAATGGTTGGAGCTGAACCGATTACAATCCAGGAGCTTCTTGCTGGTCTCCCATATGGATGCAGGGTCCCAAAGACTTTAGGTGTCTCCCGCTGCTTTTTTGAGCCACAAGCAGAGGGCTATATTGGAAGCGGGGCAGCAGTATGGCATCCATAATGGGACACTGGACACCCAAGGACAGGCTTAGCCATGCTGTGGTTCTGGTTCCCTCCCCCCTTTTTCTTGAAGATTTATTTATTTGTTTGGAAGACAGAATTATAGAGTAAGGAAGGGAGGAAGGAAGGAAGGGAGGAAGGAGAGGCAAAACCAGAGGTACCTTCCATCTGCTAGTTCACTCCCAAAAGGCTGCAGCAGGTGGAGGAGTGGCCAGGCGAAGCCAGGAGCCTGGAACTCTGCCGGTCTCCCATGTGGATGCAGGTTCCCAGGGACGGAACTGTATTGGACCTGGAGCAGCCGGGCCATGGGATGCCAGCACTGCGGGCAGCAGAAAGCCGACTGCCCAATGTCAGCCCTGTGCACTGTCGCTGCAGTCAGCTGTGTTTCTCTGTCTTGAGGGTCAGTGTCCCTTGACAGATCCCCGCCTTTGCCGTGGAGCTGGATTCTATTTGCATTTCTTCGAAGTTTATCAGGAAAGTAGTTCTCTAAGTGAAAGTGGTCTTGAAATGTAGTTTTTTATTCAAATAGTTTCAAGTGCGCTCAGCATATCTGGCTCTCAGGGACTGAAGAGAGAGTGGGAAGGAAGCCCCATGTCAATGTCTGTAGTAGTGCTGTACAGGAAGTTTCACAGACCTTCCTCTCAAAAAGCCTAAACAGAACAGAGTGTTCAGTGTTTGTTTTTGTAGGTGAACAAACAGACCAATGGCTGAGGCTGCCAGAAAGCTTTTCTCAGAGCCATTCATGTCTTATAAATTAGATAGCCATGTTGCTTCTGTATTCTTATAAAACTTTTTCTTATAAAACAGTTTTCCACAAATTGTCTCATCTTACATGATTTAAGAATTGATTGCTCTCTTCTCTTGTTGATCTGCAGAATATATATCTTGAAATATTTTGCTGGGGTCTTTTTTTACAATGTAGATGCAGATAGTGGAAGAGCTTCATGCCGCACGCGTGGGGCACATGATAGATTTACCTGTGGCGCCGCCTGCTGGAGAGTTGATGAGTATGGACATTGACCTGGTGGAAGACGACCCCCGTTCTGCTGCCGGTAGGTACCTTACGTGTGTTAATGTGGGTGTGCTGCTGTGCTTTCCTAAGAATTAACGTGCCAGCATTTAGCTTTTATGATGTTTGGATGAAAAATGTTAAGCTCTGCTCATTTGAAATGATACTGAGAATTTCCTTTAGGTACAAGAATCGGGTCTATTATTTATCTACCTTTGAGTTTTTGTTTTTGTTAACAAAAACCAGGAAAGGCAGAGAAAGCCGTCATCAGGTTCACTCCCCAGATGCGCACAGCAGGACTGCGCCAGGCCAATGCCAGGAGCCTGGGGCTCCATGTGAGCCCGTCGTGTGGGCAGGAGGGGTCCTGCCGCCTGAGCCAGCACCTGCTGACTCGCAGGACAGACTTGGAGCAGAGCTGGGTGCTCAAACGCTGGCACTCCACTGTGGCGTCACAGGCAGGCAGTCAGGTGTCTGTCACTTTGATTGCCCACTCTGTCATCTGTTTTATGTATCTCACATTATTCAGCAGGTTTTCTGAGGTCAGAGATAGCGTTATGAGCTGTCTTGTTTTCTTGCTTTTAATCATAAATTTAAATAATGTGAAGCATATAAAATGCTGATTAGAAGTAATGTAGAATGGGACTGTGCAATGACTCAACTGACTGCTCTGCAAGCACTGGCATCCTGTGTGAGTGCCGGTTCTAATCCCGGCAGCTCCACTTCCCATCCAGCTCCCTGCTTGTGGCCTGGGAAAGCAGTGGAGGACGGCCCACAGCCTTGGGACCCTGCACCTGTGTGGGAGACCCGGAAGAGCTCCTGGCTCCTGGCTTTGGATCAGTTCAACTCCAGCCATTGTGGCCGTTTGGGGAGTGAACCTGTCTCTCCTTCTCTGTAAAAATCTGTGTTTTAAATAAAGGTAAATAAAAAAACTAATGTAGGTTGTGTGGTTGTGTTTATGAAGTTGTTGTTACTAAGTAAAAGCTGATCAGTTTTACTATTGAAAAAGATAATAGTAAAAGAATTACCCAAAGTCTGTTAATGTGCAGCTTTGAATACTAGTTATAAAAATAGTATTGCAATTTTGCATTCATGTTGTATTTTTCTGTGTACCAAATGGTTTCCTGACTTATTCTTACCGGGGGTGATATGTATTTCTTTTCTTTTACGCATAGAGGGTATTTCATAACAATTTGTGTGAAATGAAAGCTGAAGATTTTGAATTCCATGCCTAGATTTTTCATAGTTCACATTTTCTGTGAGATTTTCAATAGTTTTCCTCAGTGTTCCTAGAATTAGCTTGTGATTTCTGTGTGCAACCATAGAACAACACAGTAAAAGGGCTTAGAACAGTGACTCCTGGTGCGAGGCTGCCATGGTGTAGAACTTATGCATAAGCAATTTCTAATATTAATATCATTAAAGATTAAATATTATTATTACCCCATTAAGAGCTGGAGTAAAAGCACTTATTTCCTTTGTCCTACAGACTCTGTTCCCTGAAGAATGTTACCAGAAAGACTCCTGGGCTGGTTTGCCCATCCTCGCCCCACGTGTAGTCTTACATGTCTGCTTTGCCTGGCCAAACTTTACGTTCTTTCCCAGGTTCCTTCCCACTGATCCTGGATGAGTTCCCCGCTCCCCGCCACACACACACACGCACACATGAGCAACCCCCCGTGCCACACACACATACCCACCAGCACCACAGTTCACAGTTCCTGCCCCGGGAACCCTTCGCTGATTGGAAGGGTACACAGATCAACCCAGCAGTCCACAGAGTGTGGGACTCTGTCACGAGCTGCAGCTTTCACCTTCATTTTCTTTGTTTTGGTGATACCAGATGCTAGTCTGTGCAGCTCTGCTTTCCTGTGCCTGAAACCCTGACTTTGCTCTTTTTCTCTAGCAAATACTGCTTCAGACAGAAAACTGTTGATTGTTGTGGATACAAATATTCTGATGAATCATCTCAAATTCGTTAGAATTTTGAGTACAACAGAAATACCAGGTATTTATAAAACATTCCGGATTGAGTTGGTATTTTAAATTGACAGCTTTTCTTTCCTTTCAGGAACACCTCTCCAAAGTGTTTTTTTTTTTATTATTGATTGAAGATTTATTTATGGTCCCAGTGTGATGGCTTAATGGCTAAATCCTCGCCATGTGGGTGCCAGTTCATGTCCTGAGTGGGCCAAACCTTGGGACCCTACAACCGAGTGGGAGACTCGGAGAGGCCTCTAGGCTCCTGGCTTCAGATCAGCTCAGCTCTAGCTATTGCAGCCCCTTGGGGAGTGAAACAGATGGAATTTCGTTATTTCTGTTCCTCCATTTCGGTGTAAATGTGCCTTTCCAAAAGTAATCTTTTTTTTTTTTTTCCTTAATTTTGCTTTAAAGTCTGAATGATGGGGAGAGGCCGAAATGTTTCCTCTGCTTCTCCCCCCAAGTGAGCGCAGTGTGCGTCCTGGGCTGCAGTCTGGAGCTGGCCCACACGGGGGCGGCAGTTCCCCAGGCACTTGGGCCGGCTTCACCCCCGTTCCAGGCACAGCGGCTGCAGCCGGACTAGGAGTGGAACAGTCAGGACTTGAGCTAGCCCTCCTACGGGGGATGCCAGCACCCTAAGTGCTTTGCCAGCTTCCTTTGGGTGTGCTTTTAATCAGTTTAAGTTCAACTACCAATTCAACTGCAATTTTAAATCTTCTTTGTTGCTCTGTATTTCCTTTTTAATTGCCATTTTTGTATATGGATTGTATAATTGTATGATATCCATTGTAAATTTCTTGAAAGTAGAACTAGATACTTTAGAATTTCTCTCACAACTATTTGAATCTATAGCTCACTAAATATTTGTTGAATCTTAAGAAATTTATCTTTTTTAGACTTTGACAGCCTCATCTTAATAATTCCCTGGGTTGTTGTGCAAGAGCTGGATCGCATGAAAGAGGGAAAGCTGCTAAAACATGCGCAGTACAAGGCTGTCCCTGCAGTGCATTTCATCCACGACAGTCTCAGGAGGAAGGACCGAAAGCTGTGGGGTCAGTCGCTGCAGCTTGCGTGCCAGAGACTTTGTAAGTATACTGTCAGAGCTGTGCCTCGTTAGACTGCTGACTCGTTGGAGGGAAACACTGCGGACTTGAACACAGTCGGCGGCCGTTAGGATGTAGACGGTGGGAGGTAGCCTGGTTTGTGGTCCAGTTGGGAGGCTTGGGGTTTTGAATGTTTCTCCCTGACTTAGGGAAATGCAGTGTGTCACAAGAAGTGACTGTAATTCTGTATGTCTCTGGACACTTGTCTAGACTACACAAGGTCAGGTTCCTTTGGAAAATTTTTCCCCTTAAAGAGAATCCAGGTCCACCAAATGAGTAACAAGGGCCCAATTTTTTTTCTCAAGATCTCTTTATTTTACTTGAAAGAGTAACACACTGAACACACAACCCAACACAATTGTGTATTTGTGGGTCACTCCTTCCAGTGCTGGGCCACTTGGGAGGCAGGAGTGCCAACCCCGGGCCGCCTTCCACCGCCTTGCGCGGGCTGTCCAGCAGGAGCTGTGTGACAGATGAAGCACGGCCTACATGCAAAACAAAGTTAGCCGTCACCAGCTGAGCTCGAGATTTGGTCAATGTTGTTATACTTTCTTTGGTTAATTTTTTTTGTTTCATTTTTTGCTGAGTATTTGTACTCTTTTAAATGCTGAACTGAAGCAGTGAATAAGGACAATAAATTCTGCAGTTGAGGAAATTAAATTCTACCAGGCATATATAAAAGTCAGAGTAATCTGGCTTTTATACAAACTTGTTTTTATGTTATGTGTGAATAGAGCTGGTTGCTGTAGAGATGCCATTTGAGCTGAGTCTTGAATAATATGTCTCCAGTACCTGGTGTTCACTGTGGGTGTGCACGGGGCCAGGTGCTGTGGGTCCATTCTCATGTGTCCTACTGAGGCCTCCAGCCTGAGGATCTGTGCCCAGTAAGGAAGAAAGCAGGGGGGTGATCAAGCCACGCTGAGAATTTTTAGAGTCTGTTTTGCTTACTTTTGAACAGTTTCTGACCAGTTGCTTAAAAGTACTTGCTGAATGACTGAATATTTCATGAACATTTTTGTATAACTAGGTGTATTTTTCTAGCTCCAAGTATCTTGAAAAAGTAATAGTACCTGCCCAGCATGGTAGCCTAGTGGCTAAAGGTCCTCGCCTTGCACTTGCCAGGATCCCATATGGGCACCAGTTCTAAGCCCAGCAGCCCTGCTTCCCATCCAGCTCCCTGCTTGTGACCTGGGAAAGCAGTCAAGGATAGCCCAGGGCCTTGGGACCGTGCACCTGCGTGGGAGACCTGGAAGAGGCTCCTGGCTCCTGGCTTTGAATTGACTCAGCTCCAGTCATTGGGATTGCTTGGGGAGTGAATCAGCTGATGGAAGATCTTCCTGTCTCCCCTATCTATATATCTGTCTTTCCAAAGGGAAAAAAACGTGATAGTATTGATAAATCTGACTTCTTAAAGAAAATATTTGGTTTACTTACTTAAGTGCAGGATTACAAAGAGGGACTAAGAGCTGGAGAAAGCGAGAGAGATATTGCATCCGCTAGTTCACTCCCCAGAGTCTAGTTTCCTTTGTGGGTGGCAAGGGTGCAGGCACGGTGCCCCGCCTGGCCGTCCCGTGGGTTCAGGTGCTCCGTGGCTTGGATCTGCGTGGGAGTCACACGGTGCAGTTTCACTGCCTGCGGACTGTGAGGCGTTCTTGACTTGGAACCAGATCGTAACCTAGGGTGCTCGTGCAGTCCCAGGTTTGAGTGTTCTTGACATTTGCTTTTGCTCCATTTGCAGATGGATTGCGAGATGAGAACAATGATGACCGCGTATTGAAATGCTGTCTTCAGTACCAGGAACTGTTCCCTTGTTCTCTTGTGATTCTGTGCACGTGAGTGTCATAGTTCCTGTAGACTGATTTTGTGGTTTGGGGGATTTTCTTGGAAGATTTATTTGTTTGAAAGAGTTGCCAAGAGGGAGACAGATGTTCCATGCACTGATCCATTCTCCATATTTCTGCCGTGGCCAGAGCTCAGCAAGGCCGAGGCCAGGAGCCAGCAGCTCTATCTGGGTCTCCCACGCAGGTGACAGGGACCCGAGAACTGAATCCGAATTGAATCCGTGTCTGACGCTGGTGTAGCAGACAGCAGCCTTAGCCTGCCGCCACACGCCGGCCAGCCCGTCTTTGTAAAGCAACAACTGCTGCTGCATTTACCACTCCAGGGTCAAAGGCATAATTTTCTAAATCTGCTAGGAAGCATGCCCTGTTTTAACTGATTATAGTGTGTATTATAGTGTGTGCCCTGAGAGAATGAAAGCTCGAATAGACAGTGCCATCCTAGTTGAGTGTATTTGCTGTTCAGAAGCCTTTTGAAAAAGCAAGGAAGACTGTCACCCCAGTAGTTGAGAAATCACTATCGGATGAGGGCAGAGGGCTGTGTGGGTCCTGCCCGGCCCCCGAGTGCAGACGGCCGTGTGGGTCCTGCCCAGCCCCCGAGTGCAGACGGCCGTGTGGGTCCTGCCCGGCCCCCGAGTGCAGAGGGCCGTGTGGGTCCTGCCTGGGTCCCGAGTGCAGACGGCCGTGTGGGTCCTGCCCGGGTCCCAAGTGCTGCAACTCCACTGAGTTTTCCATCATTTGTCCCTTCTTGCTTCCTGTTCTCCCCCGTATTTTCATAATCTTGTTCTAAGATAAACTAATGCAGTGATAAGTAAAATTGTATTCATCATAAATAAAACAGGGCTTTGAGTACAAAAAAATATTATTTAGTCTGAATTCTATTCATTGCAAAATGGAGTTTTTGCAGTTTCATTATTATACTCAAATTCTATATGAAATAAATTTACTCTAAGATGAATTGCTCTAAAATTTTCTCTTAAAGGAGTTTAAATTACAATTTTAGCTATCTTTAATATTAAGGTAATTAATTAAGGTAAGCTATCTTTAATATTAAGGTAATACCTTAATATTAAGGTAATTGCTAGCTGATTATAGCCTTTAAATGAAATTTTGATCTAGAAATTCATTGAAGGCTGACATAGAGTTGATAATATGTAGATCATCTTGAATTTGAGACAAACTAAATTTGAGAAGTATTTGTTACGTAATAGTTCTTTTAAATTTGATTTTTGAGAGGCAGGGTGGGGACAGACTTAGTGCTTGCGTCTGCTGGCCCACCCCCCGAATGTGAGCAGTGGCAGGGTTGGGCCAGGCCAGGCCGCGAGTCGGGAACTCCATCGAGGGCCCTCCTGTGGGTGGCTGGCAGAGAACTGGAGCGAGCAGAGCCAGGACTCAGCTCCAGGCGTACACCTCAAGGCCAGAGGCTTCCTCTGCTGTTAGGTTTGTAATTTAGTGGACAATGCAATTAAATTGTTTAGCTCTTATCGTGTGGTTTTTTTTTTTAGGATTAATAGACTTATTTCTTGTAATGAAAGTTTGTGGGCAAGCTTTCATTTCAGTTCTGGCGGTGTTGTGGGCCGGGAATGAAGCCTCCTCTTTCTACTCGTTTGTCTGCTGTGCTGGTTTGTTTTGTCTGTGAGAGGTTATTATGTGTCAGTCCTGCCTATTGTAAGGAAATCTTTATGTTACTTCAGTGAGTCAGGTTGGTGGTATTAATAGTGATAGTAATAGGAGAAGCTCTGCATCGTTTTGGCTGTTCTATCCCAAGTTTGAGAAGGCATGAGTATCTTCAGATCCTGCTACATTTTCCCCTCCTCCTTCCTTCCCCCTTGTCCTCCCTGCCCTCTTTTTTTTTTCTTAATTTTTAAAATTTTCTTTTTAAAATGTGGACCTTTGATTAGGGAGGGGAGGCTCAGGTATGGAGGAGGGTGAGTATGACACATGTTTCATTTTTTTGTTTGCTTGTTTGTTTTACGGTTTTATTTTAGGTGCAAAGCAAATTCATAGAGAGCAACATCTTCCATTTGCTGGTTCACTCCCCAGGTGGTTTCAATGGCTGGAGCTGAACCGATCCAAAGTCAGGAGCCAGGAACCTTCTGGGTCTTCCACATGGGCACAGGGTCCCAAGGCCTTGGGGCATCCTCTGCTGCTTTCCCAGGCGACAGGCAGGAAGCTAGATGGGAAGTGGAGCAGCTGGGATACAAACTGGCCCCCATATGGGATCCTGGCAGATGCGAGGCAAGGATATAGCCACTAGGCTGTCACACCGGGCCCTTTCTCTCACTCCTGTGTCTCCAGGGACTGCTACCTGTGGTCAGACTGCGTGAGCACCCAGGGAAGGGCCGGGCATTTGACGCTTTAATGTTCCCTGATGTGTGGGCAAGAGTGTTCTTAGGGTCACTTGAGTGGTTTTGATAGTTCTGAAATGTTGTTGATTTCATCGCTACAAGATTGAGAAAATCTTTCCAAGATCTGCTTGTTGACAAAATCCACCGTATCCAGGAACATGCTGCAAAGTTTGGCCAGGAAAATTGTCCAATCTGCTCTGATTTCCATCCTCTGACAAGACAATTGACCTCCCCTGTTGGCCTTGATGAGCTGGCTGTCATGTCCCCCATGTGCGTCTGGACATGCTGTCCATTTCACAGGCATCAGCAGCTGAGGAGGCCGTCCTGATACGTGCGCTGCAGGCTCAGACCCCACAGCAAGTGGTTTTTCCCAGTGGCCAGGGTCAGAGGCCGGTGATCTAGTTGGAGCAAGAAACCCCTCCTGGGGTGACCTGACTTCTGTATGCCAACCAGTGCAGGGTCAGGTTTGGTCTGTCATTGGCACCAGCCAATGGACATAGCAGTAGCAGTGGATACTGCTGCCTGGTCAGTTCTGCCCTGCCCACCAATAGGTGATGCAGCCCAGTCCAGCCAGCGTGATGCAGAATTGGTCCTCACATAGCAGCAAGTACTGCAGCCTAGTCTGGGCGATCCCCGATAACCCCTACCATACCTGCCCCCAGCCCTGGTTTTTGCCTGCACCTGACTTTGCTGCATCCTAGTTTGGCCCAGCCTGAATCCGTGGGTGCTGTAACTTAGCTCAGTGCGGAGTTCTTCCCTCTTCAGCCCGCTGAAAGGACACTCCACACTCAGGAACACGGTGCTCAGTGTTTATTTCTCCGGCGCACTTCTCCCCGTGGGAAGGAAGAGCACAGGCATATATACCCAGCATAAACCAGTCCGCACAAAGGTCATTCCACCATGCACAGCGCACACCAATCCTCAAACAGGTCATGTGCTGTCCACGTGCACAGCACGCCTTTCCCAGCCAATGGGGAGAGACTTCCTCAAACCAGTATACAACTGGTGGTGCTTTGGCACGGCACCGGGTACCATCTTGGAGCTAAGCGGAAGGAAGCTCCCGACAGCTCAGCCCAGCCCACTCCCGCATGGTGATGCTTTAGTCCAGGCCAGGTCACCTACGTGGGCAGGTGTCTTGACCTGACTCAGACACACCAGCTGGTTTCCCCACTCTAAACCACTGTGTCAGCTCTCTTGCTTACCTGTGAGTGCAGTGACTTGGTCTGTAGAAGACCCCAACGTCATTCCCTCCATGTCAGACATGCCCTCACTCACTCCCATTCCAGTATGTCCGCTGATCCGCAGCCCTGGGCTCAGTTTCTTAAACAACAATAAACAGAATAAGCAACTCTGCTGGCACACTGGTGAAGTTAACAAATTTGGCATTAGCCAGGCCTGGAGTGCCCATCAGCTACTGCTGCTTTTGTCCTAGCAGTGTGGCACTTCGCTTGGGTACAAGGTAACCCAGGCAGTGGTCTGCAGCTGGGTCTCAGATCCGTGTGTTTATGTGTTAGGCAGAGATGCAGAAACGGCGGCATGCAGAGATCTGGTGACAGCAGTTGAAGCTGCCAGCTGTGAACTGTGCTCACATGGGATTGCCTTTCTGGCTTGCCTGCTGTGCACAATGCTGGCACCACACACGGGTGTTCTGAACTCCATCCCAATTTACACCACGGCTCTCTTGATCTCAGCCTGTATGTGTGATCAGCGTCTTGGTCTTTCCTTCTAAAACTGCTGTTTGTCTTGGGGAGTAGTCCCACCTGCCTCTGGACTCCGAAGCCTGACAGACTAGGAGTCGTTTCCAGGGCAGCCTCTCAACACTCCAGTAGTGTCCCGACCCTTGGGGTCAGCTCTTCACTTCCCTGATACTGCCTGTGTCAGGCTGTGATCAAGATTCCATCACTCTTAAGTTCTGTGTCTTGAAGAAAACAGACTTACCAGGATTTACAGATTTTTTTTCTTTGCTCTACACTGCTGACAGATGGCCACGGTGCAGCCCAGGTGCCTGTCCACACGGGGACACTGACCCCTCCTGACAGTACTCCACCTGTCTGCTCGAGTTTGTTCTTGTTGAGAACACAAGCTTGAGCATGTGTGAGACTGGGTTCCCTCCTGAGCAAGGCTGTTGTTGAGCCCAGTTTGGTGTGTTGAAGTTCTGTTTTTATTCAGTTCACTCTTCTGTTGTGTCTTGCGTGAAGGTTATTTAGACTTGTGTAAGTCCGAATCTTGGCAGAATTTCCATGTATCTTTGTGTTCTGAATTGTAGCGTCATTGTGTTTTCTGTTCTGTCACTGAAGTTGCTGGTCTGGCATGCTCTGTGGATGTGGTGTTCTATAAATGTGAGTTAGGTCAAGTTGTTGGTTCTTCGGGTCTTCTGCAACCAGTTAGCCGTCTACTTTATGGTCTCTGAAAGAGATCCCTGAGGACGCTGCGTCTTACCCCTTGCTGCTCGCTGTGCCTCGTGCACTACCAGGTACTGGGCGGGTGATAGGCTGCTGCTGCTTCCAGGCAGAAAGAGACCCACTTAAGGCTGTTGGGGATTGTCTGGGGAAATCACCCTTTCATTGTTCTGTCGTTTTCTGCGTTGATTCACTTTTTTGTGTCTCTGATGAAATGTTTGTGGCACTGTAGTTTTGCAAGGGAAAAAGAGTTATTTTAGCTCATTTCCCTGGGTCCATTGGTTTGGCACCTGGTATGTGGAGGAAGCATTGTGGACAACGCAGCAGTGGACATGGCCGAGGCCACCATACCCCATGTGATTTGAGGACCCACTGCTAGGCCCATCATTGGATTGGGTTTCTATCCTCTTCACACTATTACCTTATGATTTTTTTTAAGATTTATTTTTTTATTATTTTTTTTATTGGAAAGGCGGATATACAGAGAGGAGAGACAGAGAGGAAGATCTTCCGTCCGATGATTCACTCCCCAAGTGAGCGCAACAGGCCGATGCTATGCCGGTCCGAAGCCAGGAGTCTCTTCCAGGTCTCCCACGCGGGTGCAGGGTCCCAAAGCTTTGGGCCGTCCTCGACTGCTTTCCCGGGCCACAGGCAGGGAGCTGGAAGGGAAGCGGGGCTGCCGGGGATTAGAACCGGCGCCCATATGGGATCCCGGGTGTGCAAGGCGAGGACCTTTAACCACTTGCGCCACCGCGCCGGGCCCATTACCTTATGATTTTATGGATTAAATATTTCCATGAGTTTTGGACCAGATCGTATTCCACCTAGCATGACATTATTTGTTCCTGATTACATGTGTGGTTCTGAAGTCTGCTTTGTTGCAGCTTTCATTTGATCAGTGCTTGTGAGGCATTCGCGTTCATTCTTTTCTATTGTGGCTTTACGTCTTTGGTAGGTAGCATGTAGTTAGTTCCTTTTTGTCCAGTCCAATAATTTCTTTTCATCTGCATGTAGACCACACACACCTAATTTGTTCCATTAATACATACCATTTTGCCTAGTTCTGTTTTTTTTCCTCTTTTGGATTGTGTATTTTTATATCACTTAATTTTACTATTGATTATTTATACTTTTTTGAAATTTTCATATGGTTGCCCTGGTGTTAATATACATCTTTCCTTGGTCAAAGTCTACTTTCAAATATTGTTATACTGCTTGGTGTGCACCAGGCTTAAGCGCAGTTCTCTTACCGTTCAAGCTACAATGGCTGTGGAAGTCTGTGTTCCAAAGCCGTGGATGAGTTGGGAAATGCCTGCGGGCCGAAAGAGAGTGAGCATGCTGCTGTGGCTGGGTGTAGACTCCTCTGTTTATGCCTCCATTTTATTGTCCACTGGTACCTTCAAATAATTGATTTAATTTTTTTTCCAGGTTTTATAGTTTTCATCTGTGGGAAACTTAGCTTGACCAAACAACTCTACTGCTAGCACAGCCTAGAGCCTCTGGGTTTCAGAACAATTTAGTGAAGAGATTGACTCAAGTCACTTCCCCATTGAAGCCACCAGCTGCTTCTTAGTAGCAATGCCTTCGCTTCCCTCTGACTCCCATAGGCCTCCCTCACTGCCACCTGGATGTTTGTCTTCTGCTGACAGTGGGTGCACTGCTCATTGCTCTACCCACTTTGGATGATCAGAGCGGCTTGGACTGAGTGGACACAGCCTTGCATAAGTTATTTACCCATTTTACACCTAATTTTCCATCTGCGAGATAGAAGTGCAGTGGGTACCACACCTGTCTCGAGGGTGGTTTGTGAACTCTACCCAGATCGGTGCATAGCAAGGTGCTTGATACCCGGAAAACACTCAGCAAGTGATCTTTGTTATTCCCCAAAGCTCATAAGACTTTACGTAAAGGCCTTTATTTTTTTGTATGTTTAAAAAGTTGTGATCCTTTGTTCTATGCCGAGAATTACCAACTCCTGACTAGATCTCATGTTTTTGACTTGCTGTGAGGTTTATCTTATAAAAAGTGTTTTTCCTCCTAATTTCCCATCCTAGAGATGATAGAAATTTAAGAAACAAAGGCCTCATAAGCGGTGTGAAGTCCCTGAGCAAAGAAGAGTTGAGTGCAGAGTTGCTGAGCTTGTCTCAGAATGCAGAAGTGTGTCATCAGCTGCGTGTTGCTAAGCAGCAGGGGACCACAGGTAGGACTCTTACTGGGAGTTAGAAACGTGTCTCATTGCATGCAGTGGGGTTACTGTGGCATCGTTAGTAGTAAGCTTTTATCTTGCAAATGTAAAACACAACAAGTTGGGGGTATTTGCGAGCACAAAAATTTTAGAATTAAATGAAAATGATAATCCAAAGAAAGCCTGATTAATGACATTACCTTTTGTGGATTATGAATTAAGTTTTATTAATTCTTTTGCCTTTAATGAATGAATGTTTATTATTTACAGTGCATATTTATGGGCTGCAGTGTCACACTCTGGTGCCTTGTGTGATGTATGCTGGACTTCTTTCCTCTGTCTGTGCAGTGTGTGCTGGGTGCTTGCGAACCAGCCTTTCTACGACCCTCCAGGGATTCATCTGTGTCATTTTTCCATATTGAACCAATGTGTTCATGCTATTCTGTTTTTTTTGTGGATAGGGCTTTTTTTTTAAAAAAAAAAAAAAAACTTTTTGAGAAGCAAATTTACTGTAGCAGAAGGAGAGGTAGAGATCTTCCATATGCTGCTTCACTCCGCAAATAGCCACAGAGGCCTGCGCTGAGCCAATCTGAAACCAGGAGCCAGAGCTTCCTTTGGGCTCTCACATGGGTGCAGGGTCATCCTCCCCTGCCAGGACATGGGGGGAAGCTGAACTGGAAGTGGAGCAGCTAAGATCTCACCGGTCACTACATTGGACGCTGGTGCTGCAGGCAGAGGATTAGCAGGCTACGCCACCATGCCTTCCCTGGAAGGACCTTCTAAGTGAGAGTTAGCTACAGGAGGGATTCATTTGAAGTAGAAAGAATATTTTGGTTTCTTGTGAGATTTAACATCTTTTTCATAACTTATAATAAAAATTAAACTAATGGACAAGTCATAGGATACTAGGAACTTTCCTTTTTACTTTACTTTTATAATGTTAGTGTCATTATATTTTATTTTCTGAGAGGCAGACAGTGATCTTCCGACCACTGGTTTACTTTCCAAAGACCCACAGTGGCCGGGCCCGGGCGGGATCCCGCGTTGGGCGTTGGGAATTCTTTCCAAGTGTCCCATGTGAGGCTGGCAGAAATCAGCTACTGAGCTGAGATTGGGACAGGAGTTGGGGTTCAAGCCCAGGCACTCATAACAGGAACGCAGGCACCCCAGTGGGTGTTGATGGCTGCACCAAGCTTCTGCTCCAATTCTGTTAGATCTACAACATCTATAACAGAGAGGTGTTCTGAATACTGTCTGAAAGTAGTGTTTCTCTTTTCTAGGTAATTCAAATGTTATATACATAAAATATTTGTGTGGCCAAATGTTTTGTGTTCTGTTTCTGTCTGTGTGTGTGTAGTGTAGCATTTACTATTAGAACCCTAAATAAATCTGTTAACTATTTGTTTTACAAAAGCAGAAGCAACAATGTTGGAAAAAACCTCTGAGAAGGAACCTGCGGCTTCAGGGTTGTCCATTCTGCTTGAAAGTATTGTGTGTGATCTGGAAAAGTCTCTTGGAGCAGCTTTGTCTTCAATTTTAGAAACAGAAATGAAGATCGCGTTTGGGAACCTCTGGATGGAGGTGATTAGCCCAAGTCTGAGTGGGAGATTTCTTACTTGAGCTTGAGCTCCGTCTTGTAAATAGTTGTTTAAAGTAATGCAAAATGCCACAATGTAGCACATTAAATGTTTCAAGGTATTCAAAAAGCTTTTGGTCACTTAGATGATGGATATTTTTAAGATTAAAACTGTGTTGTCACTGTTTCAGTCAACACATATTTCTGGTATTTCTGTGTGTCGGGCACAGTCCTCTGTGGAGCTTACATTGAATCTAGAAAAACTGCTCTCAGGCAAAGTGTCTAAGCCAAAACATTTCACTAAGCAATATATATTCATTGAAAAGAAATGTTCATTTTGCCCTGTAAATATGAGGATCAGTGTAATTCGATGATATTAGCAATGTGTTTTGCAAGTTTCTCAGATGTATGACTTTCTGTGATCAAATTTAGCAACAGTGGTCTTAAAAGTTGCATGTAATGTTTGCTTGCTGTTCACATTAATAGTTGGGAGAAGCCCCTTCATCGTTACAACTTCTGTCTATGTCAGCTATATATATTTTTTAAGATTTACTTTATTTTATCTTTTTTTTAAAGATTTATTTTTATTGCAAAGTCAGATATATACATATATATATATGAGAGAAGAGACAGAGAGAAAGATCTTCCGTCCGATGATCACTCCCCTAGCAGCCGCAACAGCTGGTGCTGCGCCGATCCAAAGCCAGGAGCCTGGAGCTTTTCTGGGTCTCCCATGTGGGTGCAGGGTCCCAAGGCTTTGGGCCGTCCTCCAGTGCTTTCCCAGGCCACAGGGATGGAGCTGGATGGGAAGTGGTGCTGCTGGGATTAGAACCGGTGCTCATATGGGATCCTGGCGCGTTCAAGGCAAGGACTTCAACTAGGCCATGGCACAGGACCATCATCTCAGCTATTGAATGAGAACCTAATATTTGCTAACATTGTGAATTTTTCCTTGAGTATATATTTTTCTTTTAAAAAGAATCATTTGTTGGGCCTGGCGCGGTGGCGCAAGTGGTTAAAGGTCCTCGCCTTGCACACCCGGGATCCATATGGGCGCCGGTTCTAATCCCCGGCAGCCCCTCTTCCCTTCCAGCTCCCTGCCTGTGGCCTGGGAAAGCAGTCGAGGACGGCCCAAAGCTTTGGGAACCTGCACCCACGTGGGAGACCCGGAAGAGGCTCCTGGCTTCAGATCGGCATAGTATCGGCCCATTGCGCTCACTTGGGGAGTGAATCATCAGACGGAAGATCTTCCTCTCTGTCTCTCCTCTCTGTATATCCGCCTTTCCAATGAAAAAAAAATAATAAAAATAAATCTTTAAAAAAAAACAAACAAACAAAAATAAATAAAAAGAATCATTTGTCAGAAAAGCAGAATGACAAGAGAGGGAAGGCTGCAGAGGACGAGCTCTTGCGTCCTTTGATTCACTTCGCAGCTGGCTGCCACATCCAGGCCTCGCCGGGCTGAGCTCCACTGCGGCCGTCACACGGTGCTCAGGCGTCCTCTGCTGCTTCCCGTTAGCAGGGAGCTGGAGTGGAAATGGCAGCGGGAACTGTACGCGGGCTCCAGAAGGGGATGTGGGCACTCATGGGCACCTTGCCCCACTGTGCCACAACAGCAGCCCTTGGTTGTGTTTGTAAATGCTCAGCCAGGGTGATGGATGATCAGCATCCACTAGAAGCATTTACTTAAACTGAATATTTATAGCAGAGATGTGAATAATTTAAAAAACATAGAACTAAATGATTTTTTAAAATAAATATGGCTTTATTGAGATTGTAACAGTTAATTGGGTATGTTTTTTTTCTCCATAGACATGTAGTTGTAATAATTGTGTTTGACAGTTTTTACTAGAGATAGATTTTCTCCAGTTAAATAATTAGACTGATTTTTATTGGAGATTATCATGTTAAGAAGTAGATTGAAGAAACGCTGAGGGAAGCTTTCTTCTTCCTGATCAGAGCTGTGCTTGATTTTTGTACATGTAGTTTCTAAAACTAACATGATTTTGTAAAAACACTTTGCAATGGAATTAGCACCTAAAAATTACATTTGACTTTTAATAAAGCTTTCTTTTCACATAGATGTATGTAGGAATTTTTAAATAGATACTGTAAATTTTATCCCCAGACAGACAGACATGTCCTCTGCCCAGTGGTTTACTCTCAAACTGCCCACAGCAGCTAGGCTGCGCCAGGCCCAGCGTGTGGACGCAGGAAGCTAGAGGGAGTGTACTCCCTTGGTGTGAGCTGTGGCTGTCCCAAAGCCCCTCCCACTACTGCACTAAATGCCTGCCCCTAAAAGATACTTTTAAATAACAGGAAGAATAAATCCACAGATGCTAATTTTTTCTAAAAACTCTTTAGATACTGTACGTGAAACCACCATGGACTCTAATACATTTATTACGATGCTTTAAAAAACATTGGTTGGCTGTATTTGGATTAATTATGGAAAAGAATTTGCTTTTAACTATTGAGAGCATATACGAAAATCTCTGTAAAGGTAGGAATCTTTTCTTTATGTTTCTCTTTAGTGTTGCATTACAGCATTAAGTCAGATCAGCATATCAGTGTCACAGGATTGGAAGTTGAAGTAGGAAAACACTGCCATCTAGTCCTTGACCGTTAGTGCCCGCTAGTGCCCAGGCAGCTGGGCGACGGTGGGCATTCCAGACCCTGAGGCTGTGCGGGCTGCTGTCCCTGCGGGTGCTGCATTGTCTGTCTGGATATTCAAATATTTTCACTGCATTTTTACTGTGTATAACACATAAGCTTGGAGTGCATTTATATTCTAATTTTAAAATCATGTATCAAGGTTTCTCTCTATTTGGACAAGGAAGAGGAGACCTTTTGTTCTGGTACATAGCACATTTTAGAATTTGAAGGTATGATAGACTCAGTGGATTGTAGACTATGTTGAACTGAACTTACCGTTGTTTTTTAAAGATTTATTTATTTTTTACTGGAAAGTCAGATTTATAGAGAGAAGGAGAGACAGAAAGATCCTCCATCCGCTGATTCGCTCCCCTAGTGGCTGCAGTGGCCTGAGCTAAACCGATCCAAAGCCAGGAGTCGGTAGCTCCTTCCAGATCCCCCAAGGCTTTGGGCCACCCTGCATTGCTCCCTCAGGCCACAAGCAAGGCACTGGATGGAAAGTGGAGTAGCGGGACATGAACCAGTTCCCATCTGGGAGTCCGGCGTGTTCGAGGTGAGGATTGCACTAGGCTACTGCACCAGGCCCTGAGCTTTAACTTTTATGAAGCACCTGTCCAAAGAGAATGGAAAGAGTGATGGAGAGCTTGACTCTCACCCCTTCACAGAGCACCTTTGAAGAAATCCTATTTGCATTTATAGTCCATGAAAGATTTAAATCAGTGTTTGTTAATGTACTTGGCACAGAAAGTAAGTTGGCACTATGGATGCCTGCTGTCCGTGTTGGACTGCCTGGTTTAGGCCCGGGCACCAGACCCAGTTCCCTGCCAGTGCTCACCCTGAGAAATGACTAAGATGCCTCACCTACTTGAGTCCCTGCAGCCTACGTGGAGACCCAGGATGAATTAAGAAACAAGCAGAAACACTCCATGTGGTAAATGTGCCTCATCCTCTCTCTGCTGTGACGTATCACACAGGAGGAGATTCTTAGCTTTGGGTGTTTCTCCTAGGGTGTTGAAAGAAGGACATCTGCCCGCCACTGCAGCCAACAACATTCTGGGCTTGTCTTCTACACGACATGTACATACATTCTTCCACTAGGAATATAAGTTAATTGATTCTTTTTTTTTTTTAAGATTGTTTATTTTTATTGCAAAGCCAGAGATACAGAGAGGAGGAGAGACAGAGAAAGATCTTCTGTCCAATGATTCATTCCCCAAGCAGCTGCAACAGCTGGTGCTGCGCCAATCCAAAGCCAGGAGCCTGGAGCTTTTCTGGGTCTCCCATGCGGGTGCAGGGTCCCAAGGCTTTGGGCCGTCCTTGACTGCTTTCCCAGGCCACAAGCAGGGAGCTGGATGGGAAGTGGAGCTGCCGGGATTAGAACTGGTGCCCATATGGGATCCCGGAGCGTTCAAGGCAAGGACTTTAGCCGCTAGGCCACACCGCCGGGCCCAAGTTAATTGATTCTTTAACGCCCATGAACTGTGTAATCTTGAGCAAGGTTAGAGTAAAAAGTAGGATGTTAAGTTAGCATCTTATGTTTTTTCTAGAACTAGACAGTGTTTTGCTTTTTGCACAGATCTGACTGACGAGAGACAGAAAGGTGAAAATGTAGTTTCTGTTATAAAGTTGGTGATCATTTTGTGCTGGGGTTTTTTTTTTTTTTTTTTTTGGTTCCTGATCTAGGAGAATTTGATAATTAATGTCTAGTGTCATTCTACAATACTTTATAGTACTTAATAATACTTTGTGCTATAAAATGATATCTAAAAAACATATTTGAGAGAAAGACAGACATACAGATAGAGCTAATGAGCTGTGTGATTTCCCAGATACCTGCAGTGGCTGGGTTGGGCCAGGGCCAAAGCGAGGAACTTCATTCGGGTTTCTCGTGGGTTGCATTGCAGTAAATTGCGGCATTGTTTTTGCCTCCGAGACTCTATATTGGAGGGAGGCTGGAGTCAGCAGCTGGAGCTGGGTGTTGAACCCAGGTGCCCTGGTAGGGTGCAGTGTGGGATTCAGGTGTTTAAACAGCCAGGCCTAATCCCCACTCATTGTCTACTGCTGCAAACGGTACCCTCAGCTCAGAATTCCAACCAGTGTCCTTAGAAGAATTCACAGAAAATTGTATGGAAAGTTACTAGTAACTTCGTATGATTTTTTTTTTTCCCTTGAACGTGGTAACTACTTTACTGGCTTTAATTGAGCATTAGGCTGTTGTGAAAGGGTTGGTTCTTGGTGTTATCTGTGTACTGGGTTCCTCATTGTCATTTTGCTTTTCCTGCTTTTCTGGTAATTTTTCTGCCTCCGACTTGGGAGGTCCACCATCCCCCCTCAGGCCCGTGCTGCTCTTTGGACTTCCCGAACTGATCCCTCCCCCGCCCCAGGCCAGTAGCCCTCGGCTTAAAGAAGAAAGATACACATACCTTGATGGCAGCAGGCCCTGTGGATAAAGGGAGAGGAGAGCTGGCTGCTATAATGACGTCAGAGTTTCTGAATATTGTGGAATCCATTATTAAAATGTTACTGAAAGTAAACTTGAATTTCATTTGGCCCTTCAGGGTTTCACAGCAGGTTTTTTTTTATAAATGATACAGAGGAAGTTTTAATTTTTTCTAATGTACGGTACAATTGAAAAATCAGGGTCGTGCTACAGTATATAATAGTCAACATAATTTGATTATATTATTTCTAGATTTCCTTTGATTTATAAAAAAATCATGCTAGCTTTGCTTCTTGTCATGCTCATTGCCTGTTTTTTCGCCAAAGTTTTGTACACGGAGATATTGTTTAATGGATTTGAAGGCATCTGCGTGGATTCTCGAGGGGCACCACATGCCTACCACCATGGAATGCAAAGTGTTGCCTGCTTTGTTTTTAAAGTTGAAAGCAAAAAAGTTAGTTTGGAAGTTGACCATATTAAGCGAACTTCTGAAATCTGAAAACAGTACCAGCATCAAGTAGAAGGTTTTGTCTAATCCTGTGTAATTGTAATTCAAATGTTTCTCAGTTTTTTACTCTAGAGGGATAAATTAGGAGTGGTGAATATATTTATATGTGAACTCTTTCTAGATTTGTATTAATATTAGTGTTCTAAAGATATGTTTGTGTAGTATACTCATTTTTTTCTTCTTAATTTCCTGTTGCCAGCTAATAATTCCATGGATTTTACAACGGTGAGATTCCTGCTTCAGGATTCTAAGAGTTTGTTACAGGCTTTCAGTGCCAGGTCAGATTATGATGGTGTGCTTCCACAGGCGTTTGCTCAAGTAAGCAAGCTGCTCCAGACACTTGCTGAGGTGAGATGTCCTTGGTCATTTCCTCCGGTGCAACCTTCAGGTGAAGCATGACCCACTGGTGGCTGCTAACATCCTGCAGGCATCTAGCACGTGCCAGGGTACTGAGCGGGCAGCTCTCACCCTCCTGGAGGCATCCAGCACGTGCTGGTGGACTCAGCGGGCAGCGGGCAGCTCTCACCCTCCTGGTGAGAAAGAAAGAAAAGAGAGAGAGAGAAGGAGGAAGAAAAGAAAATAGTGAATAGTGACTTCAGGGCCCAGCATGGAAGCCTAGTGACTAAAATCTTCACCTTGCATGCCCCACATGGGCCTGGTTCATGTCTTGGCTGCTCTGCTTCCGTTCCAGTTCTCTGCTTGTGGTCTGGGAAAGCAGTTGAGAACATTCGAAGGCTCAGGAACCTGAACCCCTGTGGGAGACCCAGAAGAAGCTCCTGCCTCCTTGCTTCGGATGAGCTCAGCTCCAGCCACTGTGGCCACTTGGGGAATGAACCAGTGAATGGAAGATTTTTCTGTCTCTCTTTCACTCTGTAAATCTGCCTTCCCAGTAATAAATAAATAATTTTTTTGAGATTTATTTATTTTTATTGGAAAGTCAGAATTACAGAGAGGAAAAGAGACAGAGGAAGATCTGTCCACTGAGTCACTCCCCACGTGAATCAGATCTCAGATCAGAGCGGAAGTGAGGACCTTAGCAACTAGGTTACCGTGCTGGGCCTGATACTTACCTTTAAAGTCTAATTTTAACTCTAGAAAATCCTGGGAGCTGTATGTGTTAGAAACTCAGTGTCACAACTACTAAAGAAGGTGTTTGCTTCTGAGAAGCTTTTGAGAGACCAAATGGAAAGGTAAAACTAACACTGTCGTTTCTAGATTCTCCGTGGAAATAGCCAAAGGATATATATATGTATGCTTATCGTATAGCCATTTGGACTCCCTCCTGCCACAGAATTCACTATATCAAAGTGATCGAATAATTAAGTCAGTCTTTTTAATAAGCTTTGGATTTCCATGTTTAAAGATCCGACTTGGTTTTTTTAGCTCTAATTAATTCTCTGATTTTTAATTTGTGTGTGTATGTGACATAGGTATAGTAATCTTTGCCTTAGAGTTCTCCTGGAAGGAAGAAATGAGTGTTTGTGAAGCCCTCGGTGCGAGCACGGAGTGCACTCGTGCATAGTACACTAGTGAGGGGCACTTGCTTGTCTGTTTTTATGTACTTGAGAAGCAGAGAGAGAAGGGATAGCTTCCACCTGCTGGGCTGCTCCCCAGATGCCTGCAATAGCCAGGCCTGGGCCAGGCTGAGGCCAGCAGCCCAGAACTCCATCAGGGCCGCCACATGGGTTATGGGACCCTGCTATTAGGCCATCCTCTGTTGCCTCCTGGGATGGGCTCAGCAGGAAGTCGGCTTGGAGACAGCAGCTCTTGAAGCCTCCCTCTGTTGTTTGCCTCATTGCTGCCTCTGGTCTTTGTTTCAAACATGTTTAATTGGTGGGTTCCGGCTCTGACTGCTGCACTTGCTGGGAGGTGCTGGGGTGGCTCAGGAGTGGGCTCCTGCCGCCCACCAGGAGGCTGTGATTGTTTCTGACCTGCCCAGGCCCCAGCCACTGTCAGCGTTTGCAGAAAAAGCTAGTGCATGGACCATGTCTTTGCTTTTCAAATAAACAAATTTTTAGAATATACATGCTGTTTTTTTTTTTTTTTTAATTACCCGGGGCAAAACACGTCTGCCTTCATGTATGATAAGTTCATAAATTTGTTTTTCTTAAAGATCTGTTTGAAATGCAGAGTTAGAAAGATATCCTCCATCTGCTGACTAACTCCCCGAGCGGCTCTAATGGCCAGAGCTGGGCCAGGCTGAAGCCAGGAGCGTCTTCCTGGTCTCCCATGGGGACTGAGTCTTGCCTCTGCTGCCCTCACAGGCGGAACAGGATGGGAAGTGGAGCCTCTTGTACTGTAACTGGCGTCCACACAGGAAACTGGCACCGTAGGTGGAGGCTTATGCTGCTGAGTTGTGGCATTGGCCTCACAGTTGATGACTGAATGTAAATGGACAAGCTTGGGATGACTCGTCTGCATCTTTCCCACCATCTCTGTGGACCAAGAGAGACCCCTCACGTCCATAGTCAGGCTGCTTAAGGATGCTGTCCCTCCTTGGTGTGGCCCTTGATGAAGGCCTCTCCTTGTCCCAGCTCCCTCACTGCAGGAAAGGGGGATTCTCACAGGGGAGATTACAGGGGCTAGTAGCTGGAAATTGTTACAGGTTTCTTCTCCATTTAAAAACGTTTACTGAAAATATATTGTTATTACTGGTAGCATTAGAAATCTCATTTTAGGGCCCGGCGGCTAAAGTCCTCACGGCTAAGGTCCTCGCCTTGAATGCTCCGGGATCCCATCCAGCTTCCCATCCAGCTCCCTGCTTGTGGCCTGGGAAAGCAGTCGAGGACGGCCCAAAGCCTTGGGACCCTGCACCCGCATGGAAGACCCAGAAGAGGTTCCTGGTTCCCGGCTTTGGATGGGTACAGCACCGGCCATTGCGCTCGCTTGGGGAGTGAATATTTGGACAGAAGATCTTTCTCTGTCTCTCCTCCTCTCTGTATCTCTGGCTTTGCAATAAATAAATAAATCTTTTTTAAAAAATAAATAATTATATAAATCCCATTTTATAAAATTTGGTAAGCATGATGCTTTTCAAACTGAGTAAAATGTAAAATACATTCTCAAGGACTCAAGGTCACAGCTCTGAGCAGGGCCCAGCTCCAAGGAGCTGCTGAAGCCAGGGGACAGTGTGACTGCAGCACTCTGTAAGTTGCTGGTCTGGTGGCCTCTTTGACACTTGGCTTTGAATTCTTATTTCCTGTCACATACATCAGTCTCTCATGGTGCTGGCCACTTAATTTTTTTTTTTTAAGATGTGTTCATTTTTATTGGAAAGTCACATTTACAAAGAGGAGGAAAGACAGAAAGATCTTCCATCTGCTGGTTTACTCCCCAAGTGACTGCAATGACCAGAGCTGAGCCAGTCTGAAGCCAGGGGCTTCTTCCAGGCCTCTCATGCAAGTGCAGGGTTCCAAGGCTTTGGGCCGTCCTCAGCTGCTTTCCCAGGCCACAGACGGAGCTGGATTGGAAGTGGAGCTGCCGGGATATGAACCTTGTGCCATGTGGGATCTTGGGACATGCAAAGCGAGGACTTCAGGTGCTAGGTAGTTTTGGCACTGGAATACCTGTGCTGCCCCTTTTGGAAGTTGTCATTCACCAACACAATGAGCTCCCTAGGTGTCATATACACTTTCAGGCGTATGTGCTGCCAGAGCAGTTGTTTTCAGTGGTAGCTGAAAATGGCTTGGGCGCTGAACTTCTCTCTGGATGTGCCGGTGCTCCCACTTTTCATAGTTCAGACACCAACCAGCCAAGTTTGTGTTGGTGTGTATCAAAGTTAGTTGGACTTGAGCCTGGGTGGGACTGCTGCTCCCAGATGCTCACATCCCATTCTGTCCCCACCTTCTTCTCTGAACTGGCTGTGTTACTGGAAAGGAAGTTAAGGTTAAGGTTATGGATGAAATGGAGGTTGGTTGGTAGCTGACCTTGAGTTATGGAGATTATTCTAGATTATCAGGTGAGCCTGTGTCATCACAAGCATGCTTAATATCTGCAGAAATGTCCACATAGTATTCATAAGTTGATACTGGAATATTAGCTAAGAAACTAGGTCACTCCAATGGATTGGAAGATGGTTTTTATTTTGATGTGAGAGGAAAATTATTTTCCAATTCTGATGCTTTCTTGGCAATATTATAATGTAAGTGTAAGTGTAATCATAGTTCTCCTTTTCTTGTTTCCTTGTTGTGAAGCACAGCTGTGTCTTCTGTCCCCAGGTGAAAACAAAAGTGAAGCCAGGTTCTTCAGAAAGCACGGGGAATGGAAAGCAGGAAGCCGCGTGCTTGATGAAGTCTCATCACCAAGAAAGCACTGTGTGCTCGGGGTCTCACGTTCCCCAACCCAACAGGCATCAAGAGATCTGGTCTGTTCTGGAGAATGTTTGGCTTTCAATATGTCAGAACAGGTACTACACATCCAAGAACTTTTAATTCTAGAATTACGTTGACTTTTTTAAAGGAATTCCATTGTTCATTGAACAGTTTGTGTTTGGTTTGTTGGTTTTATATCCTAGATTACCTAACGCAGGAGCTTTTGCCACAGCAGGACCTTGGAAACAGCCATTCTTATACAGGGTCACATCACAGTTACGGGGAGGGCTGTACGTGCACAGGTGTGGGCTCTGTTCCTTGGGCTTCTTATTCAGTGAGACTGACGTTGAAAACCTCAGTTAGAAACTGGATATGAGGATTTTTCAGAATCTGTGTGAAAAAATGAAGGATATGTTCTGAGTTCTCTATGTAGTTTAGAGTTGACTTGGGGTGCATGTGGTTTGGTGGTGGGTACTGGGGAGCTTTGTGCAGTTTCTGGGTCATAGGCTTGGGTAGCATTCAGTAAGTGGAAAGGCAGGGCTTGCCTGCTCAGTGCTGTTCCTGCAGCTTGGCCCACTGTTTCCCAGGTGTGGGTGACTGGTAGTCATGGTGGAGCGTGTCAGCGTCATTCTTCAGGGAGGTGGCAAGACTTGGCAGTTACACACACCAACACAGTCACACACTCCTGGTATGCCTGTGAGGAGGTGCTCAGGGGAGTGTCAGGTGCTGTGAATTCTTCAAGTTAACCCTCTGATTTCCAAAGCTTGACAGTAGATAAATGTTGTTTTATGCTAAGAGAGTGAAATTTAGTAAGTATGGAAATTAACCAACCTGTGCAGTTGAACCCTTGAAGTCATCCTTTTATCAGTACTGCATGTGTGTTACAGTTGAGCAAAGACAAAAGTCGCAAGTTTTTAAACTCAAAATATTTTTCATTCTTACACTTTTTGATAAACTTAATATTTTTCCTCAAGCTAATGTTCAAAAGAAATAGATTTTGAAATCACTGAGTCAATACAACTGTATCATGAAAAATAGATTTTTTAAAAAGTAGCTGTTAGCAGTAAGGTTTTTGAGGTGCATTTTCAGGTATACTTTGAGTTTAGCAGTGGGAACTGTAACCATGCCAAATATGTGGCCTTTGCCAGTCCATCCTTTGTTGTTGTTAGACATTTATTTTCTGTTAATCCTGTGAAAACAAAACAAATGAGGGAAATTGTTTTTGACTGGTAATTTTTTATAAACTACTAAATCACTGTGCAGTAATTTGTTATTATTGCTTATTTTTACTTGAAAAGCATATTTTATAGAGCTAGAGCTAGAAGAAGAGACAGAGGTTTTCCATTTGCTGGTTCAATCCTCACACAGTGTAAAGGCTGGAGCTGAGCGGATCCAAAGCTAGGAGCCATGAACTTCATTCCGGTCTCCCTAATGGGTGCAGGGCCCGAGGCTCTGGGCCGTCCTCTGCTGCTTTCCTAGCAAACAGGCAGGGAGCTGGAAGGGAAAGTGGGGCAGCCAGAACTTGGACTAGCACCTGTATGGGATATCAATGCTATAGGCAGAAAATGAGCGTAAATGGCCCCACACTGGCCCCTCAGTTATTATTGATAATCTAGAATGTAATGGATCTAATAATAGATTGGCACTATAATGCTAGCTCTGAATTAAAATGTTTATATTCAAAACTAATTATTATTAGTGACTGACTGTAATACAGTATATGTAACAAAATTCATGTTAGTAATATTGATTTGCTTTTATTTGCATGTTATTATTTAGTGTGTAAGCATTGTTTGAACAAAAATATTTTGCTCTAAAAAAAAAGCCCTGCAGTTTTTGTGGGACAGAGTCGGTAAGTTCAGGCAGAGGACTCAGCTGTGGCCAACAGTTCCTTCTAACATCGCAGAGTAGGACCTACACACACTGAACTATGGCAGTTTTGGATTTTGGGCAAGTTTTAGAAAGAAAGTGTATTTATTGAATTTGACCCCAACTTCACTGTATGATCTTTCCCGGATAGTAGCTGACTGATGCTCTGGCGTTTTAGACTCACCAAGTGCCGCTCTGAGGATTCAGACTACCTTCACTAGTAGCTGTCCTAAGAGCAAAGTCAATAACGTTACAGCTTCGGCTACGGTCAGTAGACCTACACACTTACTCAGAGAGGACTTTATTAGGAAGCTTTCTTATTTTGCTTTCAATTAAATGTGGTAATATTCTGTTTCATGCCACTTCATACACCAAAATGTCTTTTTAAAAAGAGCTGTTTATTTGAAAGGCAGTTTTACAGAGTGAAATCTTCCATCCACTGGTTCACTCCCCAAATAGCCACAGTGGCCAGAGCTGAGCTGGTCAGAAACTGGGAGCCAGGAGCTTCTCCCAGGACCCTCATGGGGGTGTGAGGTCCCAAGGCTTTGGGCTGAAATGGGATGCCTGTGCTGTAAGGTGAAGGATTCAAGGCTTTGGGCCGAAATGGGATGCCCGTGCCGTAAGATGAAGGAGTGACTTGCTAGCCTACCATGCTGGCTCCCCATAAATACTTTTTTGCTTTATTAAGCTTAGATATATTTGTCAGCTAGACTGTTTTCCGTTGACCTTGCTGGATTTGTTGAAATATTTTAACTGTTGCACAGTTAATTTCTTCATTGTATGTGCTTCTTCATTTTACAACACGTGCAGGCCTGGTGCTGGTTCCCGAGCTATCTGCCTCTTGTTTGTGTGCAAGTGTGTGCTTGGGGTGCGTTAGACTGCTGCTTGCGTGAGCAGATGGAGGCAGCGGCTTTCTCATTTTCCCAAACAATTCAAGCAAAGCTCTGACAAAACCTGCACCCAAAATCTGGAGAATTCCTGCCATTTCTAGAACCCTGTTCTGTAGGTTTAAAGTTAGGCTCTGTTAGGTACTTTATCTAAAGCTATTTTTATGAATTTTGACTTAAAAATGAAATAATTATGATAGGAAGCAAAAACTGAAAATAAAATGCTAAATATGCCTTTGTGTTTAAGATTTTTTTTTTTATTGGAAAGGCAGATTCATAGGAGAGAGAGAAGGAAAGAGAAAGACCTTATGTCCGCTTGTTCACTCCCCCTGTGGCCACAAAAGCCTGGAGCCACAAGCCTCCTCCGGGTTTCTCATGCGGGTGGAGGGCCCCAAGGCTTTGAACCATCTTCTGCTTTCCCAGGCCACAGGCAGGGAGCTGGAAGAGAAGTGGATCGGGGGGACTGGATGCATCAGGCAGGGATTTAGCCCCTCAGACATCTTGCTGGGCACTATGCTATTTTATTTTTAAAAACATTTAAGTTTTGAAGGTAATGAGTAGCTTCCACAATTATTTTATCTCAGATTATTCCTCAGATCATTTTGTAAATAATTGGGTTTATTCTTATAAACCGCTTCAGAAGGAAGTTATTGGTAAAAAGTCATGGTCTTCAAGTTCATTTTTGTGCTGTGGAAAGTTGGTTTTCAAGGTGAGAAGATGATGGACACAGGTTCAGGGATCCTGAGCAAGGAGGGTCAAGGTAGAGGCGAGAGAAAGCGCCCCTCCCCGTTCCCTGTTTTCTGGTCAGCCTGGTAAGTGATGGTCACTTGATAGCACCCCCAAGTGCCAGGTGAGGGAAAATGCATCCTGGGACAGTGGTCCTCTGATTGACAAGTAGGCAGATGGTATTACATGGAGCAGGGGAGGAATGGCGTCTGATTTCATGATTGTAAACTAGCTACCTGCCTGTCCCAGCTCATTCCCCCCTCAGAGATTTTCAGCTTCTATTCCAAGAGTTGCAGAATATAAATTCATCTCATCTTCTGTGGCTACTTGGTGCTAATTAGGGGCACAGGCCTTGTGTGTACCAGGTTTGAAAGTCTCCCCCGTCCCATGGGATGTATCATCTCACAAACCATAGAAGAATCTGGCAGCTGCCGATGACTGTGTCCTCCCATGGTCATTGCCATCCTGAGGAGTCACTGGCCTTTTTCTGTCTTTTGAAGAGGCGTCCAGCGGCTTACACTGGTTCACAGGGGCAGGCCATTCATCCTTCATGTGCGTCTGGATGTGATCTCCTTCCTGTTCAGGAGTCAGTGTGGAAGGCAGCTCAGCGTGCCTGTTGTTCTGATGCCAGGACACTCACCCTGCTCTCGGTCCCTGAGGCCACAGATCCTGTTGCATCATGACCACTGCATAGGAGAATCCATGCTGCTTGGCAACGCCAAAGGTTGTTAGTGGAAGCCCTTCAAGTTCATTTCAAATAAAAATCCTTTGTTTCTCATTGAGAGGGGAATGACAGTGCAGGTTAAGTAGTGCTGCAGATTCTCATTTCTGGCTTTCCAGATTCTGTTAGCATAGAAGCCACAGTGTGTGGCTTTTCATCCTTGTTTTCCGTTTTGTGCATTTACTGCAAATCCAAGACAAGCTAGCTTACCGGTTCATGTGAATTGTTCCGAGTCAGCTTAATTGAATTCATATGTGGGCCGTTGTACATTTTGATTTAGCCTAGGTAATTTTGAACATAAATGTGTAAATATATACATATAGATAATGTTTGTATAGCAAAATATATTATTACAGTAGATCAAAGAACAGAATCATTTAATCAGGAGATTCTGCAAGAGCAGCCCAACGAGTGCGTCTGAGTCAGTTTTCGGCTCTTCACGTGTTGTGTACAGGCTTGGTTTGGGGTACGTGAGAACAGCACAAAGTGCGTATTGGTGTTCTGGGTGTAGCAGGCACATCGCATACAAGCAGGGCGGTTTTGTTGTGCCCGTACGTATTGCTTTCCTGGCACTGCTGTAACTAATTACTTCAAACTGGGTGACTTAAAATAGCTTGACTTTCTTCACTTACCATTACTTAGGCCTAAAATTTGGAATCCAGCTATCTGAAATGGGGCTTCCTTCTGGAAATTCTCAGAGAGGATTTGTCCCATACCTGTCCTCTGCCCTCTGGTCAGTGCCAGCAGCTCCTGCCCAGAGATCTATCACCTGCTGCTGCCTTTGTCTTCGCGCAGTGCAGGGCCCCTCCAGCCCAGTATCATCTCACTGCTTACAGAATCTCTGATTTGAGAAAGAGAAATGGCTCTGCTGTGCTGGTTCATTCCCAAATTCCCTTGGGCCTCCACAGTTGCTTCCTCCCAGGAACTACACTGGCAGGCAGCTGAAGTTGGGAGCCAGGTGGACGTTGAGGCCAGGCACTCAGGCCAAACACCTGCCCTAACTTGATGTAACGTTCCTCGTCTGTGGGGACTGCACTGCGGGGAAACATCCGGAGACTCTGGTGACAGGGTGTGCTGCTTAGTGTAAAGCCAGTCCCGCCTCATCATTTTACACGCTTGCTGATGTTATGTAAATCAGGCTTCGTCGTGGCCTGAGCATCGTGTCAGTAATTTTCTGTTTCATCAAGTGACTCATTTATTGCTTTATACTTTGTGTACCGTTGGACATTAATGGTGCTATTAATTTATCTGCTTGCTCATGAATCCCTTTATTGCAGATTTTTGGAAGTGAAATTGCTGAACTAAACATCCAGTTTTGATAGATAGTTGTCTATCTTCCCCCTTGGGTTCCTGAGCACAGGGGCTGTAGCTCGGTGTAGTGATTTGCCTCTTCCCTGCGGCCTCCTCCAGCAAGGCATCGCGGACACAGCTTCCGCAGTGAGACGTTGGCTTAGACCCGTGTAGCATCTGACTTGGAGCTTTTGTTGTTAGCTTGAGCTTTCACCTGGCATCATGTGGAAGATGAGTTATAGATATTTTCTACATTGGCAATAGAAGTATTGGATTCACAGTAAATACACATGTGTACCCACAAGTAAGATTGATTTTCTTTCTCTCTCCATTAGCACAGATGTGTTTCAAAGATTGGGCACAAATTCAGCTCTGAGTACTTCAACTATAGCATCGTTAGAAGAAGCATTTCTTTATCTTCAGAAGTTAATGGCAGCTGTGAAGGACATTCTTGAAGGAATTCAGAGGTAAACTATGTTAATTTCATTTATTTTTCTTTCTGCTGTGATTATCAGCTTTTTCAAAATTGTTGGGTGTTTTCCAGCAAGTTGTGAACTAACAGCTTTTGCACTAAGGTCTCTTCTTCCTCTTCAAAGAATCCATAGCTCTAGTTTGTACTTCAAGAATGTTTGATCTTTTCCCATTCTAGAAAATAATTCTGTCAAAGGCTATGAGCTTCATGAAGAAGTTTGTTGTCTTTGCTGTGTAACCAGCGCTAGAATGGAGCTGGCACACGCGAGGCCCCTGAGCATTCGTCAGGGAGTGAGCATGTTACCATATGACCACAGCCCCTTGAAGTGGAGCAAGTGTGCGGTGATGTGCTTAGCAGTTGAGAGGCAATTTTTTAAAGAATAGGGTACATCATTTTTAAAAGATTTATCTAGTCTGTTTGACAGGTGGAATGACGGAGAAAAGGAGGAAGGAGAGCTTCATCTTCTGGTTCACCCCCACCTGACTGGGCAAGGACAGAGTTGGCAGCCGTAGTGCTTTTCTGGTTTATCATGTGGGTGAGAGGCACCTGCCCTTGGGCCGGTTTCCAGTGCTTTCCCAGGCACACCAGCAGGGAGTTGAACTGGAAGTGAAATAGCCTGGCCTCATCTGGCACCCCAGCCTTGCAAAGGGCTTTACCTGCTGTGTGTGCTGCATCCCTGGCCCCAGCAACATAGCCTTCCAGTGCTGTGAGACCACACACACACCCCTACACCTTGTTCAATATTCATGCTGTAGCATTTAGAAGGTACACACTGGGACACGTGTGGCACAACAGTTGAGTCCATCAAGGGGCCAGCATTGTGCACAGTGTGCCAAGCCACTCTTTGTGGTATCAGCATTTCGTGTGGGCTCTGGTTTGCATCCCAGCTGCTGCACTCCGATCCAGCTGCCTACTGATGTGTCGGGAAGCAGCAGAGGGTGGTCCATGGATTGGAACAGTTGCCACCACGTGGGAGACTAAGTGAAGCTCCTGCCGTTGGTTTTGACCTGGTCTGTACCTGGATGTTGTGGCCATTTGGATGAGTAAGTCAGTGGATAGGAGATTTTTTCCTTTGTCTCTTCCTCTCTCTCTTGCAGTTCTATTTTTCAGGTAGTGTGTGGAGAAGTCATTAGGACCTCCAGCGTTCCATCTCAGCATGTCTCAGTTCAGGTCTTACTCCATTTCAGGTAGTGGCTGCCTCCTGATGTGGACTCCAGTGTGTGTGTGTCAAGGTCTGGGGCAGCATGTGATCCTGGTGGATTCCAGTGTGTGTGTGTTTGTCTGTCAGGGTCTGGGGCAGCATGTGATCCTGGTGGACTCCAGTGTGTGTGTGTGTGTGTGTCAGGGCCTGGGGCAGCACGTGATACTGTCCAGTGTCTGGATGAGAACGGAAGAAGCTTGTTTCAGGCTGAGCATGTCCGGTGTGCATCTGCAGTGCTCCCTTGCTCATGGAGTCCTCACTGGAGTTGACCTTACTATGCGTCAGAGCACAGAACTGAAAAAGGACAAGGAGTTGAGTCCAGAAGGGCAGCTTGTGGAGCTGGCGGTGAGAAGACATGTCTTCAGATGGGTGAAAGGGAAAGATTGGGTGGTAGTGATTGTTGTGTATATCTGTAAATTTGTTAGAAATCAACGCATTATAGAAGCGAGTGTTTGTGTTGCATAAATTATACCTCATTTGGAACTGTTAAAAAGTAAATGTAGAGTTTAAAATGTTTCTTTTTTACTCGGTGGAAGTTAGGACAGCTTGTTTCTTTATTTCTTACTCTGGATTTGATATGTTGCTTTAAACAGATAAATAATTCACCTAAAACTAGTTTTTCTATGAAGTATTTAAGGACAGAGAAGTGCTCCTTGATGCTCTGGTGAAGTATGTGACAAGGCTGTTAATATAATCTGGTTCTGTCTGCTTCCCTCACCTGTGGAGTCAGTGTGGACTCTGCAAAGCCACAGGCCCAGAAGCTAGAGACTGCATGCCGCTTCCAAGTCAGCACACACTGCTTCGTGTTCCGTTGTCTTTGTGAAGGATTGCTTTAAATTGTACACAAAGCTTCATTTTTAAAAGCACTTATTTATGCACCTTTTCCCTCTTGAGGGAGTATGCTCCATCTGCACCTGCAAGCTCACATTTTGCTTACTCACTCTCTTATATTAGTTATATTTTGAAATTACTGGGTGGGAGAAAAACCTGTTAGATGAACTGATATTCTCATGCAGGCTTTTCTGTATTATTATGTATTAAGGGCCAAATAGATTGAGGACATGATTAACTCAAGTCTGGTTGAATGTCAAGCATTGCAAAGAGCGAGGCATATTGTTAAAGTTAAAACAAGACAAAATGGGGGATTTAAGAATTAAAGATCCGAGCTGAGTTGATGCCTGCAGAACTGCCGTCAGTGAGCGCCAGCCAGTTTCAGTCCTGGTTGCTCCGCTCCCAGTCCAGCTCCCTGCGCCTGTGCCAGGGAAAACAGCAGAAGGTGACCCATGTATTTGGGTTCTCGGCACCCCCATGAGACACCTGGGTAGGTTTCCTGGTTTCTAGCTTTAAGCTGGCCCTGCTCTGGCCAGTGGGAGCCTTTGGGGAGTGAACCAGGTGACAGAAGATCTCTCTGTTGCTTCTAGTCTCTGTAACTGTACTTCTCAAATAAATACTATTTTTTTTTTTTTTTTTTTTACTTTTTAAAAATTAGTATCATTTTATGATAGAGTTCCATAGGCCCTGGGATTTCCTTTATTCCCTCCCCAAGGTCCCGTCCCTCCCCTTCCACTGAGTTCCCCTGTTATTACTATAGTATTGTTCTTCATAAGCAGTCATATGTCCATCATTGTGGGCACAGACAATGGCAGAGAGTCCAGCATCCTATTGTCAAGATACAGTAAACAGTTTCATTAGGAGTCCAACTTTGTCTGGAAGTTGAGATGCATACTGCATTGTATCCTCACATCTGGATATGATCGTCTCCATTACACAGTTACTATACATCCCCTAAAAGCAAAAGCCACAATACAAAATCAACCACAGGAAGAAAAGAAATTTAAAATGCCATGAAGTTAAATAACGTGCTACTGAATGACTAATGTGTCACTGAAGAAATAAGAGAATCAAGAACTTTCTTGAATAAAGTGATGCTACTTTATGATCTATGAGTCAGTGAAGAATTTAATGAGGAAGAAAGTGTTTTCAAGAGATGAAACTAAATAAAAATCAAATCAAATCAATGAGACATACTTTCCGCTTATATTTGTTTTTGAGATGGTGATACATGTCTTCTCTAGGCAGCAAATAGATGAGTTTTGTTTTTCATCCAGTCTACTAATTATGACATTTGATTGAAGAGTTTAAATCCTTTTATATTCGGGGTTAATATGAATGGTTGGGAATTTGTTCCTGTCATTTTAGCAATTATTCATTGATTTGGTCTTCTGTTATTTTACTAGGATGTTCTTCACATTTGCCTTTGGTTTTGATGGGTGCTATTTCTCTTTGACAAGAGAACATCTCTAAGTATCATTTGTAGGGAGGGTTTGGAAAAGGCCTATTCCTTAACTTTTCTTGACTGAATTTTATTTCATCTTCAAAGACAAAAGCTTTGCTGGGTACATTATCCTGGGCCGACAATTTTTTGCTTTTAGAATCGGGGATATTTTGCTCCATTCTCTTATGTGAGAGGTCTCCTCTGAATTTAATTGCCATTCTGTATGTCAGCTGATTTTTTTCATGTGCACATTTCAGGATCTTATGTTCAATTGAAGAGAGCTTGATAATCATGTGTCGTGGTGAAGATCCCTTTTGGTTCGTCCTGTTGGGAGTTCTGTGTCCCTCCTGGATGTTGTTTCCCAATTCTTTCTCTAGATTAGGGAAAGTTTCCATTATTATTTCATTGAACACACCTTTAATCCCAGCTTCTCTTTCTGTACCTTCTGCGACTCCCATAACTCTTATATTTGGCCTTTGATAGTGTCTTTCAGTTCTTGAACACTTTTTTTTAGCCTGATCCAGCTCTGCTTCTAGGTTTTGTTTGTTTTCGCATGGTGACAGGAACTATCTTCTAATTCTGAGATTCTGCCTCCTCCATTCTGTTTTTGGAGACTCTCCACTGTACTTTTAATTTTCTCCACTGTATTCTTAATTTCTAATATTTCAGCTTTGATCTGATTCATTTCCTGTGTGACATGTTCCCTAAATTCCTTAAACTGCTGCTTTATGTGCTTCTCATGGTTGATAAGAAGCTTTATAACAAGTGTTTTTTATTCTGTATCCCCATTTTCTCGATGTCTTCCCCAGTTAACTCTGAGGTTGGCAAAGGGTTTTACTGCTTTGCAAGGGAGTCTTCAGCAACATTCAATGTGCCTTCCTTTGCTCTTGGTCATTGTACTTCTAGTTATCAGATTCTTCTCCTTGGGGCAAATTTCTAAGCTGTGTCACCCACAGGTCTAAAATTCAATTTTACCTATTATGGTTGGCCGAGTAGGGCTCTTTGCAGCCACTTCTGCCACTGCCTCCAGTGAGTCCCAGGTCTGCGTTCTTATTTTGGTTTTCCACCGTGGTCTCCGTAGCCCCAGCTCCTGGCTCACCACTCTTCACCTCCTGTGATGCTGCACTGATGCTCCACCATTGTCTGCACAACCTTTCTCCCACTTCCTGTTACTCCCTAATTTCCAGAATTACGGAGATACCAGGTGTCCTGTGTAACTAGATTGTTGTTGGTGCTGATCTTGGTCTGAGGGCCACATGGACCTATTTTGACCTGTACAGTGCTGTGTTCTCTATTGTTTTCCTGTGGGACTAGTGCTCCCAGCTCAGAGCATGCACAGCTCACTGTTGTCCCTACAATCTGAAAGTGTTTTCCATACTGTGCAAATGGTGCCTGATGTGCCCCACTAGGGTTCTTGACCTGCTGGCCATCAGATCTGTGGTTATCTGGACCTATCTTGCATGGAACCTGTAGGATGCCATGTTGCGGTTTGCTGAGCCAGAAATGAGTTCACTCCCAGCTCAGTACACATGCAGCCCTGTCCCATAGCTTTTGCCTCCCTATACAAATGTCGTCCGATTTGACTCTAGAGGGCAGAGTGGGCTGTGAAATATACCCTATTGCACACGGCCCATCTGGGACCTGCCACTCTGTCTCTGGCCCAGCAGGACGGGCCATTGTCCGCTGCCTCCCAGGGTTGGTTGTGTGAGCAGGATGCTGCAACAAGCTGCAGAGCCAAGACTGCAGTCAGGGGCTCGAGTGGTGTCCTAACCAGACCTCACGGTAATGAATGCACCCCCAATCATTCTCGTTTAATAGATGAGGGAAATAAATGATTAACATTCACCATAGGGGCCCCAACTGGTGGCCTAGTGGCTGAAGTGCTTGTTACACATGCCGTGATCCCACATGGGCACCAGTTTGTGTCCCAGCTGCTCCACTTCCCATCTAACTCCCTGCTTGTGGCCTGGGAGAGCAGTCAAGGACAGCTCAAAGGCTTGGGACCCTGCATCCACGTGGGAGACCCCAAAGAAGCTCCTGGCCCTGGCTTCAGATCAGCACAGTTCCAGCCATTGCTGGAATCTGGACAGTAAACCAGCAGATGAGGGATCTTTGTCTCTGTCTCTCCTTCTGTCTGTAAATCTGCCTTTCAAACAAAACAAATAAATGCATACTTACATACACACATACATCTTTTTTAAAAAATTCATCCTGGGTCATCCAGTTGGAAGGGCTGAGAGGTAGACAAAAGCAGACCACTGTACCAGTATGGCAGCGTTGGTTTCCTTTTGCTTTCTTTCTGAAAGAAAGAAGTATTCGTGTTGAAAGAATTCAAATGTGTGAAATAGGACATTATGCTAGAGGGAAACGAATGTTCTTCCCTTTTTTTGTTTACTTTTTTTTGTTTGTTTATGTTTTAATCAGTTGATATGCTTCAGTAACTATTGGCTTTTCACAGAGTGCTAAGTTGATAGTTCAGATACTTTTTAGAATTTAGTCACAGTCTTTGGGATTTCTTTTATATGTCTGTTAGTTGCATCAGTGAATCTGTCTGGTCTGTTTGACCATTCCTGAAGGGAATCTTGAGACTTTGTTCACAGCCTAAGAGATATGGAGAGTGAATACACTTAACATTTCTACTCCTTCTTGAAAAATCCATATTTTGGCTTGGCACCATGGCCTGGTGGCTAAAGTCCTCGCCTTGAATGCACCTGGATCCCATATGGGTGCTGGTTCTAATCCCAGCAGCCCCAATTCCCATCCAGCTCCCTGCTTCTGGCCTGGGAAGCAGTTGAGGACAGCCAAATACCTTTTAGTTTGTACCCGTGTGGGAGACCTGGAGGCTCCTGGCTCCTGGCTTTGGATTGGGGCAGCACGGCCATTGCGGTCACTTGGGGATTGATCATCGGATGGAAGATCTTCTCTGTCTCTCCTCCTTTCTGTATGTCTGCCCTTGCAATGAAAATGAATACGTTTTTTTAAAAAAAAAGAAGAAGAAAAGAAAAATCCATATTTTTGTAACTCAGAACATGAAGTGTAATCTCGTTTACAAAAATACTTATGGCTGGCCAATGGATGTTATGAGAATTTAAGCAAAAATGATATTGCATACATTGATATGTTGAGCTGATCTAATGGTTTTATAATTTTTGATAAAAGATGAAACATTAGAAGCCTTAGAATAAGCTTGTTACACCACTGCCTCTCATAGCATGGTTATATTTGGAGGAGAAAATTTAATGTTTTTTTTCCTTTAAATCATTCATTCCCCCTCCTTTCCATTTTATTTTGAAACAGGATTTTAGCCCCTGACAGTAATTATCAAGATGTTGAGACTCTCTTTAACTTCCTAATCAAGTATGAGGTATGAGAACAGTTTTTAAATGTTACTTTGTTTCCACCATAAATGTTTTAATACAGATATAGTAGGAGTTCTGAAAATGGGATGGAATTCTATGTAGTATGTGCTTTAAATTAAATTCTTAAATGCCACAGAAATTTGCCAATGAGATATTTGTTGTCTCTTAGAAACTGTATATGTTTAAGATGTACAACATGGAGTTTTGATATAGTCATGCATGATAAAATGGTTGCTACAGTCAAGCAAGTTAACATAGCATGCTTTGGGTGGGTGTGTGGCTTGAACATCTAAGATTTATTCTTTTAGCAAAAATCCTGAATCTGTCCCAGTGTGTTAGCAATGGTCCTCATGCCATGTGTTGGATTTCTAATCCCACTTGTCGCTCCTTCCCTCAACCTCCCTGCTTTGGCCTCCATTTTCCTGTGTCCTGTGCTCCTTACTCCCCCAAGAGTAACCCGTCCTTACTCCCCCAAGAGTAACCCGTCCTTACTCCCCCAAGAGTAACCAGTCCTTACTCCCCCAAGAGTAACCCGTCCTTACTCCCCCAAGAGTAACCCGTCCTTACTCCCCCAAGAGTAACCCGTCCTTACTCCCCCAAGAGTAACCAGTCCTTACTCCCCCAAGAGTAACCCGTCCTTACTCCCCCAAGAGTAACCAGTCCTTACTCCCCCAAGAGTAACCCGTCCTTACTCCGCCAAGAGTAACCAGTCCTTACTCCCCCAAGAGTAACCCGTCCTTACTCCGCCAAGAGTAACCAGTCCTTACTCCCCCAAGAGTAACCCGTCCTTACTCCCCCAAGAGTAATCAGTGCATTCAGTGTTTTCTTTGGTTTGCTGAGTAAACACACAATTGAGTCTTGGAATAAGCACATAGTTGAATCCTGGAAACGGCACTTTTCTCCAACATAGAATTACTTCTCATCAGGATGCTCTGGGCATTTTGGACAGGTCATAAAACCTTGTGTGGGATGTTGTTGGATATCTGACTTGGATACTAATCCCAGTTGTTGAGACTGTCCCAGCTCACACACCCAGATCCCCTTGCTGCAGAGCCACTCAGAGTGGGAAGGTGAGCCACGGGGAGGCTTCTTCCAGCCCAGCAGCATGCATCTGGGCTGAGTACTGGGTTGGGCTTGTCTGCTCACCCATGGAAGGGCCCTGCTGATTGCCAGTTTTTCTCCAAAACTCCATCCATGTTCTGTGTTCCTATTTTCAGTGTTGTATGTGAGTTTAATTTCTTAAATGCTCTAAATGAAACAATGTGTCATGTATTCAGGTCTTGCTTCTTAAGAAGACAAATCCTTTAAGTACAATGGTTCTGGTTGACTCTCATTTAACTTATGAAAATCTTTTTAAATTTAGTCTTCCTTTTATTTGAAAGACAAACGAGCCTTCCATCTCCTACTTTGTCTCCTGAATGTCTACAGCAGCCAGGGCTGTACGTGGCTGAAGCCAGGAGCCTGGGGTGGCAGGGATTTGGCATCCCTGATGCCTTCCAGGTGCATTAGTGGGAAGCTGGGATGAAGTGCGAAACAAATACTCAGATATGAAATGAAGATTTATCCCAGCAGGGTCTTAGTTATTGCATCAAATACATGTCATTATTTAATCTTTGATGTGTCACTTCCATTAAAAAGCCAGTGAATAAGACTCCTGGACTCTGATGTGCGGATGTGGTATCCTTCGCTTGCTAACTGTGTGGCTAGGAACATTAATTCTCCTTTTGAAATGGTGGTGACAGCAAGAGATGCAGACCAAACGAAACACTGTCAGCCCCGAGTAGCAGGCTGAGTGAGTGGGCTGAGAGTGCTGTGTTTATTTCAGCAAAGCTTGATATTCATATGTGCTCTAAAAAGAGCATCCATTATGCCTTATAGCCTATCAAGAGAATTTCTTCTTGACATGCTTTGTGTTTCTGAATTCTGATTTGAAATATTAACTCTAATAATAGGAATATATCTGTGGGGCCCGGTGCAGTAGCCGACTGGCTGAAGTCCTCGCCTTGTGTGTGCTGGGATTCCGGAACAGTGCTGATCTGTATCCCGACTGCCCCGCTTCCCTCCAGCTCCCTGCGTGTGTCCTGGGAGAGCAGTCAGGATGGCCCAAAGCCTTGGGGCCCCCGCACCCGCGTGGGAGACCTGGAGGAGGCTCCTGGCTCCTGGCTTTGGAGCAGCTCAGCTCTGGCCGTTGCGGCCACTTGGGGAGTGAACAAGTGGATGGGAGATCTTTCTCTGTATCTCCTCTCTGCAAGTCTGCCTTTACAATAAAAGTAAATCTTAGAAAAAATGTATCTATGGACACAGTAGGTTGCCTTTCAAATTGCTGGGGATTTTGGACATGGATCTTTTTAGGTTTACTACTTTCTATTAAGATTGTTGGGATAGGGCCTGGTGCAGTAGCATAGCTGACTTCTTCCGCCTGTGGCGCCAGCATCCCATATGGGTGCCAGTTCATATTCCCAGTAGCTCCCCATCCCATCGCTCCCTGCTGACGTGCCTGGGAAAGCAGCAGAGTGTGACCCAAGTGTTTGGGTCCGTGCGCTCACATGGGAGCCCAAAAGAAGCTCCTGGTTTTACTTCAGCCCTGCTCAAGTCGTTAAGGCCTCAGAGGAGTAAGCCAGCATGTTGAGCAGCCTCTGCCTTTCAAAGAAAAGTCAGTGACATCTTAAAAAGAAAGATTACTGGAAGAAAATATCTGACTTACTGTTTCAAAATATATATACTTAGCACAGTAGGCAAAGGCTGACATCCACTTAGTAACCACCCCCCAGGTCCAGGCTGTTAGACTTCCTGTCGAACCTCCTGTTGTACTGGGAAAGCTGCAAAAGAAGGGCAGAGTGCTCGGGACCTGCCACCTGTGTGGGTGTTTCAACAGTGAACCTGTGACTGGAAGGTCTCTCCATAGCTCCCTCTCTCTGGACCTGTGCCTTTTGAATAAATAAAATAACTCCATAAAAACAAACACACACGCACACATAAATATGGGCCTGAGCCTCAGGATTTCTCATGGCAGCATTTAATTTCCACTCCGATTGCAACACTGACAGTCTGGTGTCATAAACAGTGGTAGGGCCATCAAAGAAGTTTGACTATTTCTGTACAAACTTTTGTTTTTTTGTTCTTGCATCTTTAAAAAAGATTTATTTCTTCTTATTGGAAAGGCAGATTTATAGAGAAAGAGAGACAGAGAGAAAGATCTTTGTCTGCTGTTTCACTTCCCAATTGTTTCGAAGCCTAGAGCCTGGATCCAGGAACTTCGGGCTCCTGTCACCCTGGGCCATGCTCTTCTGCGTTCCCAGGCCACAAGCAGGGAGCCGGGTAGAAAGTAGCGCAGCCAGGACATGGACCGCCACCCATATGGGATCCTGCTGCGTGTAAGGTCAGGATTTAGCCACTGAGCCATTGTGCTGGGCCCAGTTCTTGCATTTTTTTCTTTTTAAAGATTTATTTATTTTTATTGGAAAGTCAGATATACAGAGAAGAGGAGACAGGAAGATCTTCCACCTTCTGATTCACTCCCCAAGTGGCCACAACTGCCAGAGCTAAGCCATCCAAAATCAGGAGCTAGGATCTTGCTCCGGGTCTCCCACGTGGGTGCAGGATCCCACGGCTTTAGGTTATCCCCTACTGCTTTCCCAGGCCACAAGCAGGGAGCTGGATGGAAATGGGCAGCTGGGACTAGAACCAGTACCCATATAGGATCCAGCGAGGTGAGGACTTTAGCCATTCAGCTACTGCGCTGAGCCCCTCTTCTTGCATTTTTAGTAATGAAAAATAATTGAGCCATTTGTAGTATTTGGCTTTCATTGAAGTCGTACAATTAATAATCCAACATTTCTTCAGTAATCCATTTTATAATCTCTGTTAACTGACAAAAGGTTTATTTTTTGCTGTTTTATTCTTGAAAATTGAAATTATGCATTTAAGCATGATCTATTTCATAGTATACTTTAGAATACATGGCTGTGGCTAAGTAATTGAGGCACAGTAAGGTAAGCCGGGGGCTGCGTTCGTTGAAGTCCTGACTCTTCTTATCCAGCTCCCTGCTGGTGTTCCTGGGAAATCAGCAGGAGCTTTCTTTCTCCTCTCTCTACATCTGTCTTTCCAATAAAAAGAAAAGAAATAATTCTTCAGAAAAAAAAAAAGGTGGGGACCACAATGGCCTGACTGGACAGCAACAGTAGGCCTCACGTGGAAGACCCAGCAGCGGCTCCTGGCTCCTGGCTTCCGATCAGCTCATCCTCAGCTGTTGTGGCCACTTGGGGAGTGAACTGGTGGATGGAGGATCTTTCTTCTTCTCTCTGTAAGAGAGAGTAAGAATTATCTTACTTTCCAAAAAAAATAAGTCTTAAAAGGAAGAGAAGAACAGAAAGCAGTGGGAGATGATGAGCGCCAGGCACGGGGGACTGGAGGAATCACAGACTCCTGGCGGCAGCCTGGCCCGGCCTCGCTGTTGGGACCCTCTCTCTGGCACTCTACCTTTCACATGAGTGAAATACTTTATTGTGTAAGGCTCAGTTATCAAACTTAATCAATGTGGTGACACAAATTGTTTCATGTTAGCCATACCTGTGTTCCTGCTTTGGTTTGTTATTAACTGCTGTAACCTGGAGCCATGCTTTCAAAACAACAACAAAAGCTAATCTATTGAAAACTTAACTTTGATTCCGTTTTACTATGAGCTGTTGAGCTGAAGGCTGTGAGCTGCTGCTCCAGGCTAGCATGTGTCCATGCTCTGCTTGGACACTGCCCTCCCTGAGCTAGACATGAGGACAGTGCTGAGAGCCAGGGGCTGTGCGGGACAGGGCAGGAGGTGGCAGCTCAACTCCAGGTGTTTGCTTTGGGGCTTTCGACTTTTAAATAGTTGATGGGAGCGCCCGTCAGTCTGCTCTTCTTCTGTCACTCTGCCTTTCTAGTAAGTAAATTAATTTTTAAAAAAATAACCATGGGAAAGGTTTGGCAAATTACATATTTATTTTATAAGCAAAATTAAATAATTTTATTTATTTAACATATTGGTCAGCTTGACCTCAGCTGATCCAAAGCCAGATGCCAGGAGCCTCTTCTGTGTCTCCTATGCAAGTGCAGGGTCCCAAGGCTTGGGGCCATCCTGCACTGCTTTCCCAGGTCACAAGCAGGGAGCTGGATGGGAAGTGGAGCAGCCGGGATGCAAATTGCATCCATTTGGGATGATGGTGCTTGCAGGTGGGTAATTAGGCCATTGAACTATCATGCCAGCCCCAGAATTACTTTATTTAAAATTTGCCTTTGAGAGACTGCTTTTGTGGTACAACTGCTCAAGCTGCTCCTTGTGAGCCTGGCACCCCGGTGGAGAGTGTCTGGGCTATTGGGGTTTCCCTTTGCCCCGGGGAGCAGCCAAAGATTGTGCAAGTTTGAGGGAAACTCTTGGAGAGAGCTCCTGGCTCCTGGTTCTGATTTGGGCCGTTCGTGAAGTGATCCAGTAGGTTAAGATAGCTGTCTCCCTCTTTCCCCTCCAGCTTTTCCCTCCCTCTCCAACTCTTTCTTTTAAATTAAAAAAACAAAATGTGTTAAGCTTGGGCAAAGTGCACTGTATAGAAGAGTCTTGTTGCAATACCTTCACTAACTCCATCTTCTTGATAATTTGGACCCTGAATTTTTTGTTGGGTTATTTGCTAAGGACTTTCCTCTATACGCTTTATAGGTCTTCCTTGCACATAAGTACAGTGTGGTGTAGATCAGTTGCAAGATTCAAGAAGAAAAAGCTCCTCTACCACATCTTCCAAATGTGTCACACACTAGTTTTGTACAAAGAAGAAATTTTATACTTACGTTATAAATTATGTTTCTAAATTATAATACTTAGTAACTTAAATATGAGACCTTGAAACTGAAATGCATCTCTTGGCTGGTGCCAAGGCATCACATATGGATGCCAGATCGAGTCCTTGCTGCTCCATTTCCAGTCCAGCTCCCACTAATGTGGTGGGAAAGCAGTGGAGGATGACCCGAGTGCTTGGGCGCTGCACCATGTGGGAGACCTGGAAGAAGCTCCTGGTTCCGCCCAACGTTGTGGCACTTTGGGAAATGAGCTAGCAGATGGAAAATCTCAGTCTCTCTCTCTATTTCTGCCTTTAAAATAAAAGTAATTTTTTTAAGATTTATTTATTTATTGCAAAGTGAGATATACAGAGAGGAGGAGAGACAGAGAGGAAGATCTTCCATCTGATGATTCACTCCCCAAGTGAGTGCAACGGCCGATGCTATGCCGATCTGAAGCCAGGATCCAGGAACAACTTCTGGGTATCCCACATGGGTGCAGGATCCCAAAGCTTTGGGCTGTCCTTGACTGCTTTCCCAGGCCACAAGCAGGGAGCTGGATGGGAAGTGGAGCTGCCGGGATTAGTACTGGCGCCCATATGGGATCTCGGCGCATTCAAGGCGAGGACTTTAGCCGCTAGGCCATGCCGCCAGGCCCAAAAAAGTAAATCTTTTAAAACCAAACCAAGCAAAACATTTTTGGGAGCTAGCACTGTGTTGTGGTATGTTAAGCTTCCACCTGTAGTGCGTGTGATTCAGCTCTCTGCTGAGGCTAGGAACAGTATGGAAAATAGTCTAAGTGCTTTTACCCCTGAACCTGTGTGCAAGACCCAGAAGATACGGGCCCGGCGCGGTGGCGCAGTGGTTAAGGCCCTCGCCTTGCATGCCCGGGATCCCATATGGGCGCCGGTTCTATCCCGGCAGCCCCGCTTCCCTTCCAGCTCCCTGCCTGTGGCCTGGGAAAGCAGTCAAGGACGGCCCAAAGCTTTGGGACCCTGCACCCGCGTGGGAGGCCCGGAAGAGGCTCCTGGCTTCGGACCGGCATAGCATTGACCGTTGTGGCCACTTGAGGAGTGAAGCATTGGATGGAAGATCTTCCTCTCTGTCTCTCCTCTCTGTATATCTGCCTTTCCAATAAAAAAAATAATAAAAATAAATCTTTAAAAAAAAAAAAAAAAAAGACCCAGAAGATTCTCCTGGCTTGGGAATGACGCCACTAAAGTGACCCAGGCCTTTTGGGACATGTAAACCAGTGGATGAAGATCTCTCCCTGTCTTTCTCGTTCAGTGGCTCTGCCTTTCAGATTTTTTGAGAAAGTGTCTCTTTCCCCAATTTATCACCTTGATATATTTCCATTTCATCTCCAAGGTGATTCTCTTGGTTGAGATCCCTACCCTAAGTCCGTCTCCCCTTGCCTGACACTGAGCAGGCTGATTCCTTAAACGAGGACTCACCTCACATATGGTGGAGCTAAGCTAGCGTTCTGGTGTCTCAGCTTACTGCGGGGTCCTGCCTTTCTTGTGCTCATCACTCATTTAACGTGCATTTTTAATGTCCATGTTTTGGTTCTTTTCAGGTAAATAAAAATGTGAGATTTACTGTTGAGGAGCTGCAGGACTGTCTGTCCCAGACCGAGTACCGGTAAGTTAGTCTCCATGGGGACAGCCTTCACTGTACGCACCACTTGCCGTGTGGTCAGAGTGGATTTTGTCTTTCCACTGCACTGTGATTTTTTTAAAAGATCGATCTATTTATTTGAAAATTAGAATTACAGAAAAACGGAAAGTGAAATATCTTCCATCCACTAGTTCATTCTGCAGGTGGCTGAGCGGAGCCAATCCCAGGAGACTGAACCGTGGGCTGTGGTCCCTCACGTGGGCCAGGGCCCGAGCCCAAGGGCCATCTGGCGCTACTTCCCTGGGTGTGTTAACACGAGTTGGGACCTGTGCTGGCACTCACAGGCGTGGCTTAACCCACCGTGCCGTCATCTCTGCTCTTGACTATCTTCTTTGCTTTAAAAAAAGTTGCATCATTGACTTATTTTTGAGTGATGCATGAAAACCTTCTAGCTACTACGTTTGAATGAGATCATATTGTGCTTGTGTTTTTGTTCTTAGTTTCTTTCACTGACTTGAAGATTTGTATCAAGTGAGGGCTCAGCCTTCTGTGGCCTGAGGTTGTTCCGCAGTTCTCAGTTGAGAGACCCAGCTGGCCTGTTTCTTGCCTGTTGTCCTGAGAGTGCGGGTATCTGTTGGATAGTGCAGTCACTCCCTGGAGTATTGGTCCATGCTGGAGTCCCTGAGCTGCGGTGGCTCCATGTCAGCTTCTCTGAGGGCTTCCATCCTTTTCCCCGTGTGCCTCTACCGACTGGCCCCTAGCCCGGTGCAGGGCTCCCTCTCCACTTCACCAGGGCCTGTTACCTTGTGTCCTTAGGAACGGCCAGCCTAGCTGGAATAAAATGGTGTCTGGTTATATTTTGGCTTACATGTCCCTGACGATGGAGTGATGTTGGGCTCTTTTTGCATGTCTGAAGAAGTGCCTAGTTTACAGTTTGGTTCCTTGTGGAGCTTTGCGGCTGATCTTGTAGGTTCCTTGTGCACTCGGGTTGTCAGTCCGCTGACCATGTTTTTCTTGCAGGTGTGGCTTGTACCTTCGTACTGTGGAGTTTCCTTTCCGCTGCAGAAACTCCTCATTTGAGGCAACCTCATTTGACCTCGTTTTGTTTTATTTACCTTATTTTAGGGTCTGAGCCAGAAGACTCCTTGTCTTACCTTACGTTCTCAAGTGTCTCACAGGTCTATTCCATTCAGAGTTATCATTCATGAAAAAAAGGGTCTGGTTTATTTCTGCAGGTGAATCTCCAGTTTTTCCAGCACTGTTTTTTTTTAAAAGAATACTTTTCCCAATATTTCTGCCTAGCACCTCTGTCAAAGGAGGGCTTCCTTCCAGTGTCTCGGTTCTGTTAGGTTTGTTTCATGCCGATGCCATGCTGCTCTTTTTGCATAGTTTTAGTAGAACTGAAAGCAGTGGGATACCTTCTGTTTGCTCTAGATTATTTTAGCTTCCTGCGCTCTCTTGTGGCTTTGTACAGATTTTACTAGTGCTTTTTAGTTTTGTGAAAAATACTCTTGAGATTTTTGTAGGAATTGTATTGGATCTATAATTTGTTTCTGTAATGTATACATCTTAGTGTTATTGAGTCCTGAAATTCACTAACGTGAAATGTTCTTTCATTTCTTTGTATCTTTGATTTTTTTTTTTTTTGTAAGTGTTGGGTAATTATCAAAATCTTTCACTACTTTGGTGAAATTTATTTGTAGAGTTCTGGTTTGTTTAAATTTTGTTGACTGTGTGTGTGTATGTGTGTCTGTTGGGACTGAAGTAGGTTGCGTTATTTCTCTTTCGGGTATCTCACTATTGGTTTTAACTGGGCCGCTAAATTGAGTACAGTAATGTCATGTCTTGGAGCTTTGTGGAAGGTGTTCTGACAGGTTTTTGGTGGAGTCTCTGGGGTTAGGTAATTAAGGCATGTCATCTATAAGCAGCTCAACTTTCTCTTTTCCAGTTTGGAAACCCTCTCTTTTTTCTTACCTAATTGTACTAACCAGGACTTATAGTATGCTGTTGAATGCAAGAAAGTGGTGAAAGAAGGCGTCTTGTCCTGAGTCTTGGAAGTTCTGCTACTTTTGCCCGTGTTCACATGTTGGCTTGCTCGTATGTGTGTCCGGCACATAGAACCTTTGTTATGCTGTGCTGTGTCCCTTCTGCGTCCAGTTCGCTCGGAGTGTGGAAGCGTGAGCCATGCTGGACTTTGTGCATCAGGGTTCTGTGCTCTTTGTCCTTCATCCTGTAGCTGTGATGTGTCATGTTATTGATGGCAAATGTGCAGCCGTTCTTGCATCACTAGTAAGAATTACCTTCATGGCAAATGAAGCTTCTAGTGTGGTTTTTTGCTGAAGATGTTCTTGATTCTGTATTTGTTAAGGATAGAGGAACCTAAGCTGGTTGGCAGACACTTGCCTTGTTCATTGGAGGCTGTACTTCCTTGTGTTTATGGCAGTTTTCTCAGGTAAGATCTGAACTACTGTCGTCCTGGAACTTGTGTTCTACTTGGATTGAAGTCCCTTTCATCCTGCTGCACCCTTCCTCTGTGCCTGATTATCTCCAGTGTGTGCTGGATTGCCATGTTATTTTTGGTAAATCTGTGGAAGTTTTGCTTTGTGGTTACGAGAGGTTCACTGTGGGGGGAGGAGGGTAACAGCAGCCTGGTTATGGCAAGCTATTCTGAAATGACAGTAAATTGACACTGATTATAAAATTACAGTGAGTGGGCGCCTGAGAGCTGCCCCACTGAGCCCTGACTCTGTCCCGCTCCCCTTGCACATTCAGTAATTAATTTGTAAAAGTTAAATCAATAAAATAAATAAAGATTAAAAGTTTAATATGTAGCAAATACTAATAAAACTTGTATTATTGTTTTAGTCTTCATACTAAAGATGTAGATGGTTTATCTTCCATGCTGACAATATGATAAGCATTCTAAATTTGTCTAGTTACTGTTTTTAGAAATGTTATTTATTTGGAAAGCAGAGTTGGGGGAGAGAGACGACACACACTGAAACACACACGCACACATACACAGACTGCGTTTCCATCTGCGGGTCCACTCCCCACCCAAGTGGTGCAGCAGCTAGACGGGGCCTGCCTGAAGCCAGGAGCCTCATGTGTGTCTCCCACGTGGGAGCAGGTCCAAGTACTTGGGCTACTCTCCCCTGCTTTGGCAAACACATTAGCAAGGAGCTGGATGGGAAGTGGAGCAGCTAGGACTTGAACTGGCATCAGTATGTGAGACCAGAGCCACAGACAGCAGCTTAAACCACTGTGCCACAACAGCAGCCAAATCTAGCCGCCTTGATCAGTGATTCTTCTGGTTTACTTTTTTAATTTACTTTTTTTTTCAAGATGTATTTATTTTTGTTGCTTAGTCTGATTTACAGAGAGGAGATACAGAGAGCTCTTCCTTCTGCTGATTCATCCCCCAACTGGCTGCAACAGCTGGAGCTGAGCCGATCTGAAGCCAGGAGGCAGGAGCTTCTTCCAGGTCTCCTGTGTGGATCAGGGTCCCAGGGCTTTGGGTCGTCCTTGACTGCTTTCCCAGGCCACAGGCAGGAGCTGATGGGATACGAACTGACACCGTATGGGATCCTGGTGCATGCAAGGCGAAGACTTTAGTCACTAGGCTGCTGTGGCAGGCCCTGTTGTTTAATTTTTTAAATGAAAGGTAAAGAGAGAGACAGAGGGATCTTTGCTCCCTCTGGTCTCAGTACCCAGGGCTGGGCTGGCCAGGCAGAAGCCCAGAGCTCAGAACTCCATCTGGGTCTGCTTGTGAGTGGCAGGGCCCCAAGCATTTGGACGATGCTCTGCTTCCTTCCCATGCTGACTAGCTGGGGTGGACAGGTAGTGGAGCACCAGGTCTCAACCTGGTGTCACCTGGGATGTGGGCACCACAGGGAGCAGCTTAACGCACTATGCCATAGCACCGGCAGCGAATTTTGTTTATGAATTATCCTAACTTTAATTTGGAAATCTCTTCATCTTTCCTTCGTGTCTAAAAGATAATGTACTGGATACAGTGTTCTTGGATTGCTATGGGTCCTTCCCCTTCGTTACTGGTGCAAGTCTCGGCTAGCTCTCTGCTGCGAGTCTGCGGCCAGGGCGGTGAGGACCTGCGTGACCTTACTCCTGCAGCTTTGAGACTGCTCTCCTGGCTCCTGGCTCCTGGCTCCTGGCTGTGGAATGTCTGGAGCGTGTAGCACAGCCCAGCCGCCTTGCATCTGTCCGTACATGGATTGTGGTGGTCCCTAGGTTGGAAAATTTTTGTGGTTGTGTCTGAATATGCTGCCCATCTCTTCAGCATTCTCAAGTCTCTCTTGAGTCCCAGTTACATAGATATTTTCTCTTTCTGTGCTGCTGCGAGGTTCCTGTGAGCTTCTCCATCCCTCCTGGCTCTTCTTTCTCCTCTCTACCTCACATGTCCTGTCCTCCAGTGCTTCTGCTCTTGATGCTTTCTGTTGGGTTTTCACTCAGTGCACTTTTCAGTTAAAGGATCTATTTTATTTTTTTGAATTGCTCCACTCCATTTCTCTGTTCTGTTGAAATTCATTGAATTTCCTTTAACTCAGCTGATTTAAGTTCTTCATCAGAGCATTTCAGAACATCAGCTTCAGGGTGCTTGGTTTCTGCAACTTTGTTGGTGAGGACATGGTTCCTGACAGTTCTTGATGCTTGTTGGCGCAATGAAAGGTATTTGTCTTCTGTTCACCATCATCTGGCTTTGTTTGTGGCTGACCTTGGAGGCATTCTGAGTCCGTGGACTTGAGCAGTGGACCGAGCCCTAGATGCGGTTTGCCGCACGTCCAGTGCCTAGGGGTAACCGGGGTCTCAGGACCAGAGGGCGTGCTGAGCTCGTGCTGTGCTCATCCTCACCTGGGAGGAGTGTCTAAGCCAGGAGACTTCATCCCAGGCTGGGGCAGTGCATGTGCTGCAGTGCAGATCACACCTGAAACCACAGCCCAGGGAGTCCAGCCCAGCCCAGGGAGTCAGCACAGCCCAGGGAGTCAGCCCAGCCCAGGGAGTCCAGG